GGCAATTTTGTGGAGAATTTGGCGGTCTCGAAATTGGGTGGTGTTTGAAGGGAAACAATATGAAACTGATGCGTTGTTGCGCCAGTTTAGGCAACAGTATGAGGAATGGGTCAGGCTACCGGTGTATAAAGTGGCTCAGTGCACGGCCTCTGTGGATCGCCCGTCCGTCCAGGGGGACTCGGCGGGGGTAGTCTGCGGATGGGACGGGGCCACTCGGAGGGGCTCGCATGCAGCAGGAGGGGTTGTACTTATGTCCCCGGATCGGGCCATCTTGAGAGCTATCGGGGTCCAGTTCCCGGGTATCGATGATCCCTTGGTAGCTGAAGTGCTTACCCTGCGAGAGGCAGTACGCTGGTGTGAGGGCCAGGGGTTCAATAGCGTGCGATTTGAAGGAGATGCCCAGGTCATCATTGGGAAAATCAGGCGGGCGGATACAAGGGACAACAAGATTGGAGCGGTATTGGACGAAGTGCTTCGGTATTTTGTTAGTAATCGTGGGTTTAGTATACGATTTATAGGTCGGATTAGCAATAGGGTAGCCCATCTCGTGGCTAGGAAGGCCCTTTCTTTGTGCCCGACTATGAGTCGTTTGTTTGATTTCCAGGCCTGGTTGAGAACCAGGATGTAACTGTCTTTCCTTATCTTTAATATAAGATTATCTTTTGCCAAAAAAAAAAAAGTAGTAGCTACACGGGAGAAGCTTCTGTTTGGCTGGATAACGCATCAAGACTGAGTTTTCCTCCCCATAAATTATAATCCAAGACCTATAAATAGGTACCTCACCCGACTTAGAGCGGCACTAGTTACAAGGAGGGAAACATCGTATAATTAGGTACCTCACCTGCTAGACCCCTTAGTTTCATAGGTTTGAAAACCCTAGAGGTTATAGACATGTAAACTCGATGTTTGGTATTCAATACGATTCATTTTATATTGCTATCATTTGTGTTTGATTTCCTCTATGTTGTCTTTTGTTGATTCGAATGAATGCCTAGTTGATCTTGCATCCCTTCGTGGTGAAAGCATCAAAACCCTAGTCACCTAGAACAAGGAGGTTCTATTCGATTGATCATCATTTGATCAAACCGTGTGACGCCTTAAAGGAGAAATCCATAGGGTCCTTGTCACCCACTAGTTCGGGTAATTGCTTTGACACAAGGTGGCATTAGAACACATAAGAAATCAGCAACTCCTGCGTTGCCATTATTGATGCCACATATTTAGGAACTTTAGGGGGAGCTTGCATGTGCAACACCTTCCTCTTCAGTCTTCCTCCACATGCATAGTAGCTATAAATTTCCTTTTTTGCCATTTCCGTTCTTTTACTTTCCGTTTTTCAAAAACAAAGGCACCTTAACCTACTACATAAGCTTTCTCCAATCATAGAACTCGTTCATCACCCCTTGAGTAAGTGGTTGTGACAGAACTTGGGGAATATGATCATGGCCTTCAGGTCTCGTAAGGGTTTTATTCCTCTCTTTTCGTTTTTGTTCTTTTTTATTCTCTTTTATCATACATTATTTTCTTCGAGTCTATTGCGTTCTCTGTGTGTGTGCGCGCACGCACGCTGTGACCTGGGCCAAACCTTAGAGGGCCCATCTACCAAATAGCGATTGGCCTTCAGGTTTCGTAAGGGTTTTATTCCTCTCTTTTCGTTTTTGTTCTTTTTTATTCTCTTTTATCATACATTATTTTCTTGGAGTCTATTGTGTTCTCTGTGTGTGTGCGCGCACGCACGCTGTGACCTGGGCCAAACCTTAGAGGGCCCATCTACCAAATAGCGATTGGCCTTATTCACGAGTTTGTGATTGTTTGATTGGTGTCATATACCAATTGGCACTTCACACGAGTTGGGATCCGTTTTATCGTGTTCCATAATTTATCTTTTTAATTTCAAGTTGGGCAAGTTAGAGGAAAAGTTTCAAAAATCCATTTAAAAGAAGGAAGGTTGCGTACTTTGGTCATATCATCCAAGTTCGAGGGTGCTCTTCGGATTTGGATCATATCAAGTCTGAACCGTTGCACAACCCTAAACACATACATCAATAGAACGGTATTGTTTCAGGAAATAGTTTCACGAGCTCGCTTACTCTCTCCCGCATAATCTTGTGAAAATCTCTCATTGCTCATCATGAAGTAGGGTAGGGCATCCACATTGCGAATTGAATTAAAACTAAACCAAAATCGAAATAATGTTGTCTGGTTCAAAATTTGAAAGGGAAATAGACATATTTCGGAAACCAGAGTCCTCTCGACCGAAGCCGAATTCCGATCACCGAGTCGAACAACCGAATTAATGTACCAAGCCCACATATCATACCTCACCCTAACTAGCCATGGGCCTCAGCCCAAACCTCTCACCCCTCACTCATTAGCTCACCCCGTCCCTTAACAGTAGGGCTGAGCAATGGGCGGGTTGGGTGGATTTTGGTCTAAAATTGACTCACCCGCTTATTAGCGGGTTGGAATATATGTGACCCGCAATCCACCCACATACTTATGCGGGTTGGGTTGGGTTGGGTGGGTGGCGGATGGGTGTGGTTGGGTTGCGGGTTAACCCGCAAAAGCAATTCTCCAACTAGCCATTAAGAAAATTGACTAACATTTATAATAAGTTCATAGCAAATTAGTAAGATTGTATCAATAATTTGTGATTTTGATACAATTAATAATTTATAGTTTGTATCCCAATATTTAATGGATATTAACAATAATTTGCATACCAATATCCATTGCCAATGAATATTGCACAACACAATAACCAATAATAGTAGTTAAAACTATTCTTTATTCTCCACCTTTTGCAGTATATGGTCAGACTGTAGTGCAGTTCGAAAATATGATTAATATTCGATACTATAAGAAACAACATTTTTCCATGTAAAAATAGGATGCAGGTCATACGGGTGACCCACAATCCACCCACTATCCACCCACATAAGTGCGGGTGGGAGATTTAACAATCCACAATCCACCCACATCAATCATCCATTGCATGCGGGTCGGGTTATTTGCGGGTGGATCGATATCAATCCGCGGATTAACCACCCTCATGCCCACCCCTACTTAACAGTCAACTAACCCTAAGAAAATAAAGAAAGAGACAGGCAGTGGGGATAGCGTCGCTCGCCTTCCCTCTTGCTCGTCGCCATCTCTCATCTCAACCCTTTTGCTCGCCGATTAGGGGTGGACAACGGAAAATGGATATTTGGTTATACACATACCCGTCCTGTTTTTAGAGGGTTACGGTTACCCAAATACCCATAATATTTATTATGGAATGGGATATGAGATTGAAATTTTCAACATTGGGTACCCGCAGGTTACCCGCTCATACCCATTAGGATAGTATAGGTACCCGTTGTATCCAATATATAGCCATTAACCCAATTCAAGGGTACACGTTATACCTAGGGCTGCAAACGAGTCGAGTCGAGTCAAGTTTTTGCTTAGCTTGAGCTCGGCTCGTTTATTAATTTTTTAGCTCGAGCTCGGCTCGAACTCGAATTTTGATAATCTAGCTCGAGCTCGAGCTCGGCTTGAATAAAAATAATCTAGCTCGAGCTCGACTCGGTAGAGCTCGATAAATGCTCATTAACATAGCTTGTCAAACTGAGTACAAGCTCGGCTGAAAATGAGCTTGATTTAAAATCATTCTTGCTGGAAAAATGTGTAAACATAAGAATTTAAATGATAGAAAGAACACTAAAGTCTATAAATAACATCTAAATTTCATACACATTTGTATTAACAAGACAATGTTCATGTTTAAAAGAGTAATTCATCCTTCCACAAGCTCTAAACAAGGCAACTCGCGAGCTTAGCTCAACAAGCCACCGAATCAAGCTAGCTCGCGAGCTTATCAAGCTAAGCATGGTCTAGCTCAAGCTTGGCTCGTTAACTAACGAGTTGACTCGCGAGCCGGCTTGTTAAATAACGAGTCGAGTGTCGAACGAATTTTTTTCGATTCGAACGCCGAGTTGCTCGCGAGCGGCTTGGCTCATTTGCATCCCTAGTTATACCCAATTCAAGGGCTATATATATATCATAGCCTTCTTTTGTGTGGAGTTAAACAATATATTCTCATCTATGTGACCATTTGGCGGCTTATTGTTAATAAAGATGATCCATTTTTTACTTTTGTTCTTAGTTAAGTAATGATTTTTTTTAGGAAGACGGTCACCAAGCGACCTAATTCACATGAACAATAGAACGAGTTTGGGTGATCCCCAGAACATCAAAAGTCGTGAACGCGTCACTAACAAAAGAATGTGAACCAAAAGGGTAGCTATGTCCCTTGTTCGCGAGAATGTCAGCAGCAACATTCTAGCAGGTAGATGCATGTAAAACATTTCACTCTCAGTTCAAGCACTCTTTCCGGTGTGGAAGCTATAGCGTTTATTGTATCTAGAAGGGTTACGTGACTGTTGATGTGCCCACTCTTCACATCCGTGGAACAAACCCATGTCAATTAAGAATCATCCCTAGGTTGATGGCCAACTTTACTTTCTGAACTGGTGCAGTAGCCTTTCCTGTCTCAGTTAGTAAAAAGTTTCTTCCAGTCCCGTGTGTTTATCTTTCAGGGGGCAAATATATGATAAAGTTCTTGGTCGACAGCTATAACAATCCAATTCCAGCAATTTTGGAGTGTTTTGGGTGTTGCACTTAGCTCAAGGATGCTTCCATCTATATTTATCGGACCGATTGCCTTTTCGTACTCAAGCTCATGGTACGATTTACAAATTGATATTACTCGTTCAAATTTGGAGGACACCACCAACTTCAAATGAACTTTGATCTGCAATTGAATTTTTTAACGCTTTTTTTTTTGGTTTTCCAACCAAGCAACCGAGGTGCCTGAGGGTTAAAACTGCACAATCTATCATGAGAAACATCTTTCCAGTTTCCACCTTATTTAATGTTGAAAGTAAAAGCGAGAACCAACATCAGAAGAGCAGCCAAAATCGTGAAAATTGATCCCCTAAAACTATGCTGTTTCTCTATGGAAGTGCAGCTTTTAAGGATTTGGTGAACTTTTCTAATTCCAGCAATCCTTCTTCCGGAGACTTGGCTTCACCCAACAACTTCACCATTGCACTGCCTACAATGACGCCATCAGCACCCCATCCCGCCACCTGCAGAACAAAATAAAACAACACTCTGGTAGGAATCGGACAAGTTATGCAGTCGCTAAGTATTTTGTGTGCTCGCAGTCTAACTAACCAGTTGGACATGTTCAGGGCTTGATATGCCAAAACCTACAGCTACCGGCTTAGTCGTTGCCTGCCACAATAACATATGGAGGTATATAAATAAAATCAAAGACTGCAGAATCACCCCTCACAGTGTGATGGATAATAACAAAATTTTAGTCATGTTTGTTAGCCAACGAGCTGAGAAACCATTTTTGCACAACACCGACTCTGATTACTCAACTCACCTCTTTTATATCTTGCAAAAGGGTCTGTACTTTGGTGCTTACAGAAGCTCGTGCACCCGTAACTCCAATTGAGCTAACCTATTTAAAAAGAGGGAGAGAGATTAGAGGAAGGTATATAATCTATGGCGAAGAGCCAGTTGAAAGGTTCCTTACAAGATAAATAAATCCCTCAGAAGCTTCCACTATGGCTTTCATTCGCTCTGTTGGAGTAGTGGGTGTTGTAAGAAGTACCTACAATTGCAAATGTAAGGTGGTCCTGTTATTCTATTCACCAAGTCGGGGAACTGATAAAGCTATAATTTCACCTAGACAAATGAACGCATCTGATTTTGTCCCCAGAACAAATTTGACATCTAGACCATTACTTATGAAGATTAGTAGTTGGAAAAAAGCAAGCATTACTAGTGAAGATCGAACTCCAGTGCTTTTAGATTTCCTTAAGTACTGGTATCAGTATATGTAAGAATCTGAAGATAAATGTGCCCTGGTTATAGAATGATAACAAACCAGTTCAATATTATTCTTGAGAGCTTCCTTCCTCAGAAGTTCAGTCTCTTCTAGAGGAACATCCGGAACAACAAGTCCTGCAAATAAGTAGAAAGAACGTCGAAGTAAAAATAGAGCCATTCAGGATTACAAACAGTCAAATTCTACCAAAAGCTTCATTTACTGCAATACCAGAGATGCAAAACATTAATAGTGTAAACCCAAGTGTTGAAAACATAACCCTAGGACACTGGAAAAGACTGTCAATCCCCTTCAACAGGAACATATGTTTAATTATCCATGCAAATGATTAAACATAGAGCTAATTTAGCATCTGATAGCCAACAAATGTTTTAAATAACCAGTTCTAGCGGTGTATCCAGGCTCACTTAATATATCAAGGAAAATATAGGAGATTCAGGGATCAGGAAGTACCATGTATCCCAGCGTCCTTCACAGTAGACATAAATTGTCCAATCCCGCGCTTCAGGATAGGGTTGTAATACGTGAACAAAGCAATTGGGGCAGATATTTCTGGAACAACCTGCAATGAAACATCAGAATTAGTATAAGAACAAGAGGAAAGGGAGAGCAGGCCTATATCACGATGGAGGAAGAAGAACAAGAGTATAAGAAACTACCGAAAGAGAAAGAGAGCACAGGCCAGAGCAAATATTAGAGTTCATAAGAAAGTGCAGCATCAAAAAAGTTGAGTAAAATGTTAACGCATATAACTTTGTTTTTTATGAAGCAGAACCCCAAATTAGCAATGAAATCCAGACAGCTGAAAGCCTAAGTGTAAGTTTAAAGTTGCTGAGGAAGTGCCAAGATTTGAACTTTTGGGCTATGCACCTAACCACTTGCCCAAGTGTCTCGTATCATAAAACCAAGCACGTAAAACGCTGAAGACTAGTATCCGAGAGCAGCGATTCAGCACAATTCCCCCAAATGGCAAATCATTTTTCAACTAGATGTCCAAGACTTTGAACATTTCATGTAAAAAGATTAGAAGAATACAAAATCTCAAAACAAGCCAGAAATGAAAGAAAGAAAAAAAAAGAACAATAATTTAAAATCAAGCACTCATGGCATCTCAGTCTCTTCAGTCTTCAAGTAAGGAAATAGGCCAAGCTTTTCCAGGCAATCATCAATGTCTTACACAATGGTATGCGCATGAAACGACTTCTACAAATGATACCAAGATCTAGAAGTAGGCATCCTTACCTTCTTCAACATGGACAGGATCGAGTCGAAGTTAGTTCCTCTTGCTAAGGAGCGCGTAGCTGCTGCCTTTACATAAAAAAAATCTGGTAAGCAAATTGAAACAACAACAATAACAAGAAGTAAAATCAAGAAACATTTCAAGAACTCATATAAGAAGCACTCGTCCAGTGAACAGACCTGAATAACTGGGCCATCAGCAAGAGGATCAGAGTATGGAACACCAAGCTCAATTATGTCAGAACCACACTTATCCAGCACCTTTAAAGCCTCCGCTGTGGTTGAAAGGTCAGGGTCACCAGCAGTTATGTATGGGATGAATGCCACCTTCCAAGGCACAAAATTTCCACGTTAAGGTAAAATATCCTGACCTTGTTTTTTTTTTAACAAGATTCTACAGACTCTAAATCCAAGCCCCTCACCCCCACTGGCTCGTGGGGTTACCCTAAAAGTGTTTCAGAATGAAAATCGTCCACTTTCAAATCCCGACCAACCACCAGGCATGAAAGAACCCAATCAGGTTACCCAAAACGAGAGGCAGGCAGGGGGCAGTTCATTCATCTCAGAATCTAATGCGACCATGCGACTAACATCTTTGCAGCTCGAGAAATTCGACCAATAAGAGAAATTATTGAATCAATCGGCAATATCTATACAACACACTGTCAAAACCGGATATAACAAAACTAAAGGGAGAACCCAAAAGAGAAAACGGGCGAAATAAGAATGCAAATACAGAGAATGGCCCAGAGAGAGAGAGGTAGCAGGGGGGATGCTTACTTTGCCTTGGCTTTTGAGATTGGAGAAAGTTTGAGCTAGGCCAACAGTGGGCGCCGCGGTGAGAGTTGCCATTGGCGACTGACGACGGAGTATCCTGACTGAAACGGAGCCTGGCCTGCGCGAAGGTAAGAAATGGGCATCCGATTTCTTAAGCTGATGGAAGCAAGCCCCGGTGGTTGATTTCAGAGCAGTAGTAGTAGCAGCCATATTCCACCCAAGGCAGCCGCACTTTTCTGATGGAGGAAGGGGCTTTTGATTTTGAGAGGAGGTTTTGGACTCGGTGGTGATTTTCTGGTTTTTATTTTATTTTATTTTGAACACTTTTTTGTTTTGCGTTCGACTGTTCAAAACTGGCGGAACCGTTATTCGGCGGTCCGGCCAGCGGTTATTATCAGTTCCGGTCGTTTTTCTTTTTGCGGTTGCCCGGGTAAGTCCGGAACAGAAAACAAACTGGGCCAAGGCCCAAGTGAATCTGAGCCCATTTAAACAAGTGAAATCGCTGCCATCCGCCATTTTTTGTTTTCTTTCTCTCGCCGCAGTTGACCGGCAGGTAGGGTAGAACCAGGTACAGTTGAACTCGGCAACAGCCAAGAAGCGATAAGAGTGTGATATAAGATCCAGCAGGACCTTCTCCCAATAACTTGAGTTATTTGGACCAATCCGTTTATGACATGGTATCAGAGCTTTTTGTGACCGTGAGGTCTTCTGTTCAATTCCCGATAACCTCCACACGGTGTCCGGACTTGTGCCTGGGTATATGATCCACGATTGAACCTCTCCCAACAACTCGAGTTATTGGGATTAGGACCAACTGGTTTACGACAGAAGCCACCACTTGAAGCTCCTCATCACAGTTGGTCAATCATCATTGCTTCTTTTTTCCTGCTGATGGGTTTTCTAATCCTTTGGTTTGGCTTGGCTTTTCTGGGGATCTAGCCAGTGGAGTGGACTGGCTGCTGAAAATTCCAGTGTAGTAAACATGTCAACAGCCACTGTCTCTCAGATTTCAGCAGACCAGTTCCGTACTGAGAGTGTATCAGCAACTACCGTCTTCAAGGTTTTTAGCTGTCTCAGCAAACTAGTGTGTTTCTTATGCCCTGAATCATGCCTTCAAGGTCTATGATTCTTCAATAGTCTCGGATTCTTCCAATATGCACAGCCAAGCAACTGCTTATGCAAGACTGGCAGAATCTGCGGCTGTTAAGGCTAAGTTTAGATCCAGAACAGAAGATTGATGATCTGGGTATTCTTCACATTTTGCCTGTTTTGGCTGAAAGTACTGGGATGCTGCCTAACCGTCAGGGTAGGGATGCTTACTTGACCTCTATTATTTCATTATTGTATATGTTAAATGCCTTCACTTTATGATGCCTCTCGCCAGTTTCGTAGTGCTTGCACTTTGAATTTCATGGTGCAATTGGACAATGTTAATGATGTTTCTTGAACCAAAATTAAATACTGAAAAGAGAATTGACTGCTAAAGATAAGTATGACTGGGTCTCTGTGAAGAAATGTGCCTATGAATTGTATTTGCAGGTAACAGGAATGGATCAGACATTTTGTTGGAAGCTATAGTAGAGGCTGAGGTGGCTCGCAATGCTAAACATTTCTTCGTCTAACCTGAAAATCAAAGAAAGCAGGATGGCGAGGTAATGTGCTGTTCAGGTTTTCATTTATGTTGCTGGAACTTAAATTACATTCAGGCTGAGAAGTGCAAGAAACTCCAGTGTGATCCCAAACTCTCTGATCGCATGCTGCTGCGAGCTTCGAATGTTCAAAGTAACAATGACTAGTTTTGTTAGGTGAACGAGCAAATCGGCCGTTGCTTTAAACTTTAATTAATAGTGTGATGCGTGTAGCCAGTGATGTCGTATTGTGTTGACTTTAGAATTTGATGATGGCTTTCCACAGTACTCGTTGAACACACGTTCACGTGGTGGGAATTTAGGTGCTGGAATATTGTTGTTGTCTTGTTGAGGCTGATTCATAAATTATGATAGAAGGAATTAATAAAACAACCCTATTCCTGATCGGGTTTTGATGATAGAAAAAAGTTAGGTACTTCGTGTACTTGTATTCAGTTTTCGTTGGAACATTAAAAGAGTAGTGGTCGGGTTTATTGTTGGCAGTACAAGTTATCAACATTACTAAACCTTGCTATGTACTTATTATTGATATTTGCATTGTTATCAAATCGAGCCAAACAGGTTGATTGAACCGGTAAAATCGGGAATCAGCCGCCGATTTGGCTCGAAAGAAGGAAAGAGTCGTTAGCTTCAGACCAGTCAGTCGGTGCCGGTCTGAACAATTAATCGCTTGGGAAACTTGAACCACTCAGACTAGTTTTCAGCATTTTGCCCATCCTTTAAAAAACTAATAATAAATTTCCATAAAGCGAACCTATTCCTGATCGGGTTTTGATGATAGAGAAAAGTTAGGTACTTCGTGTACTTGTATCCAGTTTTCGTTGGAACATTAAGAGCTAGTGGTCGGGTAGTTAACAACATTACTAAACCTTGCTATGTACTTATTATTGATATTTGCAATGTTATTAAATCGAGCCAAATAGGTCGATTGGACCGGTAAAATCAGGAATCAACCACCAGTCTGGCTCGGAAGAAGGAAACAACCGCTTACTTCAGACTAGTCGGTCGGTGGCGGTCTAAACAGTTAACCGCTTGGGAAGCTTGAACCACCCGATTGGTTCGCTTCAGGCTTCTCAGACCGACATGCGTGGCGTAGGTTCCTCGGTTCATTTTTTGCACTACCCACCGAGCTTCTTCGCATCCTAGAAATTTTAGGTAAACTCCTTAGGAGTGCTTGTAGAGCTCCCTTGAATCATTGTGAAGCCCACAACCTTTTGCTTGAAAGACGACACTTCCTTTTGATTGTTTGGCAGCTCACTCTTCTCTAGGAACCTGATTATCGGTGATCTCCAATCTACATCACTCATTTCCATGACTTCAACTTCTTGACCTTCTTTTGTGATGGTGACATGTCTTTCTTCATTGAAATCCATTGCCGTGAACAATTTGGAGAGTGCGTCAACATGATGGTTTTCCTCTCGCTTGATGTGCTCTAAATTCCACTCTTCTAATTGAGCAAGCAAGTTTTGGATATCGCCCGCCAACTTTGCGAGGGATTCCTCCTTGGCTTCAAAGCTTCCCTTCACCAACTTGACCACTATCATAGAATCAGAAAAGATTTTCGCTTTATAGGCTCCCTAATCGAGTAAGATTTTGGTCACTGCTATGAGTGTCTCGTACTTAGCGACATTGTTGGTCTTTAAACCCTGAAATCTTAGAGAGAATTCATGAATCACTCCCTCTGGCGTTTCTATCATGATATATGCTCTCGTCCCTGCTCTTCCGGTTGTTCCATCAACAAACATTTTCCATGGCAGCTCTATCTGTGAAGTGTTTCCTTCTATAGTGAAACCCTCGACAATTAAATTAGCTAACACTTGAGTCTTTATTACTGGTCGTGGAGTGTACTCGATGTCGTGCTTGCTGAGTTCTACTGCCCACTTCGTCATCCTTCCTAAGGCGGCAATTCATTTTAATATCTTTCCTAGGGGGAGGTTTGAGAGAACAATGATTAGATGGCATTGGAAGTAAGATCGTAACTTCCGAGAAATAGTTATGATTGCCAATACTGCTTTTTCGATGGGCATGTGCCTAGTTTTAGCCTGTAGTAGCGCTTTGCTGATATAATACACGGGTTTGTTCGCGTGATCCTGAGGCGACCTTGTTAAGAAGAAGTTGTATGCCATTGGTGATATGGCAGTGTAGAGGGTAGATCCTTTCTTGGGGCGTTGTGGGACTTAGCACAGGGGGTTCAACAAGTTGCTCTTTCGGCTAGGTAAAGGCTTCATTGCACTTCTCACTCCATGAGAAATTAGTGGCCGATTTCTTGAGAATCTGATATAAAGGAGAACATTTTTCAGCCAACCATGGTATGAATCTGATTAAGGCCGCCATTTTTCCGTTCAATGCTTGTATCTCCTTAGTAGTTTTGGGGGCCTTAGGCTAGTCAGCGCCTATATCTGCTTCGGATTAGCCTCGATTTTCCTTGCTTTGTGATCATGAAGCCCATGAATTTTCCCACTTCATCCTGAACATGCATTAGAGGGGGTTCTGCCTTAGGTTTCAAGCCCTCATGCTTTCAAACGTCTCCTTCAGGTCTGCAAGGTGATTCACCGCTTCCTTGCTTTCTATCAGTATGTCGTCAACATACGACTATACATTTCTTCTGATTTGCTTCCTAAAGACTACGTCAACTATTCTCTGGTAAGTTGCTCCAACATTCCTAAGTTTCCTATTGGCATCATGAACGTTATCTTCTCCTGATCTTCCTTTGCTAGTCATATTTGATGATACCTTGAGACCATATCAAGGAAACTTAACATTTCGTGATTAGCTGTTGTGTCAATGAGTCAGTCCATTCTTGACATGGGGTACTTATCCTTGGGGCACGCTTCATTCAAGCTAGTGAAGTCGATGCACATCCTCCATAAGCCCATGGTTTTATGGACAAATATTGGGTTGGCTAGCCCATGGTTTTATTGATAAATATACGTGTTTAGGGAGCCATCAAATAAACGAAAAAGAAGAAATGACTTGACAATAATACGGATACGGAAGTTTTAAACGGATAAAAATACATACGGGTACATATACGTATATTAAACGGAGTATTTACTAACTATGTCTTCGGGAACACGGACATAGGTGGTGCATGGATGTCGTCAGCTCGTGCCATGAGGTGTTGGGTTAAGTCTCACAACGAACACAACCCTTGTGTTTAGTTGCCACCATTGAGTTTGGAACCTTGAGCAGATTGTCGGTGATCAGTGGCGGAGGGAGAGTGTGAGAGGGTGGGTCCCGGGACCCACCCTGGATCGGAAGGAAAATGGTTAAATTAGTTATACTAATTAATTGATATTGAAAACTAGGAGGTGTCTAATTGAGAATAGTTGATCGAAATGTCTTGTGCTCGAATCTTGGCGACCTCATTTCTTAAGCACACGATATTCAGATTTGTGCACAATTCAATTATGTATAGGCTAACTTTCTTATGAGGGAGCGTGCTAGTAACTGGTGTAAGATCTATATTGAACATCTCTTGATAACTTGAGTTATTGATATTTAATGGTTCTAGACAAAGAACATCATTCGAAAATGAACGACTAACTCAATCATTAATTATTGTTTGGTATGAGTTTCATTATTAAAACTCTCTCAACAACTCAAATTATTGATACTATACGGTTCTTGACAGTTGACAGAACACCATTCGAAAAAGAATGACTGACTAAAACATTAATAGTTGTTTGGTACATAGAGTGATATTCTTGATATTAAACGGCTCTTGACAAAGAACAACATTTGAAAGAGAACAACTAACTAAATCAAGAATTCTTGATAATTTTGCCTACTAATGTATTTTAATTTATCAAAATTTACCAATATAAGATTATATCATGAATGACTAGCAATGTTAACAAAAATGATTTTATCGTGTGTGTGTGTTTTTTCTAAGCGGACCCACCTTAAACGAAATCCTGGCTACGCCACTGTCGGTGATAAGCCAGAGGAATGTGAGGATGACGTCAAGTCATCATGCACCTTATATCCTAGGTGACACATGTCCTAGATTTAGGGTATGATCACAAATTCATGATTTAATAAGCAAAATCTATAGTAAAGTTCAATAATCAAACAATAAACTCTTTCAAATCTATAATATGAACAATGTTACTATAAATCTAAAAAAATTCAAGCTGACCCATTCTACCCAACCTGTTTGGGAGCGAATAATACCCACCCGAAGGCGAAGCGGGACGGGCATGGTGTGGTCTCCTCAACCTAACTCGTCCTACCGCCGCCACATTCTCGACCCATTTTATTTAAATTATATATATTTATACTCAAGTTACTTAATATTTACTTTAGTTACATAATATTTTAGCTATAAAAAATTGTAAATAGGTAAGAACCCCAATCTCTTAAATAACTCAACTACATTTATTATGTTAGAGTTTGTTTATAGATTTTTAATGAAATAATCCATGTTGTAATTTTTTTTAAACACATACTGGTATGAGTTAATCTGTCCCGACTCACGTCTCAGGAAGGGTTATTAATGAGTAGAGTGGTTCACGAGCGGATCGACATTCAGGAAAATCTTGTTCGAGTATGAAATCGTTTGCTGATGAGTCGAGTTTGAACTAAACCTTGTTCAGCTCGTGAGTCTCGCAAGCTAGGTCGACTTGATGGCTTGTTGGGCTCAACTTATGAGCTGTCTCGTTTCGAGCTAATGTGTTGTCTCGACATTGTGGCTAATGAGTCAACACGACTACCTCTGGACCAGTCAAAAGCGAAATCGTTCTGGTTTTATGTTAAACTGATAAAAATCGTTTGACCCATCTCTAATTATCCAATCAAACGAACCAAATCGTCATTGTAATTCCGCTGACCGAGTCATTCATTTGGTTCGGTTCGTAAACAATGGGAGAAAAGCGCAACAGTTTTTTTGAAAAAACATCTGTGGCGAGGAGGATAAAAAGCTCAATCCCCTTGGCGTTGAACCGATTATCAGTTCTCACCTCGTCCGCTTCACTTCCCTTCCCTTCCCTCTCGCTCAGTCGGTGCCCAGCCAGCAGCAGTAGTAGGATAGAAATCTAAGTGAGAAAGCAAAGTTCAGCAAAAGCCATACGCCAAAAGGGAAGAGAGAAAGAAAGAAGCTGATACTTTTGCTTGCGATTCCCTTACAGAAGAGACCTTGAAGAACAAGAAGAAGAAGAAGAAGAAGAAGACGGACCTAATTTCCATTTCTATTCATTCTCTCAGATTCGCGCTCTCCCCCGTAGCAGCAGCATCAAGCGCGGTTTTTGGGTTTTTTTTTGTTGTTGCATGTAGTAGATTTGCACTCTTTTGGAATTGGAGCCCTAACTTCCATCTCCAACCCTTTCTCGCAACTTCCGTGCTCCTTTTGATGGCCGGTAACCCTTCCCACACTCCCACCGATGATTTCCTCCAGGAAATCCTCGGCCTCCAGAGCTTCTCCTCCGCCGTCCCTTCTCTCGTCGGCGCCGATGCTCTCTCTGCCTCCGCCCATGCTCCCATGTTTCTCCAGCTCAGTTCCGGCGACCCCTCCGCCACCGGGATTAACGCCCTAACCGGCTCCTCCCCCGGTTTCCAGGGTTTCCCCTTGGGGCTCAGCTTGGACCAAGGGAAGGGAGGGTTTCCCAAGCACGAGGATGCCTCCGGCAGCGGCGGAGGCCGCTTCCGTGACGACGTCCTCGACGGCAGAGTTGCCATGGCAAAAAATGTAAGTCACGCAGGATTCAAAAGAAGATCCTCCTCATTGTTTTCATAATTAATTAGCTCTCGGTGGTTAATTTGTCCCCTCCTTTCAGGAAGAGATACGCTTTTAGTTTTTCCTTTCGTACAGATCATTCCTGCGTTGCTTGTTTTAACTGTTGCGGGATGAGGAGATGCAAAGTGTTCGTTTAAAGCTACCAAAAAAAAAAAATGGTGCTTTTGTGCTTCTAGCTTTTTGTTTGCTTTGCTGCCCAAGGAGACCCAGAAAGGTAGTTGGATTTTTCGGAGAAAGACTGGTATTTTGACGAGGAGAAGCATACACACAACAATGTCCCCTTGTCGGCTGTTTCATTAGTTACCACTAGTTTTTCTTCTACTGAAATGCTTCAACACATGCACCTTTCTTGGTTCCCTGAGTCACCTTCTACTGGGCTATGAGCTAGGCAGTTCATATAATAGATTGTTCAAGTTACAATGAAAAGGATGACTGATCTAAAGTTGTGGAAAATAGATAATGCATGCATATTATTATCTGGTGACATTGGTTTGATAGTTGGACATTTCTTCGTTTTCTTTTCTGATCTGAATACGTTACTTATTTTCAGATAAGTTCATGAATGGAAAGTTTATTTGAACCTTTGGTGGCTCTATCTTCAGTAAGCCTGCTCCTTTTTACTTATGAGATATTTGCTTTGTAGCAGGTTTTTCATGGACAACCGGTGCCCACAACTGTGCCTGCAGCAGCCCCACATCCTCCGACAATGCGGCCAAGGGTGAGGGCCAGAAGAGGACAGGCTACAGATCCACACAGCATTGCCGAGCGTGTAAGCTTGATATATTGAAAACCATTAGCTTATGCTTTACAGACACAAGTACGGAACTCATATGGCATTCGTATTGATTCCTTTGTCTTACTTTGATACAGTTGCGCCGAGAAAAAATAGCAGAGAGGATAAGGGCATTACAGGAGTTGGTGCCTAGTGTTAACAAGGTCAGTCTACTTATCACCCTTTATAATTTGGTGCAATAACTAAACCGTCTTGCTAGATTCTTCTTTTTTTAGAAGAACCATGGATTTCTTGCTTGCACTCGTATAGAATGTTTGTGTTGGTGATCTTCAACAATTCTTGATGTCATGAAGTAGACAAATTGGTGATTGGAAATGTTAGAAACTGCTTCTATCTGCAGTAATTTCCCGTTTGGGTATTCACACACCATACTGTAATTGTAATGCATCTTAATCTGGACTTGAAGAAAGTCACCACCCAAATCTAGGTGACGGTGGTGAAATCCTGACCATTTGATGGAGAGCTGAAATATTGCCACATGCTTGAGACTAATTTGTTGCTGTAGCTGGTCAATCCTGACCCTTGATGGAGACTAAATTCCTGTAAATAAATCAAACACTTCTGTTCAGTGTTGATGTGTGATACGTAGTTCTGAATTAAAAAAAATCTGAATCATCTTGGTGTGTATATGGAATCCGATCAACATATTCAACTGTGTAATATTGTCAACAAATTGATTTCCTTGACCAACTCTAACTTTGTATTTATTTGGAAGGCCTGCTGTTTCACTCCATTCATATATAATGTATTTTGCAGACAGATAGAGCGACAATGCTTGATGAAATTGTGGATTATGTGAAGTTTCTAAGACTTCAAGTTAAGGTAGGTACCAAGTTCTCTTTGCTGCTGAATTAGTAGGCAGCTTCATCCATTGCAATTCAATCATACAATGCTTTTTAAGTCAAGCATGAACTAATGGTTTGCAAACATTAGTCTGAGTGTCACTTAGACTAGAAGTCAAAATAACTTGTGGCCAGATAGTGGCTCATTCATAAGATGAGAGCTTGACTGAAAGTTACTTGATTTATGAAACTTGTCGTCGTTTGCAACAGGTTCTGAGCATGAGTAGGCTAGGTGGAGCCGGCGCAGTTGCGCCACTTGTATCGGAGATTCCACTATCTTCAGTGGAGGTGGGAACAACTTTTACTTTCATATGTGTAGTTTGATTTGCCCACATGTCTTTTTGTCAATGAAAAAAGCATACGACCCATACAGCAACAATATCTGTGGTTTCAGGATGAAAATGGTGATGGTGGGAGAAGTCAACCCGCATGGGAGAAGTGGTCCGACGATGGCACAGAGAGGCAAGTAGCCAAACTCATGGAGGAAAACGTTGGTGCCGCCATGCAATTCCTTCAGTCAAAGGCGCTCTGCATCATGCCCATCTCTCTGGCATCGGCCATCTGCCACACGCAGCCATCGGATCCCCCAGCCGTTGTTAAACCAGAAACAAACCCACCATCGTAGCGAAAAAACATAATCAGTGAAGAAAGGGGCTGATCCCTAATCCGAATTACAACTGGTAAGTTCGTCAATGGGCGCTCCCACATATTGGTACCCTGTTTCAAAAAGGTCTTTTCTTTCTTTCTTTTTTTTTATTCTTGCTGATCCTTATTGTTGCAATATATATATGCTTTAAGGGTCCCAGGCGGCGTTTTGTCCCATTCGAAAGAGTACGAATTAAACGTTGTTGGGCTGGGGGCTATGTCTAAAATTCCAAATTGCAATCAAAGTCAGATGCCATGCTTCCTCTTTATAGATTTTGTTTCTCTTCTTTCACTCCTGGTGACTATTTTTCTGAAAACAGGGTTGGATGTCAAATGACTAAACAATTACAGGCTCTTCTTCTTTTTGGTACCACCACCGGTGGGGATTGGTGGACGATGATGGAAGCACCTTTCTTGCTTTCTTTTTTCTTCCCTCCTTTTTTCTCTTACTAGTTAATGGAGGGTTGGGTTGGGTTTGCTTTGCTTTTCTTTTCTTTTTCTTCGCGGTGATGGTTAGTGGATTGTGGGACCTTGTAAAGGAGTGATGGATGGGTATATAATATATAATGGAGGGACTTGTTGAATCTCTACTGGTCGGCAGGATTAAGTCTGACCAAAATTGGGCTTCAAAACAGTCTCCAGAATGTTACTGGTCTGACCGTTAGAAAGAGTGAGGGGGAATGTTACTGGTCTGACCGTTAGAAAGAGTGAGGGGGGAGTGGAGAGCAGGGGATGGTTGGTCATGGTTGTTAGGTTTAATTGAAAGTGACTTTCTAATAGATAGATAGATACTTGTAATGTAATTGAAAGTGACTTTCTAAATGATAATTGAAAAAACTATCAAACATGCCTTTCAGTTGAAATTTCCATTGAAAAAATCGTCAATTATGGTTGAATCGAGATTTAGACGACTTGACATTAATAAATGGGAGGGGAAATGTCAGTTTTGACCCTTGCTTTATTTTTCTAGGTCTCATCAAAGTAAAATTATTATAATTATTTGGTTATATAAAAGAAGAAAAAAATTCTAAAGTGAAATGATTAGAGATATTTTAGATATATAGGTCGCCAAAACCAAAGTTCGGTCTTGGTTAACTGTTTTTGGATGGAAATTTTAGCAAAAGGGCATGTTTGATAAGTTTTTCAAAGTACAAGGGCATGTTTGACGTAAAAAATAGTAGAGAGGCATGTTTGATAAAACGTCATAGTAGAGGGGCATATTATACCTATAGACCATGTAAATTTTATCTTAGTTATTAAATTTTTAAATTACTATTTTATTTATAAATATATTTAGAAAATATATAAAATGGCTCACATAGGTTGGATCCGATTACACTATTGAACATCGGGTAAATGTCATGTTTTGTCACTGCAATTACTAAAATGTGTCATGTTTAGTCACTAGAAAAAATTAGTATCAATGTTAGTCACTCGAATTACTGAAACAGGTTACATTTAGTCATTCTCCATTAGTCTCCGTCCAACTCCGTTAATAAAGTTCGTTATGTGCTGACATGGCTAAAGGGCAGTGCCTAGTCGGTGTTGTTTTGGGCCACAAATAGTCAAACCCGACATGTCACATTACTAAACTCGCCATGTCATACACCCAACCCAACACATGAACCCACCCCGACCTCGACCCAGAACCAAACCCGAGCCCCTAACAAAACAAAATTGCAAAATGGATCTATTTCAGTTTCTCTTCTTCAATATGCCCACCCTCATCTCCCAATTCCCATTAGGGATGGCAATGGGTCGGGTCGGGGACGGATAGTGCATATCCGTTACCCTACCCAAAGTAGTTCGGGTTTTACCCATACCCATACCCACATATAACACGGGTAGAAAGTTAAAACCATGCCATACCCGTTCGGGTTTCGGGTATCCACGGTTATCCATGGGTAATGATTTCTCTTCATAACTCCAACCAATATGTTAACATTCACACGTATTCTCACATTACGCAAGAGGAAAAGTATGACAATAATTCACTAGAATGAAGAAAATTAATTAAAACAACACAATTTCATGAAAATATTATATTTATATGCTAAATATAAAATATGTTAGAGAAAAATAATGACTATTTCTAGACAAAATACATATGTATGTGTATAATCGGGCGGGTTCGGGTTGGATACTGAGAAACCCATGCCCACCCATTACCCGCAATATTCGGGTTCGGGTTTTACCCGTACCCACTAAATGTCCTTCGGGTTCGAGTTTTACCCTACCCGATTAGACCGGGTTCGAGTGGATATCCACGGTTATGGATATTTTTGCAATCCCTAATTCCCATTGTGCTTCCTCAGCATAGATAGAGTTTCATGCGTCTTCTCCAAACTCTTCCCCACAAAACACAACCCCTCTCATCCTCTCGCACCACTTCTCCTTCCTCTCGTTCCTCATCTTCCCACCTCCACCTCTCACAAGCGCCCTTGTCGCTTCCCCTTCCATTACATTGTGACGGAGGAGGCGTGGTTCTAAAACTCCATTGCTACCTCATCCTTTGTCGAATTTTCGAAATCTGATCGGATAGAACAAGCTCTGCGTCAAATTGGAAAGATCTATCGGCAACACTAATTTTGGGGAAATGTCAAATTGGAAATATTTGGCGACACAAATTTTGGGGTGGTGGTCCGAGGATAAGATGGTGAACAGGGTGTGGGGATTTGAGAAGAAGAAGGGGATTTCTGGGTTCTAGGTTTGGGGAATTGATTTCTGGGTTTGATTCTGTCGGAGTTGGCATATGCAAAGAAGAGAATTTCTAGGTTTCGGGTAGAGATGGCAATTTTGACCTGAACCGTTTTACCCGACCTGTTTGACCTATTTTGAGGTAGGGCGGGATGGGCATGGGTACTCTCATCGACCCGCCCCGCCCCATTTTTGACCCGTTCTTGCCTAAATTACATGTAATCTTAGTCAACTTACTTAAGATTTTCCTTTTACTACATCATATTTTAGCTATAATAAAGTTATAATTAGTGAAAACATCAATTTATGCAATAATTTAGCTAATTTACCATATTACGGTTTGTTTCTTTGGTCTTATAATGAAAATAACGAATATTTCTAATGTTTTCCACATAAACTACATACTCATTGGGTCGACCTGCCCTGACCCATGCCCCATGATAAATTACCCAACCTGTACCCGACCTGCCACAGGGCGGGTATGGGCATCGAGATACCCGCCCGAACTTGCCCCATTGCCATTCCTAGTTTGGGGAAATAGATTGTTGGGTTTAATTCTCTGCAGAGTTGGATGAGGCGAGGAAGAGAAGAGGATTTCTCAGTCGAAGCTCTTGGATCCTGATTCCCCTCTTCGCTCCTGTATCTTGATTGTTGGGTTTAATCCTGCTGCAGCTCGTCGTGCACGGCGGGGGCGAAAAGCGACTACGTGGCGCTCTGCTGCTGCCCCCTCACGGTCATTAATTTCTTGGCTCTTGCATTCGTCAGGATCCCGTGGATGGTGTGGTGACGGTGAAGAAGAAGAGGAGGAAAGGAGCGTAGATGATGGAGATGGTGACGTGATAGAAACTTGCATTCTTAGTACTTTGATTAATTGTCGGTAATTTGTTATTTCGGATTATTTGGGCTGTTTAGGGAAGATAGTGATAAGTCGGGTAGTAGTCGGAAATTGTTCATTTATATATATATACTGCTTGTAAGTGGAATTAGGGCTTAAGCAAAGAATAAACCTAAATCCTAATTTCCAATCTCTCTCTCCTCCTTCCCCTCAATCGGCCGACCCTCTATCTTCCTTCCCTCTCCCTCTTCCTCGGCAGCTACCGCCACCCTCTTCCCCTCTCCCTTCCTCACGCCCCAAACTACTCCTTCCCTTCCCTCCTTTTTTGTCCCCAAAGCAATCCCCCACCCCTTCCTTCTTCCCCGACCACACCAACCCCCTTCATTCCCCTCATTTTTGTGAGACAAGGAGATTAATCCCTAATTGATCCCATCAATCTCAATTGCTAGATAGAACCCTAATCACCGGGTTCTATCATTTGGTATCAGAGCCCCGTTCTTGGGTTCGTGATCAAATGAAGACAATCGAGATGGTGTCGACAAAGTCCATGACGGCAACTGAGAAGGCAGCCAAGGTGGCGCAGGAGCAGGTCGTGACTGCGGCCACGACGGGGCTGTCGTCCTCCAGTAATGGCGCACATGGGGTTCCCAGTCCGCGGGACGGGGAGCTGGTTGATGAGACAATCGGTGAAGAGCTCCGCACCGATTTGGACAAAATGGCGGATGCAGTGGAGCATGAGCGCAGGTCCAGGCAGGCGTACTCGCAGAAGCTGTGGCTCGCGATTGGCGAGCTCAAGGTGATGCTGACGGAGGTCCTGGGGCGCGTTGGAGCCTTGGAGGCGGCAGCGGAGGGCAGGATTCGGCGGCGGAAGCCGCAGCGGGTGGAGGTTTCCTGGCCTAGTGAGCTAAAGGAACAACCTTGGGGACAAGGTTGTTTTTCGAAGGAAGCGGGGATGATAGAAACTTGCATTCTTAGTACTTTGATTAATTGTCGGTTATTTGTTATTTCGGATTATTTGGGCTGTTTATGGAAGATAGTGATAAGTCGGGTAGTAGTCGGTAATTGTTCATTTATATATATACTGCTTGTAAGTGGAATTAGGGCTTAAGCAAAGAATAAACCTAAATCCTAATTTCCAATCTCTCTCTCCTCCTTCCCCTCAATCGGCTGACCCTCTCTCTTCCTTCCCTCTCCCTCTTCCTCGGCAGCTACTGCCGCCCTCTTCCCCTCTCCCTTCCTCACGCCCCAAACAACTCCTTCCCTTCCCTCCTTTTTTGTCCCCAAAGCAATCCCCCACCCCTTCCTTCTTCCCCGACCACACCAACCCCCTTAATTCCTCCCATTTTTTTGATACAGGGAGATTAACCCTAATTGATCCCATCAATCCCAATTGTTAGATAGAACCCTAATCATTGGGTTCTATCATGACGTCAGCAAGCGGCGGCGCGGGGAGTTGTGAAGAAGAAGGGAGTGGGAGTAGCGGAAATGGGGAGGAGGGGGAAATGATATAAGTGGAGGAGAGGTCAGACGGCAGCCGGAGCTTGAGGATATCGGGGATGACGAGGAAGATGTCGCCGGCGGAGGAGCGCCAAGTATGAGGCGGAGAAGGTCTAATTAGAGCTCTACCAGGTTGGTCATTTTGTTTTGTTAGGTTTGCTCGGGTTTGGATCTGGGTAGGGTTAGGTTCATGGGTTGGGTTGGGTATATGACATCGCGAGTTTAGTGACGTGTCAAGTAGGGTGACCATTTTCGGCCCAAAATGACGTTGACTGGGCGTTCCCGTTAGCCATGTCAACACATAACGGGTTTTATTAACGGAGTTGGACAACTAGTACTGACGGAGAGTGACTAATGATGTAAAACAAGCGTTTGTTGGGAAGCAACCCAACATCAGTTCATATTTCTTTTCTTTATTTTTCTCTTTTTGTTTGAGTCGAGTGGTGAGTTTAGAATGTTCACCGTGTCACGGTTCATGTGTTTGAATGCTTGATTGAGTCGTGATTGAGTTTGAGGCACAATTGAATCGTTTGAGTCTTGAGAATTGTGAAGTTGCCCTATTATTATGACTGCCACTGTTTTAGGCATATTATCACGGTCATCATACCGTGATAATGTGGCAAAGATTGTGATATTTGTTGGCATCTCCCCGATTTGCAGACATCACGGCCAAAGGGAATTTGTCATGGGCAATTGCCTGTGATAATTGCCCAAACTCATTATTTTTTGTTAGGATCACACGTTCACTTTGTTATTGTCACGGTCTCCTGACCGTGACAATTGACCTCCTCCGGCTAGATTTTCGACTCCTATCCCTTCTCCTCAACTTCCTTACTAATCCTAGTTTAGTCTTCATGTGTGCTTTCATCTTTTACTTGATCAATTTTGGAGAATTGGATTTAGGGTTCTTAAGATGGGGAGAATTTGGATATGGATAATCAAAATTGAAAGTGAGTGTGAGAGTTGATGAATGATGATGAACGGTAAGGGTGTACATGGGTCGGGTGGTTCGGGTTTAGCGATTTTAATCACCCGACCCATGCACTACGCTTTGGAAAATATAAAATCCAAACTCATCCAAAAAATTTAAAACCTTATTAATTTTTTCTAAATGGGTTAAGTTGTCAATATTTTTAAGTAAAAACAGAACCCAACACAAAAAAAAAATGTAATTATTCTACATCATAAAAATATTATATAACTAATTAAAATTTAAAACGAATAAACCACGTGAAAGGCATCAAAATGTACAATGTTGTTTGAATTTTAATAAAATGTGATTTACTTCAACATATGTTTAGTTTTTTTCGCAACAAGAGACAACTTAACACCACAACATGGAATGGAGTGTGAATCCACCACAAGATTTTATTCATGGCTTAAGAAGTTAAGATGAACATTCTGGGTGCAGGTGCCACATCCAGCATCATATAAAACACATCATCCCAATCCAAATGAGCCAAGGATTTATGGAAACCAAACATGACGGACTGTTCTGGTAAGCCTTCTAGCAACACTACGAAATTGTGTCACAACTTCATATATTCTGCCAAGTACTAGGTGGCAATCATGAAAGTACAAACAATTGGTTATCCTTAAAAGGGAACGACAAAGAGCAGCATGATGATGAAGCTCCGATACCTGGAAAGCTTTTGCATTATTGGAAGCTGACATTTACCACTACTTAGCATGCATCAAGATCACGGCATGGAGGAGGTTTTGGGTCAGTGAGCAGAGTAGTATTGCCTCCTTCTGGTCCACTCATGATACGTTTTGCGTTTTGAGTTCCAGGCTGAAAATTGAAGCGAGGAGAAATTAGATTTAAAGCATTCGCACTGTTAATGAAAGCCATTGAAGAACAGAAAAACTATAGAGGCCTTACTGGCAACTTTTCCCCCTTTCTCAGCAACTCAACTATCTCCACGACTCGTTTTGGAGTGACGTCTTCCTGCAATTGAAGCAAATAAACCATCCAAAAGAAGTCAAGGCCACCAAATGTTTTACGCTCTAACGTCAAAAGCCAGAGAAAGATTTCATGCACTTACATAATAATTATACGAGTATCCTTCTGATCCATTAGAGTAATCTGCAACAGTAATCATAGGTGCATTTACACAGCTTCCCTGCACAAGCAATGAATGTTGGTATAAAGACATGCTGTGGTCAATACAGTAGTCAAATAAACAACAAAAGCATTCAAGAGCTATCCTCGTCCCAAATACAGGAGTACCCACAAAAGGCCTCTTGAGAAAGAGAAAGATTCAACTTTATATCCACTACGATGACGGGACTTACCATACATTCCATTTCACCAACAGAGAAAAGACCGTCCTTTGTTACTTCTGCACATTAAAATTGCACTACACTCTTATTCACCAAATTATACTATACATGGATCTCCAAAAATTCAGGTTCACATGGAAGAGCACAAAATTATACAAATGGAACTGACCATTGCGCTTCACTCCCAAGTGTTTCAGCAGTGCATCTTCAATTTCTCGAGACCCACGGATCATGCATGGTGTTGTTCCACAAACTAAAAGGTGGTACTTGCCAACCTGAGTAACAGACAGAATTTGTTCATTGCAAGTAATGTTGCGTCACAATAGCAAAAGACTGTAATAAAGCAGGGTGGGGGTTGTGAGGAGATATTAGATTAGATTACTTACTGGTGTTCGGTTGAACATGGAATAAAATGTTGCCACTTCATAGACACGGATTGGAGCAACTTCAATAGCCTTAGCCACCTGAGTTGTTCACAAGAGAGCTGATGATGAGAGAGTTATTCTAACATCATCATACAGTATGAACAAGAGTAAAGTCTTCAGAATTTCAAACGGTTAACAAAACAAATCAATTAACTTGTAAAGGTCAAGCATTCACAACAGAGAAAATGCACCGGAAATTCGCCTGCTTTACTAGAACAAAAATCATCCAACAACCTAGTCAGCTCCATATACCACATGCGGAGAAAGCAATTCTGTCTTTTTCCGTAGAGGAGCAATTTCACTGTAAGATTACGGCACATCTTAGAAATCGAAATTTGGTACATGTTGCAGTTCATGGGCAAACTTGAATTCTAAGATTCTATCAGTTCATGGGCAAAGGTGTCCAAGGGAAAAGGTAAGCTTCAATACACTGGAAAATACATAATTTCTTATAAACTCCCCATATGCCAGCAGCCTGAGTCATGCATATGGTAAATTTCATCCCGTTTTGATGATATAGGGTCAAATAAAAACAACTTCATCTTTCAAATAACAGATCCATCTTTCAATGCAAAAAATAAGTGAAACCATTGTGATAGTAAGGTGCCGATACGCTTGTCAAAAGCAAATAGAAAGCTATTGTACTTCATAGTTGTTCTCATACCAATAAATATTACTTCAATTTGGCAGCCGAGCCATAGAATCAATTTCATACCGCATTCATAGCTGAAACTGGGAGCCATCCTCCATGCTGCTGTTGTGCTAGATCTAGCAGGGGAATTACTGCAGATTGCTTGTAGTTGGATGGGTAATGAGATATTATCTCTTTAACCTGACAGCAGAGTGCCAAACATTAAAAAATAAAAGATCAAACATCGCTGCACAAGTAGGTAGATTAATTGTACCAATGGAACAAGTCGGATTTTACTCTAGTCACTATTAAGCAGGGGTTAACTGTTTCATAACCAAGGTAAAAGAAGTCATTGGAGGACTTAAAGAGGTTATTCTTGCACACAACAGATGTTCACATAAACTATAGCCAAGTTTGAGAACAAATCTACTATACCACAAAGCCTAGTTTAAAAGTATTGCAAAAGAAACAGCATTTCTTAAACTATCACAGTTGGACTTCAAAGACATGAGGTCTAGATTAAATTCAAGAACAATGTCAACAGATATGTTCAAAACTAATCTAGAGTTATTAAAGCGAGAATAGATTGCTATGGCAGCATATTTTCAACAAATGCGCAAAATAGAACGAGGGTTTCTGATTGCACAAAAGCACTCCAGCAAGCAGGTAATACAGGAGAGGCATAAACGACCCAACAAAGTGTTCCAAAAATTTATGACACTGCAGCAAGAATCCTACATTGGTTCACAATTGTTGAAGACTATCAGTTCGGAGGAATTAAATCACCTAGTAATCCATTCACATGAAACAGAAGCATAATTGTTAATCCTGTAACACTAACAGCTTATCTAGAGAAGACAGCAAGATAAATTATAACTGTGGTCAAAACATCAATCGAGCTAAGATGATACTGCTGGATTTTCAAGCAACTCCAATCGCGATCCAAATCAAATGGTCATGTTTTTTTTCCATGATACAGACAAAATCCAAGAACGAAAAAGGTTAAGAAGACATTCAGTTATTCCCCAAGTTCAATGTCCATGATATCTCAGCCCTTCCACTACATATGGGTCAAAAGTTGGTCCAATAGCACACCAAATACTGACATTTGGAAATAAGGTTCGCATACAGTTTCAGAAGGTAGAGAAAGGTTCACTTCACTGCGGTAAAAACTAGTTAAACATGCGAGAAACGAAAGAAAGTAGCGTGCCACCGGAATCAAATGCTATACAATTCGCCTTACTAACACCTGCCTAATCAGCAAAACCCAGATAAATGCTCAGAAGATTGGCATAGCTTCCAGTTCCAGTCATTACCTTCTCCTGGTTTTGGGAATTGAACTCCCATGGCATGTCCGGATTGTTATCCGGCGAATCGATGTGCTGCACAAAGATGAACCATTTTCTTACAGAAGAAAAATCACGGAAATGGAAACCAAACAGGAAAAATAATCAAGAAATTCACAGATGCTAAAGGACTCACATAGTTCAGAGCAGTTGAGAAGGAACGGGAAGTCTGCGGCGAACGAACGAGTGAATCAAATTAGAACCATTGAAATGAGATTCGGCGGGAGACTTGGATCGGTCGACGGTACAAACTTGGATGAGAAGAAAAAAAAAGCAGTGGAAGAAGGGATTGGTGACCTGAGCAGCTCGCCGGAAAGCTTGACGGATCTCCAGGAGGCGCGTGGCTGCCAGACGACCGAGCATTTTCCCCAAATTGTGACGAGAGACGGCGGCCAGGGCGGGGACGGACGGTGACGGAGCGGACACTGAGTTGGGTGGACGGAGACAGAAATGAATGCACAAAACCAAATCCAAATGTATGCCTCTTCGGCTCTTCCTAACATTCACAGGTGTGCTGTCCGCAAATGGGCCATGGCAGATAAAATGCAGGGCTGCAGTTGTCCTCTTCAAGCCCATCTAAAAGCCCAGCGGGCCAGCCATTATGTCTCAAAGCCTGGCCCATCCTATCAAGCTTGTATCTGCCACATGGGAAAGGGGCAAGCCGAAACAGGCGCTTGAAAATTGGAATCCTCTCTTCTGAGTCTGATGGGCAGTTCAGTTGTCAACAGAAAATAAATTAAAATGAAAACAAAATAGGTATTTCCTAAAAACAAAATCTGTAATTTTTTTTAGTTAAAAAGAGAATTTTTGTGAGTTCTGAAACTGAATTCTAAAAATGGAAACTTATTTATTTATTTCATTTTGTTTTCTGGTACTTGATTACTACGATTTTTTCATTTTGTTTTCTGGCTGGTTTTCTGTTTAATTGCTCGAATCTGCTGAAACTCCACAGCTAATTTGTCCTGTCAATTACAATTCCTCACTCTGGGAAGCTTCAGCAGTTGGAGGGGTTTAAATCTCAATTACAATAAGATAGTCTCGACAAACTCCTTCCTCCATTGGTAACTTACCTAGATTGACCAGGCTTTTCATGGAGGTAAACCGACTAAAGGGAAGCATTCCTCCAAGTATGGGGAATTGCCAAAATCTGAAGAATTTCAATATTTCTTCCAACAGATTCTGTGGAAGCATAGCCAGCGAAGTTATTAGGCTTTCCCCTCTCTCAAACTCCACGGTTTTGTCCAGTAATTTCTTGGGAGCTCACGCCGGCGATGGATATTAAAGAGACTTAAACATTACAAAATAGTCTGATAAACATAACAAAACAGAAGATGTCACCGGAAAATCCCCCATCGCCATAAAATCCTTTCCGCCGCGCTGAAAAATTCGCCGATGATCGAAAAATCTCTCTCTCTCTCTCTGCGCACGAGGAACTCCATGGTGGGGGAAATATATTTCCCAGCCCCCCTCTCTGGGGAAAATAAATTGCAAATGGACCACAAGAAACGCCGAAAAAAATCGAAATCCCTGGCTTGCAGTTCGGAATCCCTGGCCGATGGAAGAGACGGGAGACGCCGGGAAATCCCGACTGGGGAAGAGACGCGACAGACAATAGAATTTTTTTAACTAATTAATAAAGTCATGCAATTACTATATCGTCCTTCATTAAATTAGATTAATCTGAGTCATTGGATTTTAATGAAGTTGAAGTGCTGAGATTCACTTAGTCATGTGACAAAGGGACCCCCCTTAGTCACCTGATCTTAGCCCCTGACGGAGGGTAAGGATTTGCTCTATCCATTAAAGATCATCCTCTGGCCAGTCGGCAAAAAATTCCTCTACCAACTGCAATTGCATGAAGCGGAATCCGGGTACTGAATTCACCACAAAAGTCGTGTTCGTTTCATGTGCGGCGGCGCTTGTTGTGGCTTTGATTGAAGAGGTAGAATCGGTGGGTTTGAATGGGCGTTGTCCAACTTTCCACTGCCTTCTCCCTTAACTGTGAGGCCCGGCCTACCAGCTCGCCGATTGGAAAGGCCAACGACATCAAGCTAAGAACTCCACCATGACCGACATCTTCGGTCTCAACATACACCTTAGTACTACAGATTTTGTTTTCGGCTAGGAATTCCACCATCATGTTAACCTCATCATCGTTGGATATGACAACTCTTTCGTACGTTACACCGCCTCGGCCGCTGTTTGAATATTGGTAAGTAATTTCACAAACTCTTGTCTATCCCACAAACTCTTTCTGCACAAATGTCATAGAGTTCTTCCCACATGAATCTGGTCTCAAATTTCAACTTACTGCATTTACCATCTCCATAACCGATCCCTCTTTGAGAGTTTGTCATCTAACCATTCCACCGAATAAGAAGTTGGAACGTTCAAAATCTATCCATGTTTGCAATTTAAAATAACTAATGATCGCATATAACATCCAAAACCACATATCACATATAAGTGATAGTTAACTTTCAAAATATTTAGCATAATTAACACGATGCATAATTAGTGAAGTACAAATACAATTATTTATACATGACCATAATAAACACATGCCTTTTAGTGAGAATGAGGGAATGAAATTCTGGTGTGGGAGTGAGATTTTTTGAAAGTGTGGTGGAGAAGAGGGGAGTTTCTTCTACTAAGGTGGAGAAGAGGGGAAATGAGTGTGAGTTAGGATGTTATGCTAGTTTATTATATTGAATTCAGATGAAGACCAGATCGAGTTAGTCTAAGCGATCAATTTAAGATCGTTTACGTCGAAAGCGACCAAGACTAGGTTGCTTCACCTAACCTTAACTCGCGCCTAATATTGATCGAGTTATGGTGATTCAGTATGATCGCCGCCTACAAAAGCGATCAATGAAAAACGGTTACACCAACCCTAGCCTCGTGGAAAAAACAGATGCACCAACCCTAATCTCTTGTTCAAATGAAATCGCGGTTAAGGACATCGATTTAAGCATAATCTCTTTTCTTAAAAGAGATTTTATTGATCACTTGCGACAACAGCGATTAAACATTAAATCGTTGTCTGGTCAGGCGATTAACGCTTTGATCGCTTTTCATTGCTTTCCTCTCGAGCGATCTAGTAATTCATCGGCTTTGTCACTAGCGATCGCGTGATAACATGTGAATTTTTATAAAAGCTTTCGTTTTTGGAAGCAAAAAAAAAAAACTATTGTATCTGGGGGTGGGGGTGGGGTGTAATCCGTTTAATTTGTGGATCTTTCAGTGTTTGAGTCATATGCAACCTTATAGCATAGTTAGTAAAATAAGGTACGTGAAAGTGAAAGTTATGTATGAAATACGTACGGGTATTATACTTTGTTTTTAAGCTAAGGTTACGTTTAATAGTACGTTAATAGTCATAAATATATAAAATTAATTATTTTAAAAAAATATATATATAATATTAAAGTTAACAATTTAATTCATAAAATACGAAATAAACATGTTATACGTGTTTAGTAGGGGTGGGCGTGGTTAATCCGCGGATTGATATCGATCCACCCGCAAATAATCCGACCCGCATGCAATGGGTGATTGATGTGGGGATTGTTAAATCTCCCACCCGCACTTATGTGGGTGGATGACGGGTGGATTGCGGGTCACCCGTATGACCCGCATTCTATTTTTTACATGGAAAAATGTTGTTTCTTATAGTATCGAATATTCATCATATTTTTAAAATGCACTACCGTCTTACCATATACTGCAAAAGGTGGAGAATAAAAAATAATTTTGACTACTATTATTGGTTATTGTGTTGTGCAATATCCATTTGCAATGGATATTGGTATGCAAATTATTGTTAATATCCATTAAATATTGGGATACAAACTATAAATTATTAATTGTATCGAAATCGCAAATTATTGATACAATCTTACTAATGTGTTATGAACTTATTATAAATGTTAGTCAATTTTCTTAATGGTTAGTTGGAGAATTGTTTTTGTGGGTTAACCCGCGACCCAACCGCACCCATCCGCCACCCACCCAACCCAACCCGTATAAGTATGTGGGTGAATTGCGGGTCACATATATTCGAACCCGCTAGTAAGCGGGTAGGTCAATTTTAGACCAAAATCCACCCAACCCGCCCATTGCCCACCCCTAGTGTTTAGTATGGGAGCCATCAAATGAACGGTAAAAAATGAAACATTTTGACAATAATACGAATACGGAAATTTTAAACGCATAAAGTACGTACGAGTACATATACTTGTATTAAACGGAGTATTTACTAAATACAGTAACCACATTCCAGACTATACTCTCCATAATCATGGATCCCCGTGGAAGAAACAAGAGCATGAGAGCTGAATAGTGGAATATGCAACAACTCTAAGCATTTCAAGAAGAAAAATATATCACTATTAATATAAAAATAATCATCATCGTACTATTATTAAGCCATAAGGAACAACAATCGGCAGCCGATACACTAAGGGCAGAGTAAACCAGGCCATTCAATAACCGAATGGCGAAAACACAACACAATCTGTACGCAACCGTGAATGACAGACGTGAAAACAGTAAACTTAAACGCTACTACTACTGCTGGGCACACTGAACCCGTTGCATCGATGGCTCATCATCGTCCTCATCATCTTCATCATATGCCTCACGATGCTGCTGCATCTTCCTGCGCCTATCCTCATACTCCATGTTCACATCATGCAAAGTCGTCTCTTCACAATTATCAATCTCCATATCGCTCAACTTCTTACCTGACCTTGATGGCAGTATGGTCTCTATAGTACCACACTGCTCAGGCGACAGAGCTCCATGCACTGGGAATTCCACCTTAAACCTGATATACAGCTGCCCCTTAATGAATGGCCTGCCGTGCTGAGGCATCCCCTCGTCATTGATCGCCTTGCACTGACCAGGTTTTATCACCTCTCCAGGATTTGATTTTATGAGCAGATGTCTCCCATCAAGATGGGTAAGCTCAAATTGGAACCCACAGAGTGCCTCAGTCAAGCTAATCGTGTGTTCCATTTCTAAATCATCAACTTTCCTCTTGAACTTGGGGTGTTCTTTAAGTTGCAACACAAAGACAATGTCCCCTGTGACTGTATCGGGCTGCAAAACGAGACAACTGAGTTACTAAACCTAAGCTACCAACAAACTGGATCATGCGGGCAGAAACAAGGTATGTTACTTACAGCTTCATCAGCTTGACCCTGGAAAGTTATTTTTTGTTCATGACGCATGCCCTTCTCAACATGAACCTCTAACACCTTCTTTTCTTGATTGACCTTGTTTCCTCTACAGTGAGGGCACTTATCCCTCTCGCTGATTACCTCACCTGGAAATCGATGGCGTTTTGAAAACTGATGGGAGAAATTAAAAACAATATAAACAAACCCCACTACTGCTACATGGAAATAAAATACCTGAGCCTCTACAGTCAGGGCAGATATGCTGCATCTGCTGAAACATGCCCAATCCAATCTGTCGAGTTGTAACTTTCATTCCTGTGCCATGGCATCCATAACATGTCCCAGACGCTCCACTCTTCGATCCCTTACTGAAAGGAATAACAAATCACACTAAGTCATCAGCTGGTTTCAGCACCACAGCAACAGAAACTAGCTGTGACTTAGATGAGAACCCTAAGATTTCATTTTAGCCTTCCGATTGAAGTCGTTTAGAACTCAAAAGCAATGCATGCACCTCCAATGAAAAGGAGATAAAGAACCCAGTGAACAAATAAGGTGGAAAATAACCATACCCTCTACATTTGGAGCAAAGAGCATTCCTCGACAGTGAGAGTTTCTTGGTCGTCCCATTGTACAAGTCCTCTAAAGAGACCTTCAAAGACTGAACCACATCATCTCCTTGTCTCTGCCTTCTTCCTCTGGAACTGCCACCTCCTGATGTACATCCATATTTTCATCTTGGATTAATAAAACAAAATTTAAGCTCCTACAGCAAAACTAACAATCAACTGGACACAATAACAAGCATCAAGTGAATGAAAATACGGACAGGCAACCTACAATAGCTCACCTCCAAAACCTCCCGAGCCAAAAAATGATTCAAAAATGTCAAAAGGAGAATGAGCACCACCACCTCCCCCCATTCCCTCATTGATGCCCTCTTCACCATACTGGTCATATATTTCTCTTTTCTCGGCATCACTGAGAACATCATAAGCTTGGGATATCTCCTTAAACTGAAAACGGATAAACTGAATCATTACACAAGGCTCCCACAAAAACAACCGCTATGCAAACAGCATCAGTATTAAGATTTTCATAAACATCAACAACCAAATAAAAGGTCGTTAAGAGAGATTATGCTCAAACTCAAAGCATAAAATTTCCCCTCCCGTCTTCAATTAACATAACCCTTGTAGCTCAGTTTATCAGGAAAGTAAAGGAACAAGCTTTTGACCAACAAAGGACGAGCTGTCAAATTTCATGTCAATGAGACCCAACAAAACATGAATTTTTCCAAAGGGTTACCCAAAAAAAACTAGAAGCAAACTATAACAGCACCTACTATCCAGGCCCATCATGGCATAAATTTGACATGTCATGCCTGCATGATTAGACACCAAGCCTTGGCGAGTCAAAATGCTAAGGAACCGAAAGAGTGCATGTGATAGCTTGGTGCCAAATAGAAATTCAAACAAGACTCGTGAAAATGTAATTTAGCCTTGCCTTCTCAGGATCTCCACCTTTGTCAGGGTGGTTTTTAATGGCAGATTTTCTGTAGGCCTTCTTCAGTTCATCAGCACTAGCGGTCTTTGGGACACCGAGAACATCATAGTACTTGGAATTATTGCTACTCCTCCTAGGACCTCCACGCCCAAACATGGTTGCAGCACTTCAGTCTGCACCATGTGCATTAAATGAACAGTTTTAGCAAAAGGAGTACAGCAGAGATATAACACCACAGTCAAATAAAGCAAAACATAAACCCAGATTCCAAGAGTAAAGAATCATTTGAGGAAGGAACTGAAACATACGACAGTATCTTCCCACTCATTTCAAAGCAATACCGCTTGCGTCTTAATACAGCAACTACACTTGCAACTAAAAACGAGCAATTATTACTCTCATACAGCCTGGTCTGATGTATCACGACACAAAGGCCACAAATTAAACAAGCTTCCACATTTCATTTCTTAACCACCAACATTCCAAGTCGGACTTTAAACCCCTGATCCAAGCACAGCAACAGACTCAACAAAGACGAAAGGAAACAAGAGCGAACCCTAACTTAAAGAAACTACTCAACATCCCAACAAAGTCAAAGTTTTGGCCACGAAGGCCAAAACACAAGGAGAGCTCAAGGAAACCCTAATTCCTAAACACTAATTCCAAGAGTTCGAATTGAGCTACAGGAAGACAGTCAATGACACCATCAAGAGGGGGAGAAAGGAAGATCTATAACAGTAGGAGATCCAAAACAAGAGAGGAACCAATAATCAAGACAAGACTTACGAGCGAGGAATCCGGTTCGGCAGGGAGAGAGTCTGCGGTTGTTGTCCCCTGCTACTGAAGAACTTTCAACTGCTCGTCTCTCTCCCTTCGCATAGAGGTTTCCTTTTTGCTTGAGAGACGATTTTTATATATGGATAAAATATTTCAAGTACTATATAAGTTTGAGAATTAAAATATACATTAAGACGTCGAGTACCCGAAACTTTTTCATCCAACCCAAACTTTTACTTAATTTTTGGTACCCGAAAATTTTAAAAACATTCAAAACTATATTTCAACAAGGTTTATTTAATATAAAATTAGAAAACCTTCTAAACATATTATTACTAAAATGACTAATCAAATTTTTCATAAAATAGATAAATTAGTAAAAATATTAAACGAATATTAAGAAAAATAATAAGTACGCTAGAATATAAGAAATAAATATTTAAAATTAATATTAGAATATCTATTTAAACAACCTAATTCAATTAGAGCGCCATTAAAAAAAAGTTAAAATAAAATCTAATGGATCATCAATACATCAAAACCAAAGAAAGATAAATGGAACACAATCGTAAGGAATCAAACATATTCCAGTATTTGAAAAAACATTTAGAACGAAAAGAGACGAAAAGTAACCAAGTAATAAATGAACTATTAAAACTACAACATTCAGTAAAAAATGTAGAAAATAAAATATAATTATAGGAAGAGAATTAGAATTACTAAATTTAACTAATATGAAACATCTCCAATATAATATTAGAGAATTAAAAGAAGATTTAATATGGGAAATTAGACAACATCACCATGTAAGTGAACTAAATATAACATTCTCATATTATTTATATCAAGATAGAACTCATAAGATATATTTTCTTCATAAAATTATTCAATTTTACGAACACATAATGATAATTGAAATACTTATAAAGATAATTGATTCTAAATTTTCTATTGAAAAATAGATTTGCTATCAAGTATTCAAAAGAGGATAATGATAATTGAAAATGCTACAACATTCTTCCAAAGGGTGAACATCGGGAGGTAGTCACCTACTTTGACATGGAGATTCTCACCAACCTACTTTCACATGAGAAGGTTAACTTGTCATACTTAATCTTTACATACATGTTTGCTATTGCAGAAAATTCAAACATAAATCTTCTCTATGGGATGATCCTCACTTTGCTATTTGAGCATTTTAATGTGGATTTAAGTGGTGAGGTTGGCTTAAGAGTTTCAAGAAAGGAGTTCTATATAGTTACATCCCTGAAAAAATGGGATTTGAGCTGCATGATGGTGAGTATGCCCGAGCATACAATCCTCATGTAGTCCATGGTGGTGGTGATGATGATGTTGGTGATGGTGATGATGAAGAGTCTGGAGACGAGCCAATGGCCCAGCCATAAAGTTCAACTCCACTAGTCACCATATAAGGTATATGGGACCGCATGGATGGCAGGTACGACTATATGGGACAAATGTCCACCCAGATGACTGACATGTACGATTACATGGGGGCAGATGACCACCTAGATGAGCATATTGCAGCTGACTGTAACAGAGATGCGAGGCGAGTTCCACTTTTTCAGTGGAAGATACATGCATCGCACCACATCTGTCTACCATAATGCGAGCACCACCAATGAGAAAAATGTGGATGAGTGAGAAGGGGGAGAGATGTAGGAACTCCATGATTTTAGATTGTGTTCTTTTGTTGTTTTGTCTTAAAAACCATTTGGTTTGAACTTTGAAACAACTATGATCGTCAATTGATGTTATGTGATTTTTAATTTTAGGTATGTGTGAACAATTATGAGTTGTGTTTTATTGTATTTCTTGTTAGTATGTCGAGTTGTTATGTTATGAAATTATGATTTCTTGATATCATGATTGAGTAATGATTTTGTTGGTTTCAAACGTAATTTGTACGAGCAAACTAACACACACATCGACATACATAAAGCAAAAAAGTTGAAGGTTATACGTTGATTTTCCTATACGAAGTCCACCTTTTACTATATGCGGTCGACCGTGAAACCAAGAATTTGGATCTACGTTTCACGTTAATGGGAATGGATGAATAGATAGTACTTTAGTATTGTACCTGGTCGACCGCTTGTTGTACTTTACGGTCCACCATTTTGCTTCTGACTAAATTGAAAGGTCGACCGAAAATTTATAGGGGTCGACCATTAAGGTATCGACTAACTAAACACGGTCGATCACCATGCTATGTAAGGTCGACCGTGAGGTTTCAGCAGAGTGACCACGATGGTGAATTTGGTCGGCTGCGGGTAGACATAGGTAGACCGAAAAGTGAAGTTATGTTGACTTGCAAGGCACCATAGGCGCACCGCACCCTAAAGTTAATGGCTATCCAGATTTATGGACTTTTTTCAGAAATAACATTGTTAAAAAAAAAATACAAAATACCACCCAAACCCAAAAAATTCCAAAAATACCACCCTTTTTCGAAAACCGCTAGGTGGGGGCGCGGTTTTTGACGAAAACCGTTTGGCTACGGGGCGGTTTTGAAAACCTCTGGGTGGTACGGCGGTTTTGGGCCAAACCGCCACTCCACCCAGAGGTTTTAGTCCTTTTTTTCGATAAACTCTTAACTTGTGCCGAAACTTAAATATAAAGCGCGCTGTTTTCGACGAAAACCGTTTGGCTACGGGGCGGTTTTGAAAACCGCTGGGTGGTACGGCGGTTTTGGGCCAAACTGCCACTCCACCCAGAGGTTTTAATCTTTTTTCCCCGATAAATTAGGGAGGCTTGATTTCTAATTATTCATCTTTTCCTGGAAAGCACGCCGCGCCACGCAGCGTCAATCCAGAAGCAAGAATATTATTTTGGTCGAAGGAAACAAGAAGTTTCATTTCTTTCCCAAACATTCCGCTCTTCTAATAGTCTCCCCGTTCTCTACCTCCTCCGACCAATACCAATCCCCCGCTCGCACTCGCCCGGATCCACATTTCCAGTTGTGAAGGAAACAAGAACAACGGCCCCCGCCTCGCCGCCATGGAATCTTCTTCTCCGGCACGGAACCCCAATCACCCTGGAGGAGGAGATCTGCAGCAGCGCTACCAGAACGTCGTCGTAATGCGGCACGGCGACCGGATGGACAACTTCGACGAGAACTGGACCAAGACCGCCGCCAGGCCCTGGGACCCGCCGCTCATCGACGCCGGCCTCACCAGGGCCTTCGACACCGGCCGCCACTTACGGGCTAGTCTCGATTTCCCCATCCACCGCGTCTTCGTCTCCCCGTTTCTCCGCTGCGTCCAAACCGCCGCGCAGGCTGTGACAGCTCTCTGCTCCGCTGACGGCGTCGCTATCGATCCCTCTAAAATCAAGGTCTCGTGTCCCCCTTCCTTCCCTTCTCCTCCGATTTCCTCCTAGATCCATCCCTTCTCCTCCGATTTCCTCCTCGATCCATTTTCTGATTACAGGCGGGGGGAACGATACAAATACGTTACAGGTGGCCATTGAGTTCGGATTGTGCGAGATGTTGAACACGGAGGCCATTAAACCCGAATGCGCTCCTCCAAGTGGAGATTTTGCCTTCAATATCCCGGAGCTGGAGGCATTGCTACCAGCTGGGGCAGTGGATCACACAGTCAAACGGGTATATGAAGAGGTACTGCTTCTGATTGCAACTAGAATACGTATCAAGAATTTGAGTCACATGACGATGGATTAGAAATTAGAATACGATTCATGGTTCTGGTTCTTCACCTCGCTTTGTTTTTCATACCATTTCTTTTAGATGCCCCAATGGGGAGAATCAGTCGCGGCTGCCAGAACTAGATACACTGAAATCATCAAGGCTCTTGCTGATAAGTACCCTGCTGAAAACTTGCTGCTTGTATCTCACGGTAAGTCCCAATCTTGGTGGGTCTTTTTGGAAGGATGACTGTTCTGTTGCTTTCATTTCCTGCCATGAACTGTAACTAGATACTATAACTTGGGCGAGCTTGCTTGCTTGTTTGTTCATTCATTACATTTGCTCTTCCAAAGCTGAGATGGTTTACGAGATGAAAATGCTTGATGATTCTCAGGGGAAGGAGTTGGAGTCTCGTTCTCTGCATTTTCAGTCGATAAGACTGTTTATGAAGTGCAGTACTGTGGGCATACCGAGTTAAGGAGGCCGGCCCAAGGGGGAGAGTTTGAGGTGAAGGGATCCAATGGCATCCTTTACTGCTCTACAAGGACTTGAAAAAATAATCAGAACCAACCGGGGTTGCAGATAGATATATATTGGTGCATTTGAGCTGAGTGACCTCATCATCTGGAGTTTCATTTTGTGAGCAGGACTAACTCAACTACAGTCGGTCAGTCTTACCTCACCCATTTATAATTTGCTTGAACTATGCAAGTTAGACGACATACTGAGAAATTGGTGTTTCTTTCTATTTTCCCTTGTTCATTTGTTAACTCTGGAATAACATTGCAAATAAAGGAAGCGTTTCTGAAGTTGTTTTGTATGCGTTTTGGGTATCGGATGTGTGAGGAATTGGCCTTGGTCGGGAAACTTTTGTAGTACTAAGAGATGCATATTGGAAGGTATGGTTGTGTAGTGACGTTCATGGAACAGAGGCTCGACAGAATCTGATTGTGGTTGTGCCTTGGTAAAATTTTTGTGACGTTCAGGTTGGTTTTCTCATGAACATTGATCTCTTTTTTGGGATTGCTTCTCATGTTGCTCGGAAGAGATCCTGGATTTTGTTGGGCATTTTGAAGCACTAGAAAGGAAGCTAATTGGCACTTCAAATTCTGAAGGGCTGCCTCCTGGCCTCTCATGTATGCTCGAAGCTCATCATCAGTCACTCATGCTAGAGGATTATGAGGGTTCTCGTTTTGTTCCTTGAATGGTGGTCTCCTATTCAATCCTAGTGGTACTATATTCAGTTTCCTTACCCATTTAAGATTGGGTGGAGCCTTACCCATTTAAGATTGTATATGTTCGATTTGGCGAACTTTTGGTTTGTGACGCTCCACGCCGATTTTTTTAGAAATTCAAATGATAGGTTTCCAAAACCAAAATACAAGGTTTTTTTTTTTCAAAAGATAATCATTCATTGATTCATAAGAAAGATAGCTACATCCTGGAATTCAGCCAGGCCTGAAAATCAAAAACACGACACGTAATCGGAAACAATGAAAGGGCTTTTCTAGCCACCATATGGGCTACCCTATTGTGACTCCGACCTACAAATCGCACACTAAACCCCGAATGAAAGGCAAAATATGAAACTATTTCTTCAAGCACAGCCCCCATCCGAGAATCCCCGTTCTCTGCTCGATTGATTTTATCAATGACGACCTTGGCATCACCTTCAAAGAGCACCGTCGAGAATCCCTGCTCCAAACACCTCCAAATTGCCTCCCGGAGGGCAAGAACTTCCACCACCAAAGGGTCATCGATACACTGAAACTGAACCCCTTTAACCCTCAGAATCTCCCTAGCCGACGTCATGATTACCATCCCACCCGCCGAGTGAGACCCATGACGAGTTGCCCCATCCCACATACATATTACTGCAGTAGGAGGAACTGGGTTCAAAAATGCCGGCACAGGAGTTCCCATAGCCATGATCGGGTCAGTTGGGAGACGTACCCATTCATCCAGCTGCTGGTTGTATTGTCTCATCAAAGCTGGGAACCCAAACTGCTTTCCTTCAAAGACTACCCAATTCCGAGATCGCCAAATTCGCCATAGGACCGCCACCACTGCGAACAATAGGTCTGGTTGGGGAATCACTGCCAGTAAGTTCTTAAGAAAGAGAGGGAAAGTATGCCTGGGCAACCCTTGACCTAAGTGCTCCAGTCCTGCATAATCCCAAAGGGCACGGGCCACCGGACAATCCAGAAACAAATGTTCCATTGTCTCAGTCCCTTCCCAACAAACTGGACACCTGGGATGTATCTCAACATCTTTCTCTCGAAGAGCCTCAGTAGTAGGCAGAATCCTGTTAAAAATTTGCCAAACAAAAACCTTTAGCTTAGGCGGAATGTTAGCCTCCCACAATCGAATCCAACTGGTCCTGTCCATCCAACTAACCGTAGCTCTCCTACGGTGGTTACCTTGATCCATTCTGACTGCCAGATGGTACGCAGACTTTACCGAGAAAACCCCATCTGGCGAGTCATGCCAGATCAATCTATCCGCAATATTGCCTCGGGGTAGCGGGATGGCTTTGATGGCACGACACGTCTTTGGATCAAACCACTGGCTAAGCTTAGAATCACACCACCGCCCTTCCCCCGGAATGATTACCTCAGCAACCAGCGGGTCACCCTCATCTGGCAGAACTACAGGGTTAAATTGCGGAGGAGCCGGATGTAAGAGAGGAATCTAGTTAGCCGACAAGAGAGAGGCAGTCTGACCATTCCCAACCTGCCATCGAACACCCTTCTCAAGTAACTGCCTACCATGCAGAATACTTTGCCAACCCCACGATGGGCGGGACCGCGCTTGAGCAGATAGGAAGGTTCCCGTAGGGAAATACTTACCTCGATAGACCTGCGCTAAAAGCGATTGAGGTTCCGTAATGATTCTCCACCCAATCTTGGCCAGCAGAGCCTGATTAAAATGCTCAAAGCGACGGAAACCCATTCCACCATCATGCTTACTTTTACACATATTATGCCATGATACCCAACGGATTTTGGACTGATCATCCTCAACACCCCACCAAAACCTAGCTACATGCTTGTCGAGAAGCCTGCACAGGGACAGGGGGAGCTTGAAACAAGACATGACATGCAATGGTAAAGCTAAAGCGATAGACTTTATCAAAACCTCTTTAGCTGCCCAGGACAAAGTCCTCCGTTTCCACCCCTGTAGCCTCTCCAGGAGCTTTTCCTCCAGGTAGCGAAAAGTAGCCATCTTAGAGCGAGAAATGAGGGTTGGCAGTCCCAGATATTTATCATGAACCCCTACTGCCCCAACCCCAAGGATCCGGGCCAAGAACTCTTGATCAGCCAGCGCAATATTTCTGCTAAAGCAAACAGCAGATTTATCCAAGTTAACCCTCTGCCCACTGAGCTCCTCATACTCGTTCAACACCTCAATCAGGTTCTCGCATTCCTGAAGGGACCCTCTCATAAATAAATAGGAATCATCCGCAAAGAAGAGGTGCGATATACGAGGGGCCCGGGGAGCCACTTTAACTCCATGAAGCTTTTGTTCAGCAATTGCCTTATGTAGGAGAGCCGCAAAGCCCTCAGTACATAGCACAAACAAGAGAGGTGACAGAGGATCACCCTGACGGAGCCCCCTAGAAGGAGAGAAGTATCCTGATGGAGTGCCATTCATTAATACCGAGAACGACGTTGTTCTTAGGCATTCATGAATCCAACCCCTCCAGGTAGAGTTGAAGCCCATCTTTTCCAATACAGCAAGGAGAAAGGGCCATTCGACTCTATCATAGGCCTTTTCCATATCAACCTTCAAAGCCATGTACCCTTTCTTACCTGTCTTTTTGATCTTAAGATAGTGCATCAACTCATGTCCCAGGAGGATATTCTCTACTATCTGGCGCTCACGAATAAAAGCATTTTGTCCTTTCGAGACAACATGAGGCAAAATCCCATCCAGACGCTCAGTCATAAGCTTTGTAATAATTTTATAGACAAACTGACAAAGGCTTATTGGACGAAGCTGCCTCATAGTTTCCACGTTGTCCACTTTGGGAATCAAGGTCAACCAGGTATGATTAAAATTGCGGAGCATCCTGCTCGTTCTAAAAAACGAGCAAACCGCCTCTACAACGGAATTGCCAACAATGTCCCAGAAGGTTTTGAAAAACTTTCCAGTGAACCCGTCTGAGCCAGGTGCTTGTTTCGAGCCCATTGAGAAGACAATTTTCCTTACTTCCCAAGGAAGGACTTCCGCCGTCAGATTGGCATTCATTTCTGGGGAAATGCTCTGGGCTATGGGCAACTCCTCAACCCTCTCTCGTATGTTTCTTATCTGGGTTTCTGAGGTAAAAAGAGTATTATAGAAGCTATAGGCAATTCCTGCCTTTTGAGCTTCATCCGTGATCCATTCCCCGTTATCATTGCGGAGGCCTGCCACAAAGTTTCGTTTTCGCCTAGCCCTAGTGACCGTATGGAAATAAGAAGTGTTCTTGTCACCCCTTTTTAACCAATGGACTCTGGACTTCTGCTGCCAGTATATCTCATCCGCTTCCCATTGCCTACTTAGTTCCATTTCCAGGCCGCGGATTGTATCCCAATCAATGGGGTGAACTAATTTTACCTGATCGATTTCAGCCTGGAGAGTCTTGATATTACGGAGGGAGTTCGTGGTACCAGCCCTACTCCAATCGTAAAGTAAGTGCCGAAGCTTCTTCAAGCGTTCCCATAACTGAAACATGGGAGTACCAGCAATTTCTTCCCTCCAAACATAACTAACCATGGCCCGAACCTCAGGATTTTCCGCCCAGCGAGCATCAAATCGGAACAAGGGCCTAGCATTGCGGGAATAGGGTTTGTCCGAGAGGAGGAGAGCCCGATGATCCGATCCCTGATCTGTGAAGTGCTTCACCAAGGTCTCCGGAAAGAGATCAATCCAGCCTTGGGAGCATAAAGCTCGATCCAGCCTCTCACGGATACAGGCCACACCCATCCTTCTATTGGTCCAAGTGAAAGGGTCCCCCTGGTACCCTGGATCGTGAAGACCAAGGTCCTGAACGAAATCCCGTAGGCTAATAGAGTGGGCCGTATTCCAAGCGTTCCCTCCATCTTTCTCACCCTCACGAAGAGTAGTGTTAAAATCCCCAATCACCACATAAGGAAGCTGAATAGAAGCACATAATTGCTGCAGCTGAGCCAATTGAGTAGCTCTGATTGCTAAATTACAGCTAATGTAAACAGAAACAACCACATAAGAAAAGGAAGTTTCATTAATTTGAGTGCAGATACAAAAGTTGGAACTAAAAAACACCGAAGCATCAACTTCGGGGGACCAAGCTACAACTAACCCTCCAGATGCATCAATTGCATCCACCAAGAAACAACGAGAATTTTCAAAGCCTAAACCACGCATACGTCGGGACACAACTGTCCGGCTCGATCGTGTTTCAGAAAAAAACACGAGATCCGGTTTATTAGAACGAATTAAACCAAAAGCAGTTTGGAATGTGAGGGATGGTCCAATTCCTCTCACATTCCAGGCTAGAAGCCTCATTTATCCAGGTGGGCCCAATCGCGGTTGGCTGCCTCCACCGTTTCCAGGTCACTCTTATCCTCCACAAATAATTTCTTAGGGGATGGGAGATCAGCAATGCCGCCCTCCACTTCATCAATCCGACGCTTCCTGCCCTCATCCCCCTCCTCACAAAAATTGGAGCCATATTCGTTGAAATCCCTAAACCGCGGGTCTCCACCATTGAAAGCCTCCTTACCCTTGTCCGTCTCTACCATCTGGCGAGGGGACAGCACCGTTTGCGCAATGGGTGGCTCGCTCAGCGACAGCCCAGCCTCGAAGGCCTTGACAGCCTGCCGCACATGGGATGATTGAGCCAGCCTCTCAGCCTGTCCCTTCACCCGCGGAGCCCGGCGACGGATCTCGAAGGGTTGCTCCTCCAAATCTGAGAGAGAATCCGCCGACTCCAGTCCCTCATTAGCTACATCAGCTGCCTGGGGGCAAGAATTCTCCCCCTGCGACGGTGTGCCCACTGCCACTCCCTCACCCAGATTTTCCGGTTTTGGAGGACGAGCATCCCCTGCCCTTTTGGAACTGGCGGGTTTTCCCGTTTGCTGCCGCGGTTTACGCTGCTGCTTAGCCTTCAGCCCGCACATCTTAGGTGAGTCAACCCCCAGCAAAGTCTTCCCTTTCTTCTTCCTGGGAGTTGGGGTTGGCACAGGAATAGACGCACCGCTCGTCACAGTAGCTGTCTCCGCAGCCTTAGCAGCCTGAATGGCGCAATTCAAAGGGCATGGCGGCGCTGGACTGGGGATTTTTTGGACGACGAATTCATCTTCCGACTCCTCTTCCAGTAGCAGGCGGCGTCGGCGAGTCACAGCCCCCTCAACCTCCCTTGCCGGCCGCGCAATAGGAGAGTCGCCATTGGCTTTCTTCAGCTTTCCACGCCGGCCCAGCCTCCCTATACGCAATTTTGGGCCTGTCGTAACCTGGATTCGGGCCGGGCTCCTTTCTTGCTGTTTCCGCGGTTCCGTCGTCAAGAAGGGCTGGGTTGAAGAGCCCATCCACAACGAAATTTCAACAATTGCAGGTCTCGAGCCCAACAGCGGGTCCCGCCTGGTCAGTCCAGCCGAGGGATCTGGCACCCGTGGCTCCCGCCGTTCTTGGGCAGCAGTGTTAATCCAAACAGATTTGGGTCTACCTTGAAAAGCTGGCCCTCCTTCATCTTCCTCAAAAACCCTCCTTCCCAGCTTCTTGGTCGACATGTGATGACCAAAGCGCTCTTGTCTTGTGGGAGGATCGAAAGAGCAGGTTTGGCGGGAGTGCCCTACACGTCCACACTTATAACAGAAGGTGGGTAAGTGCTCGTACTTCAGCCTGATCCAGAAATCCCCTGTCTCTTCATTGGATGCCATCACTTGAGATCGAAGAGGTTTGGAGAAATCTATCATGGCTTTGATTTTTATAAATCGGCGCCCCGAGTCAGTGCACGAGTAAACTCCCGCCTCCAACACTCGACCCAAAGTGGCAGTGGCCATTGTCCGCCCAAACCTCTGGGTGCAGCAGTCCTCCTGGATTTCCCACATCTGGACCTTGAAAGGAGCAACAACAAGCTCGTCGAAGGTACGTTGATTGATGGTGGGAACCCAAGGTCGTAGGTGTAAAATTTTGTCGGCAATAACCCAAGGCGATTGCTTGAGCACCCATTGTTTGGCCGCTTCATTAGGTAGCACGAATTCAAATAGTCCGTGAGCAACCAGTCGCACCTTGATGCGGCCTTGCCCTTGCCACGGCTTGTTAATGCGGAGTTCAGCAGTAGTGGTTCTGCTTTCAGTGAACAGCCGGCCAATGAGCGTCCTTGAATTCCGGATCCTGGCCGACTGGACCTCGTCAAGGGAGAAGTGGACAACTTGGTCATTGGTGAAGCCAGTCATTCTGTGATCCTGTGAAACAATCACGTTACCACGTCCACAACACAAGCATCAAGGACTCGGCTTCAAAGTGTCCAATTAAGGACCAAGGGAAACAGGAGATTACGATGGTGATCCTGCGAACAGGACTTCGTTGCTCCCAAAGAGCAAAAAATAATTCCGAGATGGATTGCTCTAACGTACCAGAATAGAGCTTTTGTCTTCTTCCGTTGTTTGCCCTCCTGAGTCTGTCCAGCTGAATATCTCGGTGATGAATGAGAGAAGCTGGGCAGCAGGCACAGTTTAAATATTCGGCAGACCCACCCAAAGGTAATTGTTGTTTCACTGCAATTGGGACTCTAGTCCATTTGGGATAGGACTTATCCACTTCGCCAAACCGTTGCACAGCGGGTAGGATCGGAAGGTCCATAATCCCATCGCGCAAACCCCGTGATAGGGAAATCCTGCCGAGATTCTGTTTGTTGGGATAGGGTCGATTTTTCAAAAAACCCCTCAACGGCCTCGGACAACAGAGCGTCGCCGGCCGGAGTATGAGGGAATTTTCGCTTAACTTTATCACACCAAGCTTCGCCGGCGGCCTTGCCCCATCCCATGGTCTAAGACCTTGTTCCCGCGAGTTTCCAAGTAAATTTTTCGCTTCTGCTAGTTTCGCAGGAGGGACCGTCGCCGGCCCGATTAGGCAGGATTTTCCGGTCACTTTTTTCTCGCCAAGCTCAGCCGGAGACCTTGCCCCATCTCGGGGTCTAAGACCTTTTTTCCGCGATACGCTAAGAAAAATTCCCTCTTCTGTTGGTGTCACAGGAAGGACAGGGAGAGGATCCGGATCATCTCCTTCATCACTTTCTAAGTCAGGAGACGATGGAAGATGGAATCGCCACATCGTGATTTTAGTGCACCGTCGCTGTTTACTTTGGGGGCAATGGCAGTCCAATCCCATCCTCGAGGGCGACGCAATCTTGCGTTTATGGATCCCCAAACCTTGACGGCAGCAACGGCGGAGACTGTTCTGGCAGCCAATGCTTCGCTTCTTCGCCTCGGAACCGCTACTTCGTTTCCTATCTTCGACTGTTAAGGTTTCCATAGGAAAAAATTCCTAAAAAGATTTAAGGAATATACTATTCCGTATTACCATTATCATGGACCTTAGTGTAAAATATGGTCAAACAAAAATGTGTGAAAGCATGGTTATCAAACCACTAGTATATCGCTCGGTACAACCGTTATTGGACAAAATCGACTAGAAGCCATCGTGTGAAGCAATAGTCATAACCGGTAACAAGTTTGATGATTTCTCATTATGTTCGCAATGTAGTATTTTGTTTAAGTATGGATTGGATCATAGCTAGATTTAGGGATGTCAATGGGTAGGGACGGACGGGATACTATATCCATTACCATACCCACAATAGTTCGGGTTTACCCATATTATTACAAGAATCAGGTATAATATTAAAACCATACTCATACCTGATTGGGTTTCGGGTATCCACTGTTAATCATGAGTAATAATTTTGATTTATACCTTCAACCAAAATGTTAATAATATAAGATATACTGACTTACATAAGTGAAAAGTTAAATCAATAACATACTAAAATGAAAAGTTAGTTGAAAATAATATAATTTTGTGAAAATATTATATATGTATGGTACATATAAAATCTATTGAGAAAAATAATGATCATTTTTAAACAAAATATATATGTATGTGTATAATTTGGCTGGTTCGAATTGGATAGTGAGAAAATCATGCCCACCCATCAACGCAAATATTTGGGTTCGGATTTCCCCATAGCCATTAAAAAAAATTTGGTTATGATTTGACCCACCCGATCAGGTCGCATTCGAGCGGGTATCCACGATTATGGTTATTTTTGCCATCCTTGGGTAGATTGTCTTAACACTCGACTGTTTGGAAAAGGTGTTGCAGCTAGATACAAGCGTCCGTATTATTTAATGTTAATGATTTTACACTTCCTCGTATGTTCTGTCAAAACCGACACCATAAACTTATTGCACCCCAGTTGGAGCCATGGTTATCATGCTGGTGGAATGCCCGGTGTCGGTCATGAAACCGGTGTGAACACCAACATTATAACCAGCAAGATTGATTTACGATCTCCAAACAAAATGACGACGTTTTAAAGAATTATATTAGTAAAAATTTATTTATTATTCATTTTTTGAATTTAAAAGTTAAATATTGATGCTATTTGTTGGATTCAAGTATAAACTTTTTTTTTCGTTGAATAAGTATAAACTTTTAGATATTGATGTTAAATATTATATTTAAATAAAAATATTTATTATTTTATTTGGAATGTCAAACTTATTTAAATATAAATATGAATTGTAAGTAAATTGATTTCGAATATGTTATATATATAATTAAATTTATTTGATATTAATAACTTTTTACATTTATACATGTTTTGTTAAACAAGCATAAACCGGCATAAATTACTTATACCACAGATAAAATTATTCGCACTTGTTAAATCAACTCAAAACCGATTTAATAATTTTGATCGGGCCACTACTTACTATTACTAAAGTAAAAACCGGAAGTTAATCTCTTTTCTTCATGCTCCTCTCCGCGGCGTCGATTCGAGTCATTCTCTCTCTGTATCCTTTTTTTTCCTCCTCTGTGTTTTCTCTTCTCTCCCTCTCTCTCTCTCCGTACAGTGTTTTCTCGGGGTTTCTTTTTTCCAGATTTAGATCATTCCATTAAAAACTCCTCGAAAATTGTCCGAATCAGCCGAACCCCACGTCGTATTCTTCCCAAAAATTCCCCCCTCTTCTTCCCCATTTCAGCTCGCCTCATTCAAGGTTTCTCCGCCCTCAGATCACTTCTGATTCTGTGTAATTCTCCCTATACAAGGAACAATCAAATAATTACAGTACAGTACAGTTGTAGTTCCCAAATAGTGCTAGATGCAGGGCCAGGTGAGCAGCGCAGAAGAATCGGGTGAGTGTCAGTTGACGGGCTTCTGGGGCGGGTCGTCGTGTTGATTAATGGAGAAGAATAATGCGAAGGTTACGGTGACGTGAATCTCGTGCCGTTTTGATTGATCTGCCTCGAGCTTCCAAAAGCGGCCGGCTGGGAGGTATGCATAGCAAAAATGTCGTGCGCTTTCGTTGCGGCGGAGGAAGGAGCTGAATGAGCGAGAAATAGAGAGAGAGAGAGAGAGAGAGAGAGAGAGAGAGAGAGAGAGAGAGAGAGGCGGCCGGCGGGGTGGAGATGGCGGCGGCGGCGGCGAAGGCGAACCGGTTGGCGGTGAAGGTGAGGAGGGAGGTGATTGAAGGTTGCATGACGTGTACTATCTGCAACCGGCTCTTCAGAGACGCCACCACCATCTCCGAGTGTCTTCATACCTGTCAGTTTCCTTCTTTGTTCCTCTTTTTGGGGTCTCAATTTGACGGGAGTTTCTTCTTCTTTCGACTGAAAACGTCAATTGGCGTGCCGGTTCCGTAATTAATTTCGACTCAACTACGTGGCCTATTGCGATGCATCCGTACTGGGGTTGGGTTTGATCCCTAAGCTGAGTTGCCTGCGATGTAGTATCAAATTATGGCGACGATGATGAATGGGGTTTTAGTGGGTTCTGCTAATTAAGTTCCATGGCAAAAAAGAAAGGAGCTTTATGGTTTAGTAATGTGGATAGTATTCTGCAACTTTATTTTGCTGATGTTTAGTTTGTGCGAGTCAGTTGATTGTGTTGATCTGTTTTGGAACACGGGCTACTGTATCTTGTGAATTTTATCGATACGTAGACTCTGGATCATCTGCATCACTTGCTTCTTGATCTGATTGTGTTCCCCAAATTAATTTGTTACCGCCACTTCACGCAGTTTGCAGAAAGTGCATATACAAAAGGATATCCAACGATGGACTAGAATCATGTCCTATCTGCAATATTGATCTGGGCTGTGTAGCGCTGGAGAAACTAAGGTTCTACCCTTTCCTTCTAAAAAATTCTTTTTCATTTTGGCTACAAAACTAGATGGAGTTCATTAGGTTCGCTCGTGTATGGATATTAGTATATTTGCTGGTGTTCACATGCCAACTCCAAAGCTTCATCTGAATTATTTGATCATTACGTACATTTTATTCATTATGATTGCGTGTCACCACTTCTATGCATGTTGAGATGTATGCGGTTATGTATCATGTTGTCAATATTATATAGTTTGTGAAGTCGCAAGGTCCTTGCCCCCTTCCGTAATACATTTTGACGTTTGTCTGTGGTGTTCTGAACTTCCTCATATGGCCACACTGAATGGAGGATTTGTATTTGTGAGTTGTGAAGTTGATAACATTGCTTTGTGGAGAAAATAGATGTCAGGGGGATTCGGATCCTATGAGCTCTACAGTTAGATAGTTTCAGTCTTTAGTTTCCTGGCAGTAGTGGGCTTTAGCTTGCTTCTCTTTCTTTTGGTTAGATGGTTTAGTCTGCTTCTTTTAGGTCTGAAGAAAAAGCCAGTGAAATAAAATTGCACATATGTGGGTAGTCAAAAATGTAATCTGGGTTTTTTCTTTTCTCCTCATTCGAACATGCACAAATGTACCATTTGCCAAAAACCTTCCATCTCTTTTGAGAATCTAGACTAATTCATCCATGAAATCAGGGCGGATCACAATTTGCAAGATGTGAGATCAAAGATCTTCCCATTCAAGAGAAGAAAGATTGTGGCACCCGATCATGTCGCTCCTGAAGAATTCCCTGATGTTACTTCTGACGTTTCACCATTGGTCCCATTACCAGTTAGAAGAAAGGAGAGGTCGCTCTCATCTTTAGTAGTCAGTAGTCCAAAAGTATCGACACAGAATACGACAACAGGAAGACGAACCAAACTTGCGCCTAGAAAAAGTAGTTCTGCTACAAGGAGCTGCAGTCTCCCCTTAGATCATAAACCTATTGAGAAGGACGATGATGACAATGTGGAAGATTTCCCTGAGAGTTCAAGTTCACGAGAAACTGATAAGAAATTCGACAGAAATGGAAGAAAGGTAATGAAATAGAAGAACATGCTCTTCCTTTTTGTTGGCGATTCTGCTATGCCTATCTAGTTATTACCAACCACTAAGATAACCAAATGTTTTTGCTGGTTCATGCAGTGTTCATCGGCTGAGCCAAGCCAATCTGCTTCTAATGCTGAAGCACCAGATATTGGTGGTGAACCATTGGATAGGAAATCTGATCTCTGGCAACCTTTAAATTTTTTGGTGGAAGTTGCAAGTAGGACCAACTCTTACAAGTCGAATAATAATTCACAACTTCCTGATGATAAATTAGAGTCTATTCATCTCCCTGAAAGTGAAGCTTCGTTTAGGAAACCCAAGTATAGGGAAAATAAGGACAAGTCAAATGTTGATGATGAGAAGATCCAGATATATACTGATTCCCAGGAACCAGAAGAACCAAAGAAGCAGCGCAGGATTCGCAGAAGGAAGCCATCTGTGAATGATTCTGGTATCTCTTCTCAAGCTGTCCTAGATGCTTCAAGTTCAAAACAAGAGAGAAGAGCCACTCCTGTTTGGTTCTCATTGGTTGCTTCCAGTGAACAGTAAAAATCTCGTCCTCACTTCTTTTGAGATTGAAACAAGACCGTCAATGTGGGAAATTTCTGTGACTCTTGTTCCAGTTAGTTATATGTATATGCTCACAGACACTATATCAATTTTGTAGGGAAGGAGATGCATCTTTGCCACAAATCTCAGCAAACTACTTAAGAATTAAGTGAGTTATGTTATACTTCATCTCAATTTTTTACATACTAGTTATGTTTTAAATGGATTTGTTATCTGGGTTTTATGGCTCTGGTGATATTTAAATGGATTATGCAGACTAGTATGTCAAGAGAAGTGCTTGGTTGTTATGTAAGCAGGAGGAACGAATGGAACTTGTAGATGGCTTTTGCAAACCATTTTATTTGCTGAAAAAACATTTTGCCTTGTTCATGATTATGATTACCTGAACTCGTATTTCTTATGTGATGCGTACAGTTTAAATTTCAGAGGTACTCATGGGAAAACGTCTTGAATTGAAGAAATCCCTTTGAAAGGCAACTATGTTGTTGCTAACTGTTTCCCATGGAACCACATTGCACCCTGTTCCGAATGGCATCTGCTTTGTGTATAATTTATGATCTAGATCTTGTGGGCCTTGTGAAATTGTGTCGTCTCCATGTGCTGGTGATATAGATGACAAACCCTTGAATGGAAGAAGCTTTCATAAGTTTTGGGTCTACTGCGTGTAGTCACATAATGTGAAAGAGAGGAGATTAGTTATTTACAATTCCCCAATGGTGCAGTCAGGACGCCGTGCACTTACTAATTTTAAATCTTTGTTCATTTACTGTCATATTGGACTTTCAGTTAGTTCATGCATATTTCCAGCACCGAATTGATCATGTTGAACGAAAAAGTACAGTGAAAGAGTAACTGTTTTATTGCGTTACTTAGGTTTCTTTTTGTATTTTTATTTTGTATAGTTCCTTGTTGCTATTCTGAACTTCCTGACATGGTTCTGTTCTTTGATTTGGCAGTGATGGAAGTATACCTGTTTCATTCATCCACAAGTACCTGAAGAGGAAACTAGACCTCCATAGTGAAGAAGAGGTAAATGATCTAACGCCTGTTTAAGTTTCAACTCCGCTGGTTTCCTCACTCACATTCTCAAAATCCATCCTTTGTTCTTTCTTCTCCCCCAACTGGAAAACCCATCTTTGCAGTAACTGTCCCGTTGAACTCACTTGTCTTGATAGGTTTACACCTCAACTGTCCGTGAATGAGCATGATTTGACTGCTCTCTTGACCTGTAGTTAGTTAATTGCTCGTGTTGACGTGTTTGCTTATGACTGCTGGGCTGTGTTATTCAATGAAGTATACATTCCCCTTCTGCACAAGAAACGGCTGAATTCCGCTTCCCTTTCCTTTGCTTGATTGCGCACAAAGGGAAAGCAAAATAGACACAAGTTCATCGTTTTGCAATTCGACTGAATCTTCCTCGTTTCGCTTTTTCTTTCCTGTTGCAGATTGAGATAAAATGCATGGGACAACCAGTCCTGCCAACGTTGCAACTGCGCAATCTAGTTGATCAGTGGATCCAGAAAGAATCAACATCAGAAAGAAGTGAAGCCAGGGTTGGTTTGTCAGCCAAGGAGTTCGTCATGGTTCTCGCGTATGCCCGAAGGGAATCAAAGAGCAGCAGCAATTAGCCACCATTTGGTTGACTGCATTATATGTACGGCGCTGGATTTTTCCTCCTAACACTCGGCCAACACCATATATATGTACACACAGCAGAAGAGCAGGCTCAAGGACTTGTTTACCCACGCAACACAACTACACAACACAGCCCACGACACACCACAATACCACATACAGTTAGTTGTCTTTGTTTACAATAGTGAGCATGGCGTTTTCATTTCTGATTCTTTTTTCTGCCGAATCATTTCATTACATGAGTTCTTTGGGATGGGATGTACTCTTGCAATGTGGGCAGTAGCTCTGGAAACATTTTTTTTCTTCCTCTCCATTGATCATTTTCAAGAACGATGTGGTACGGCCAATCTATCTGGCGATTTCATAGTGCTGAGCGTCCTGGTTTTTGGTGTACTGTTGGTAGCCGATACGCGGCGTGGACTCCGAGGTATCGATCCCATCGTACATACAACACGTTTGCCTTGTTGACAGATCAGACATAGGGTGTTCAAATGGTTACTATAGTAATTGCCAAACCAAATAAGCCTAAGTTCTATTAACTATGGAAGACAATATCATAACTAAACCGTCCAAACTAATACGATAACCAAATTAACCAAACTAAAATTTAATCGGTTTGGTTAATTGGTTAATCAAAATAACCAATATACCATCACATTATCATTAAGTGAGAGAAATTTCCTATTTGTGCATTAATTCGTAATTTATATAATGAATAAAATAGAACAATCAACCCAAAATTATAGTTAACCTTAACACATATACATGTACCTAATACAATTAGCCAAATTAGCCAAGCCAAACCAAATTATCAAAATACTACCTATTAAAACGGTTACCACGATAACCACACCGTTTGAATACTCCTATTCGGACAACAACGATGTCCGTTTTGGTCATGTTCAGACACCCTCCTAATTAGCTCATTGTTTGTTCCACTGATCACCCTCGCAAATAGCCCAATCCTGATACCCTCGCAAACTTTCGTCTGTCTCCCAAACCTTCAGCGCCACCATCGTCGACCTTCTTTCTTGCAAGAAGTGAATGCTTCAATCAATGAGTTACCTTTGTCGACTGATGGCAATCAAGAAAATATGGTTGTTGTTGAAACTTGAAACTACTTCAAGTGATCATGAGAATAATAATATCATTTCTCAAGCAATAGACAATGATTTTATGAGGATGAGAGTGAGGTTAAATGATATTATTATTTTGTTGGGGATGTTGCTAAGAGACTCCCCGTAGAGAATAAGTAATACCGCGTCCAATCGACAACGTATGACGCTCTAAACCCGCTACGGGTATATAAAGGTATGAAACCCACCAATGAAAGGGGACTTCCTCTCTCTCCTGACTTTCCACTTTCTACTATCTCTCTACGCTTTATCTCTCTATCTATTCTCTCAACTCTCTCCACAAACATACACTGACTTGATCGTCGGAGCTTAATCCGGGGGGCAACCCCGACTCTTTCACAGGTGTCTTCTCTCCCGACGAGATCGGACGAACGGATCGTGAGTCAACCCTGCACCAACAAATATCATTGTTCGTGCCCTGAGCTAGTTGGCACAAACAATTGGCGCCCACCGTGGGGCTGACTGGTGCATTCTTTAGTCTGATTTCTGAAGGGGAAGAGATCGCCTCCCCCGCCACCAACTTGAAGATTCAATATCCATCCCTGAAGACGAAAATAAAACCCATCAGAGGTTGAAGAAAAAGGGGACTCAACACCAGCTACGAGCAACAACAGTCGCTGCAATTTCCGACCAAAGCAGCGGCATCTGAAAGAAGAAGAAGAAAAAAAAAACAGATGGTCGCAGCTCTTGTCACTCTCTTGTCCCCAACGTTCTCCAACTTTTGGCCCTCAAAGTCAAAAAGCATATATGTCCATCTGAAAGAAGAAGAAGAAAAGAAAAGAAAAAAAAGAAAAAAAAAACAGATGGCCGCAGCTCCTGCCACTCTCTCGTCCCCAACGTTCTCCAACTTTTGGCCCTCAAAGTCAAAAAGCAGATCTGTCCATCTACAGTGCATAGCAAAAAGTAGAGAAAATGTCACTTTACTTTTTCAGAAAATGAGTTTCTGTCAGAAAGAGGAGTTGGGGGAGTTACCGAGGCAATCTCCACTTTCTCCCTCCTACTGCAAGGGTTTCATTTCCCTAGTTCGCTTGCCGAGGCCCAAATGGACAAGATCGGCCCACCCCCGCGTCACACAACCCACTGATGACGCGCCGCGCCACATTATATGCGCCCCACTCACTTGTTGCGGCCCACTTCGCCAATCCCCGCAACACTCAAAAAATGCTACGGCCGCCAAGACTCAAACTTGCATCCTTTCTCCATTGGACGAGCATGTTAACCAGCAGACTAAAGCACGGTGTTGCTACTAAAGCGCAGCGCGCCCTATGTATCCACTCTCACTCGCCTCAACAGCAACAGACGGCGTGGGCCCACCAAACCGCAGCCCGAATCCCAACTCGCGGAGGCGAGCGCCGCTTCGGGCCCAACAGGCGGTCCGTCATCGCTCCACTCGCGCCAAAAATATTATCATCGCCACAAGGAATTGAACCCGCGTCACTCCTCCACCAGACGTGGGTGTTAACCAGCAAACTAAAGCGTGTTGTTGCTACTAAAGCGCAGCACGCCCTATGTATCCACTCTTACTCGCCTCAACAGCAACAGACGGCGTGGGCCCACCAAACCGCAGCCCGAGTCCCAACTCGCGGCGGCCAGCGCCGCTTCGGGCCCAACAGGCGGTCCGTCATCGCTCCACTCGCGCCAAAAATATTATCGTCGCCACGAGGAATTGAACCCACGTCACTCCTCCGCCTGGCACGCAATATTACCAGCAGGCTACATGCGAGGCCTTTGTTTAAATGGCGCGGCGTCTGATATTTAACTACTCACGCCAACACTATCGGCCCGCACCGTAGGCGCCCCTACTCGAGGGCCCAATACTCGCGGCCAACTTGTGCGCACCCAACTCGGGGCCCAATACTCTCGCCACTAGCACCACCTGCCCAGCCCGCCACCTTATCACCGGTCGCGCACTGTCTCGCGTCCCACCTTCCCATACCAGGCCCGTGTCACGTGAGCCCGCCTTCTCTACTCGCGTCCCGCGCGCCCGCGTCAACACTATCGGCCCGCACCGTAGGCGGCCCAACTCGAGGACGTTCAAGAGACGCGGAACTCTCCAAAAAAATGTTGTCACAACGAGGGATCGAACCCGCGCCACTCCTCCGCCTGGCATGCAATATTACCAGATGGCTACATACGGACCATGTGTTTCAATGGCGCGGCGTCTAATGTTTAACTACTCGCGCCCACTCAGTTCTATGGAACCAAAAAAAAAAAAAATAGCAATAGTCCCGCACTATTCGAGCCCACTCAGTTCGAAAGAACAAAAAATAGCAATAGTCATGCACTATTCGCGCCCACTCAGTTCTACGGAACAAAAAATAGCAATAGTCCCGCACTATTCGCGCCCACTCAGTTCCACGGAACAAAAAATAGCAATAGTCCCGCACTATTCGCGCCCACTCAGTTCAAAAGAACAAAAAATAGCAATAGTCATGCACTATTCGCGCCCACTCAGTTCCACGGAACAAAAAATAGCAATAGTCCCGCACTATTCGCGCCCACTTAGTTCGAAAGAACCAAAAAAAAAAAAAAAAAAGAGAAAGAGTCGTCTGGCAACCAAGCCCACTCGCGATCGCGGCCCAACAGTGCGCCGCGGTCCGCTCCGCCTTTATCTCCGGAAAAAAAAAATTTGAATTGATGCTCCCACAGGGAATTGAACCCACGCCAGTTCTCAGTCAGACAAGCGACATAACCAATATGCCACAACATTAATTGGTGAGAAACTAGGCGGAGCGCTTTATTTCATCATCCGCAAGCCCAACTCGCGCCCGAATTCGCGCGAGCACTCAACGCGCGCCCCAACCCGCGCATCATCTTCCCCCAGCCCGCGACGCGCGCAAGCGGCCCAACTCGCGCGAGCACTCGACGCGCGCAAGCCCAACTTGCGGCCCAACCCGCGCAGCATCTTCCCCCAGCCCGCGACGCGCGCAAGCCCAACTCGCGTCCGGCCCGCGTCACCAGTCCGGCCCGTCCATCCTTGCTCCACTCTGAGTCAAAAATATTATTGCCGCCGACAGGAATTGAACTCGCGTCATTCCTCCGCTAAACAAGCAACATCACCAGTGGGCTGCATACGCGCTTAGTGATTCAATGGCGCAGCGTCTGATTTTCAACTACTTCTGCCGCCACGGTACCAATATAAAGCTAAGTACTCTATCATTATTAAATTTGAAATATTTTACTTCCATGAGCGTTAATGGCGCTGATGGGGGGCAAAACGCAAGAAGCTGGCACCGCGTCAGTCAAACGCGCCACCAGCTGGGGGGCAACTGGGGTACATAGGGCCCCACCCAAAATTACCGACGAAGATTTAAAAAAATAAAATATAAGCTAGTGATTAGTTAAAACTCACCACCAGCTTGGGGGGCAATTGTTGGGGATGTTGCTAAGAGACTCCCCGTAGAGAATAAGTAATACCGCGTCCAATCGACAACGTATGACGCTCTAAACCCGCTACGGGTATATAAAGGTATGAAACCCACCAATGAAAGGGGACTTCCTCTCTCTCCTGACTTTCCACTTTCTACTATCTCTCTACGCTTTATCTCTCTATCTATTCTCTCAACTCTCTCCACAAACATACACTGACTTGATCGTCGGAGCTTAATCCGGGGGGCAACCCCGACTCTTTCACAGGTGTCTTCTCTCCCGACGAGATCGGACGAACGGATCGTGAGTCAACCCCGCACCAACAAATATCATTGTTCGTGCCCTGAGCTAGTTGGCACAAACAATTATTCTATGAGGTTTCAGGTTGCTTATTTTTGTGTTTATCTTATGTTACAAGAACAAATCTATAAATTCTAATATGAACCTTGAAATCTTACGATTTTAATCTATGGTTTTGATTTTAACTCAGTTTTCAACTTTACGTCTGCCAAAGCGTAGAAAGCGATGAAAGAAGAGACAGTTGTCGTCGACATCTAGACATAGATACAGAGTTTCTCGTTGCCAACCTCAAGATCCAGCTTCCTCCCTTTATCCTTGCTTTTTTAGTCGACCTTTATGTGCTCTTCTTAGCTACTTTCGATGCGGTTAGCGTCGATCAATGCCCATTAGGGATGGTAACAAAACTCGAACCCACGGGTACCCACCCGACCCAACCCGGTCAACACGGGTAAAATCCGTGTTGACATGTTTTGGGCCGGGTTTGGGTTTAAACCCGTTCACTATTCACTGGGTTGGGTTTGGGTTTAGGTAAACCCGACCCATGGGTACCCGCCCACACACATATAATTAATTTTCTCTGTATATTTAATATTCTAAACAACTAATCTTATTTATGTTTGTGGAGACATGTCTAATTTTTTCTTTCTAATTGTGTAGAATGAAGTTGATATTATCGAGTGGAGAGTGCGTTAACTTAATTGAAAGGAAGAAGCTTTCAATTAATCATGTATTTATGGATAATTTGTGATTGACTTCAATTTTCTTGAGTTTTCTAGATTGGTGTTGAACAATTTGTGTAGTTAATTTGTGATTTGCTTGAATTTTCTAGAATGGTGTTTTATATATGGATAATTTTATTGAGAGATTGATATTTGACTTTAATTTTGATAGGAACTTGTTATTGTCAATTTTTTACGACAAAAACCCGTGGGTACCCATGAACCCGCAGATACCCAGCAGGTTGGGTTTGAGTTTTTCAAACCAAATGGGTTTTACCCCAGGTTTTTTTGCGAATAAACCCATGGGTTTGGGTTTGGCAAAACCCGACCCATCCCGACCCATTGTCATCCCTAATACCCACTAACGGAGTGTTGACATCAATTCCAACCGAAGTCAATGCCACCCAGAGAACTAGTAATTTCAGCAAAATGACACATTCTATGTGGTTGTGGTTAAATCACTCGAACAAATTTCTAAACCCTAAATGAAGTGACGAATTATCTCACCGTTCATATTCTGATGGCCAGAAAACAAACAAAAAAACCCCTTTTATTTTCACGAAACAATACGGAATGTAGTTGACAACCGATCATCAAATGCAAGAGGGAAAAAAAAGCACAGGCCTAAAGCAATAATAACTAATCGAGTGATTCGTCATCACAATATGAACTCTACTCCAAATGGACGATGGAGCAAGAATCCATGAAAGCATACATGTCACACATGGATGAATTTGACACAAACTCACTCCTCAAATATCCAGATGCAGCACAGACAAGAAGACCACTGGGAAACAGCTAACCAAGAAAGACAGAGCTGCCCGTATGAGAACTAGCTTACTCCTTACAAGTACAGTTATTGAAGAGAAAAGGCAATCCACTCATTCCACTATGTTGGCCAGCAACATCTAGTTGTGTTTTTGACATCCATTTTCCTGTTTAATAATCAAACCGCCTTTTGAGCCCTACTTTCCTTTCCTCACATGGAATGAAAGCATTTCTTCCCCACCACATGACCCTTATGGTTATGGGGGGGCCATCTCAGAAACTGAGAAAACTTCTTTTGATAAGAGAAACTGAGAAAACAAACACAACAAAACAATGCATAGTTCAATTATGCAATAACTCCTGCCTCAAATCCTTGTTTGTCCCTTCCATCCATCAAGTTTCAGTTGCAACATTCTACTCATGACAATACACCAACTTAGCTCACCTGCTACCACTACACTACGGCCACAAACTGAAATTGGCAGCAGGTGGCTAAATCCCATAAGCTCAACGAATGATTAATAGACAATCAGGCAAAGCTAATTCTGCTGCACAAGCTTTAACCCTATCCTATCTATTACAAATGGGCAATTGAGCACAACGGCAAAACATCATTTGGGTAAACCAGAGGGATAGGGAGAGCACAGTAGCAGTTCAATAGTTAGGACTTAGGGCAAAGATAACCAGAAGCCAGTTTCCTTGAAGACCCTGAACTGATAACAAATCACCCCCTACCCAGTGTATATACGTTCATCTCAAATAATTCAATCTAATCAAGAAAAGGGGAATACAGAAACCTACTGTGGAATCAAGTTTCTGGGGCCTATCGATCAGATTTACAACAGTAAGTAAGTATAATGATTCAGAATCATTTAACACGCAAACTTGAAAAGAAAAAAAAAAAAGCTTGGAGTTCCATAATCTAACCAGACCAAGGAGAAACCGCAGCCGAGGCAAGCACAAAATTGAGAGCACGACGCCACTGGAGTTGTCCACCATCCCATGGCTTGCTTCAAATGGGAGAGTAACCAGTTTTGGTAGGGCTGCCGCCGACGAATGAGAACAACCCACCCCCACCGGCGTCTACCTCGTCCACATACAAATCCTCCGTCCCTCTAAACGCGGCGTGCAACAGGACAATCGCGAGTCCAATCAACACGGAGACCAACACGTTCAACCACACCCCGGTCAAGATCAAGGCGACGACGGTGACGACGGCGAGCAGGCCGAGCACGATGCGATCGTCGACGGTGCGGCGGAGGAGCACCAGGGGCTCGTCGCGGAGGAAGAAGAGGAACAGCCAGGCGACGAAGACGATTAGGAAGACGATCATGGAGAAAGGGTGCCACAGGAGGCTGACGAAGAGGATGAAGAGGACAGCCATGGCGTAATTGACGCGGAAATAGGCGAGGTTGCGTTTCATTCGGACCATGGCTTCTCCGATGGAGAAAGGGCGGGCGAAAGAAGAGAGGCTGACGAGCTCGCGCCATGGACGGCGGGTGGCGTAGAGGGAGGTAGAGCTGGCGGCGGCGCGTGAGAGGAACGTGCTCGGTGTAGGGGTTATGAAGGAATCGTAGCCGTACGAGGTCGGCGGAGGTGGAGAGGAGGAATCGGAAGCCATGGATTGTCGTGGGGGAGTTTTAGAGCTGTCTGAAAACGGCAATCTTTCTTGGAAGTGCTTGGGGAAGTTCAAAGGAACTCTCAATTGAATTCCCCAAGGACAAATCTTGTGAATACTCAAAAGAGCTATTTCCAAAAGCCCGATATTTGTTGGCGGTAAGACCAGACAAACGACGCCGTTGCGAGATACTTAACAAGGAAATTGTATTTGTTTTTAGAGTTAATACCTTAGTTTGGCCCGAACTATACACAAACTTTTTTACTTTGGTCTGTGGTTTAACCCTTGTTTTGAAGCTAAACATAACCACGAGAAGTAAGAAGAGAGCTAGTGAAAAGTCATTCGCTAGTGGTAAATTGTGCGGGGACTAGGGCTGGGTCATGGGTCGAGATGAGATCAGGTGAATTAGGAGGTGTCTTAGTTACCTGATTAACTCTAATTCAGCTTTTCATTTAATTTTTTATTCAACTTACCTAAAATTAGGAAGGATATTTATTTACTTAGCAATTATATCTAAAAAAATAAAATGAGTCACTAGATAATATCCCTCCGATAGTGTTCATTTCCAGCTGTCTCAGCATGTCTCCTTTCATTTGTAGCCGTTACCAGTCCTTCTTTAGGAAAAATTCTCATGTGCTTTTCGGCTGCGTTATTTTCCACTAAGAATTTTCCCAAGTGCAGAGAGATGTCACCATTCTCGGTCATTTTCTGGAAAAAATTCTCAAGTGCTTTCAAGTTGTGTTATTTTGCATTGGGAATTTTTCCCAAGTGCAGAGAGAGAGGTTGCCGTTCTTGGTGCTTCTATGGGAAAAATTCTCAAGTGCTTTCCGGGTGCGTTATTTCCGACAAGGAATTTTCCAAAGTATAGAGAGATGCAAACAGAGGAGGATTTGTCGACGGTAGCAATTTTGTTGTTTGTTGGTCTATTCTGATGTTTGTAATTCAGTCTATAACATTTTTTTTTGCTTGTAAAAAGATGCACATCATCTTAACTTTCATTCAACACCATACGAGATTCGGAAAGCCTCTGACAGCCATACAAAAGGAAATTATACAAATGGGGTCATAAGGCGAAATACCAAGCAACCCCACAGACAGGGAATGACCACAACCAGCTAAGTAATCTCCACAATGGTTGAATGACTATGAGTAGATCTCAGCACTCGTCAGCATCTTAACCATGCATCTAGAGTCAAGCTTCACTCGTATGTGCCGGTAGCCGAGGTCCCAAGCCACTTGAACACCTTCAACGGCTCCTCTCGACTCTGCCTGAGTTATGGAGTAGTATCACAGATTACAAGCGAACGCTGCAATGCAACATCCTGTATGATCTCGAAGTAAGCCGCCAGTTGCAGCTTGACCCGTGTTAAGGAGTACACAATCGTCTGAGTTGATAGTGAACCACTCGGGAAGCGGCGGTTTTCAAGAGATCTCTACCTCTGTTCTTGTCTGCAGGAAAAGCTGATGAATGAGCCTATCCTTCTCTAGAGCCATCTGCTATATTAATCCAGGCTCCGAGAAGCTGAATGAAGGTGTCGGTGGTGACCGTCTTATTCCTAAAGACTATCATTCCTGGTCTTCCAAAGAGACCAGCATGTAAGGCCAAAACTCAATCCGTAGTCTGGGTATCGCAATAACCATTCCTCTAGGGACAGACTGAAAAAATTTGGTAATCAGAAAGCTTTATGGGTGCATCAATATTAACGTGGGAAAAGGGTAGTCCCGCAACACATGTAGGCAGCCATGTTGCACAAGGCACAACCGTTGGTGGTGGAAATGTGTCTCCGGCAACGTTCATCATCGGTCATCAACCTCTCCCTTGTCGCAAACCATAGGAAGTGTGTAGTCCTGGCCGCTCCCCTCCAGCTCCAGATCTTCCTCCAATCCACCTCAGAGAGCTCCTCTTCTTGGTTGCAAGTGATGGTGTAGGCTAATATAACCTTGAACTTCCCGTTCAGTTGCGGTCCCTAAAAAGCCTCGTCCTCACCTGCATCTTCTCTCGGGGGTTGGCTAACTAGGACCTGCACGGCAGCCTCTCTTATTAAGAACATTTCAATAAACGATTCATTCCACGCACCTTGTTCTCCAATGAATGCCGCAACGAGAAGGGAGGGTTCAATGGACGACGCCTCCTCACGAACATGATCAATAAGGAGGGCGTGCTGGTCAATCCATCGATCAGTCCAGAATGCCGTGCCCTGTCCATCTTTCACACACGTGTTTGTTTTTCCCACCATCATGGGTCTTACTTTCTTGATGCCACGCCAGATAGTAGAGCATCGCCTTGCCAACTTCGCAGTCAAGACACCATGTGTTGCCTTGAAATGTTTTGCCTGTAACACCTTAACCCACAACTCATCCTCATTCTTTACAAAAAGCTAAGCAAGTTTAGAGAGGAAGGCAATATTTAATTCATGAGTTTTTTTAGACCCACCACCCTCTGCTTTTGGTTGACATACAACCTCCTAGTGAACCAGATGCATCTTTGGCTTATCCTCATTGCAGCCCCAAATGATCCGTCGGATTCACTTGTCAATCTCATCACAGATAGACTATGGAAACAACGTGGATTGCATGGCGTACGTCGGAAGAGTATTAAGAACCGAAGTAGCCAGTGTCACACGTCCCACAAATGACAAGGAGTTCGCTGCCAGCTTTTTATCCAATCTCTCCAGGATGTATCTATATGTTCCTTCGTTACTCGGCCATGAAGTATGGGCACACCAAGATAGAGTCTCAGATCCTGCGTAGCAGGGATGTCAAGAGTTCTGATAATGTCGCCCGATAACACTTGATTGTTTAAGTTCGCATTTTCGCTATCGTGACCTATTTTACGGTAGGTTGTGTTGGTTTATAATGTTCAGTTCCTAGTACGTGAATGGGTGCGAAAAAGCGAGTTTTGGAATGTTTTGAACCAATCGGGGAGAGAGCAGGGGAAATTACGACTAGACCTTAAAAGTTACAACCAAGCTTTATACAAGGAGAATACATATAGCTAACCCTAATGCAACAATCAGTCTAGGGTTAACTCGTAGGAACTCGAAAGATAATGCACCTAACTAGGCAAAATGCTAAACCGGTCCCTACGACACGTATCCTTTAGGATCGGTGGATTCTCATCGTCCATCTCGTGGCTGCAGCTGGATACTACTTCTCTCTTGGTGTGTTGTTTTTTCACTTTTCAGTGCATGCCTCTGTTCTCAATAATTTACCCTTCACATGCAATTAATTTTGTATCCGATGGCTACTGTTCTTGCTATTGTGTCAATGTTGAATGTGGTGAAAGGAAGATTAGGAGTTTTGACGGTGGTGGATTTGGGGAAAGAAGGAGGTGGTACTGAGGTACTCATGGGAGGAAGAGGATGAAGGTTTGGGTAGGGGTGGCTATACGGTCCGGTCCGGTTCAATTTACCCGAATTGATCCGGTCTCAATTTGGTTTTTTCGGAAATATAAGGATCAAAGATTGGATTGGATACAGTCCGATCTTGATCCGATCAAGTTTTGACCCGGTTCGGTCCCAATTCGGTCGTGATTTTAGATTGAGATTGTGGAGATTTTAGTGGAGTTTTGGGTGTTGGGCTCTCTTATCCGAGCTTTATCCGGTTTTGGTCCGATCCTGAATGGTTTTTTACCTCAAATCTAAGCCCGAATATGAGATTGGATTGTTTGCTATTCGATCCCGGTCCGGGATATACGGTCCAGTTTCGGGTAAAACCAAAAAGGCTGGACCAAATAGCCAGCCCTAGGTTTGGGCAGGTCAAATGTAGAAGAAGATAAATGTTGGGTCATGAGTTGGGTTGGCTTTAATGATGTGGCGGATTTTAATGACATGGCAGGTCACGTATTATTTTGTCGGATAAAATCCGATTAATCATCAAGCGATTCTGTTTGCCACACCAGCACTTAACGAACTTCATTAACAGAGTTAGACAGAGTCTAACAGAGAGTGACCAAACATGACATGTACTAAAGTTAGTGTCCATTATTAATATTTTTTTTTTATTTTTTTTACTAAACCTGACTCGTTTTATTAAACCCAATGACTAAACTTGAAATTTAACCATCATTTATTATTGAGAACTTAAGCATTTTTGCCTATTTTGATTGTAAAGTACGATCATATTAAGGCATTTTCGAAAGAATGTTTGACATAATTTGAAATTCAAATCCAACGGCTAATCACATGTTAGAACTTAGAAGGGATAGACCACCCAGAGTGTTACACAACTCATACCACCTTCCCATTCATTGCCCCATATCGACATCTTAAAACTACTACTTACAAAATTCCACCCTTGAGAAAACTACGTTCTGAAGACGTAACAGGTAGCTGAGAGCCTGAGAGTGCTGGAACTTTTCACCTCATTTACAATCGCCCTGAATACAACCGCTGAGATTAGGATGGTACACAAAAAGCTTAGAAGCAAACACAGCGTTACAGAACAACACAATTTCAGCCGCGGCCCGCAGAAGGAATACGAGCACAAAACGTGAAACCAATCGCACAACTGACAACTGGCTAATCATGTCTGATCAAAACACTCTGTATCCATTCCCTGCAGCAGCAGCAGATGCCAAAGCTTCCCTGATGATTGCAAAGCCAACGGCCAAATAAAGATCATATAAGAATTGCCTTCAAGACCTTCGCTTTAAAAGCGAAGTATATACCGCACAGCATTCAACTACCTCAAGGCATCTTGAAGGTCCCTATTGCTCGAGTCCAACCGCAGCCCAAAAGCAAATGACTTGGCAGCTTTCCGAAACTCCTGCATGAATTCAATCACCAATTACAGGAAGGCTGACAAAATTTGTTACGAAGGAGCGAAGGAAAACGAACAGATAGAATAGAAGGATAAACTGGAAAGTGGAAATGAACTCACTTTGAGCAAGTTCCAGGCAATGCCTTCCCTGTAGTATGCCTTGGGCCAGTCAGGCCTCAGCATCATACAGGCATGCGCATCGCTTAAAGCTTCCTCACCTTCCTTTAACCGCGCCCAGCATAGGCTTCGATTCGACAACATTGCAGCAGCATCAGGAGGAAATGCTTCACTGGCCTGCATTATTCGTATTTGACAAAACAAAGCAATGATAAGCTTCTTGGATGCGTAACGAACCACACGAGTGCCTCTATATTTGCACACCAACCTGAGTGTACCAAAAGACGGCATCAGAATAATCATTCCGGGTGACTGCGTCTTTCCCTTTTGATTTAAACAGCAAATACCTTTCCAAACATATGATGTCTCTCTGCAATCCGTAAAGAGAGTCATGTCAAAAGAAAAGGGTACTTGCTCAGAGTGGCAACGATGACAACAACAACCGGTATTACCTTGCTTGCTTGCTCTTCAGAATCTACATACTGCTTTATCCCATCATATGTCCAATTCAGCACATCCGGATTAGGGGAGCTTACAGGGAACAGAACCTCAGCAGCTTCAGGGCGGTTTTTGAATGCAGCTATTTCAATTGGTTTCATACCAAACTGTACAGAAAGAGAAAAGTAAAGAATAAAAACATTTTCAGATTGGTTGAAATTCCTATTCACTTATTCGCCAATCGCCATGTGCAAGCTACAAAATACAGAAATAAGGAGTGGAGAAGGAACTTACTGCATTAGTCGCATTTGGATCCGCTCCTGCTCTTAACAACTGTTTGATGATCTGGGTGTTCCCCTGCATGACAGCAGCATCCAATGGAGACATTCGGAGCAAGCTTAAGCTCGGACTTAAGTTTGGGTCAGCTCCAGCCTAACAGAACATAAAGACCAGTTATGACTCAAGAGCACCAGACACTAAAATGATAGACCAAAACAAAGCAGATAATAGATCTCTAAAGTAAACGAGGGAAAACTATGTATGATGGTTCATAAACAGAACACAAATTCTGACTTCAGGCCACAGTACAAAACTGTACCTTCAACAGCAGCTTCACACACTCGCTACACCGCCCTATAATTGATGATACTAATGGAGAATATGCTTGAAAAACAGCAATATTCGGCTGCACCAAGAAATATAATCACAGTCGAGCAGGAAGGATCAGTGAAATTGAAATTCTGGCCTCTTCATCTTTTTCACTTGCTAAATTACACGAGCCATAGAAAAAGAAGCATAACCTAAACATGGTCAGGCCAAAAGACAACCATGGGCCACAAAAAGAAACATGGACTAATGATGCTTACATCAGCATTGTAATGCAACAAAGTTTTAACGATGCCTTCATTTCCGGCTCCAAAATGCAACGGGGTGCCAAAACTGGATTTTGCATTCACTTCAGCACCTTTCGACATCAGAAGTAGCACCGATCTTTTGGATCCTGCAGATTAAACAATCAACAAATCTCTTTCAGAGAAGACGACAACAATGGCATCATGTCACCACCCGAAACCTCATTTCACACAGAGCACCTATGCTTTCCGACCAAGGAAACTACACCTCAAACCATAGCTAGTTGATAGTGCAGGCCAACATCACTTCCAATGGGCAAGAAAGATATTAACCGAAGAACTATCGTTAAGACGTGGAAAATCACAACTCGATTAGGCAAGGCATGGTATCATTGGTACTGCCAAGGAAACCCACTTCAATTTCAGTACAAGGCATATTAAGATTTATGGAAAGTAAAAATCAAGAGCATGATATAGTCCAGAATAGTAATCCTTGGTAAACCAATTGATGAGGCACCTATTCCTGCAGCGTAATGCAATGGTGTGAACCCCTGATCATCAGTAGCCGCATTAGGATCAGCATTGTTGTCCAACAGGTACTCGGCGGTGCAGTTGTGATGGCCTAAAATTGCTTGATGTAAAGGAGTCTCCCCTGTGAATTACAAGACAGTACCCTTACTGTTAATCAAAAGACAACTAGTAGTCCAGAAAAGTAATGGAAACCGTTCCTATCACAAGCACGGAAAAGACCCCAGAAACGCAAATATTTGCCTTGAGTAATATGGATGAAATGGATACTTTTCCAGGCCTTCCGAAACAGATTATAGTCATGAAGAGTGATAGCCTAAGCCAAGCAGCAGAAGACTGAGAAAAAAGTTGATGCGATGAGTAGATTTGATACCTACCTAAGGCATCTCGGATATCAACAGGGAGTCTGAGTTCGTCGAGGAAATATTTGCAGAGAAGAGTCTTCCCTCCAACAGCGGCATAATGGAAAGCAGTTCGACCTTGGTCGTCTTTAACGCTCTCTACGGGCTTCCCCAGAGCACTAGCCAACCCTGCAAATGGCAAATCAATCGAACTGAGCCTGCCGGCAAAAAAAAAAAAAAAAAAAAACCCTAGAGAAAGAAAAAGGAAGACGTACTACTACAAGATTGCTACTTACGCCTGACGAGTTGAAGGTCTCCGGAGTAAGCCGCGGAAAGGAAGTGTGCAGCTCCTGGATCGCCTGGTCAGATAGATAACCCGTCATTAGTTTGAAGCTGTAATTTTTCAGGAACTGGAAATCCTGCCGCCGGGGAAAGAGACAAAAAGAGATGGAGCGACCTGAGAAGTTGGAGATGAGAGGGCGAAGAAGTTTGAAGCCTCTGGAAGGAAACATATCGTCGTCAGGGGAGATGGGAGAGGAGCGGAATGCCATCGCCCGATTTCGATCAGTTGAAGGGTTGTGAAGGTGCGGGAAGTGGAGAGAGAGGCTGAAAAGAAAAGGAAAGGGGCGGCAGAATAGGGAGAGAGGAAATCGTGGTGGGGTTGAGGAAGGGGTATGGGACTTAATTCCCGCCTTCTGTATTGACGTCAGCGGGTTGGGGCTTGTGCTCTCTCATTCTCAACTCTCCTCGACAGGACGTACGGCCAGGGGAGAGAGACCTTTTTCTTCTGCACGGCAGGACACTTCTCTCTAAACGGCTGCGGATATTATAACATTAACATACGTAATAAATAAACAAAAAACAAAAACATTAAAATACTCCTAGTGGCGGGTGCCGGGTGGCGCACAATCATCCACAACCTGTCATATTAGAGTCACATTATTAACACTATGTCTGGGAAAGGGTGTAAATGGAAGGTAGTGCAAGTTTGGAGGGGTAAACACAAGTTTTAAGGTGTTTACCCCCGTTTGGTTATTTTGTAACAGTAGGGGGTGCAAAACGTGAGCGTAAATTCACCGTTTCGGCTTACCCCCCAAATTGGGGTGCAAAGGAAGGAAGGAAGGGGGAGGAGGGGAATTATGAATTTTTAATTATATTATAATTAATATTATTAATTTTTTCTTATATCTATATTAGTGTAGAAGTTGTTTGGGGTTGACCGTTTGACTCAGAGAGCAAGTTTGTCAATGTTCGCCTCGTCAAATCGATATCTCTTAGTTGACCCGAATTTGCATTGAAAATTAGAGATAAGAAGCATTTGTTGAAAAGATAGAGATGAACAGTTTAGTTAACTCGATTTACTTTAATAAGTAGTTAAAACTTACATATTCGAACGTGTTTGACTAAGTTTGACCACATTCAATTTAAAGTTAGGCACGAGAACCCCCTTAGGATGACCAGTTACGAGTTGGATTTCGAATTTTGAGGTTGCTCGACCAATGATTATTATTGTTGTTATAAATAATTATATTTGAGCATTATTATATAATAATTATTTTTATTTATTATTTTTATTATTATATATTGAATTTTCATGTTATTATTTTGTGATAATATTTTATAAATTGATAAATCTATTTAATAATATAATTACTTACTTTTTACTCTATTTGCACCCCCCTACTTTTTTATCCAAACAACAATTTACCACTCCACTTACACCCTCCACCAAGTTGCACCCCCCAACAATTTACCCCTCAACTTGTACCCCCCTCAAACTTGCACCCCCCCTTGTTGCCAAACATAGTGTAACATTTGTGCAAGGTTTTACCCTTTTTTTCTTTTTCTGGAAATTAACCAACCATATCGCTATCGTTTAAGTCAGAATTTAAATTTTTTTTACGCACATATAAGTAAGATAAATTGTGTTATTCAAAGTAATATTTACTTTGGGAATGCATCCTACAAAACTTTATCCAAAATGGGGTTCCCGGCAAAATGGGTGGAGTGGGTTCGTAAATGAATATCCAGTTATCCACAACGCATTACTCGGTCCTTGTTAATGGTGAATTTTCTGGATATTCTCAGAGTAGTCGCGGCCTTCGTCAAGGGATCCCCTTTTCCCGTTTCTTTTCATCATCGCAATGGAGCTGCTCTCTATGCTTTTACAAACGTCACCGGAGAAGGGTTTAGTGAGAGGTTTCTACATGAATGAGGAAGAAAGCTTAGGGGAGGTGACCCACCAATGTTATGCGGACGATAATATGCTTTTAAATGTGAAGCATCCAACGAACAAGCCAGAGATCTCTTAGATGTGTTGGTTTATTTTGGGGTTATTTCTGGACTTAAAGTTAATACTCACAAAAGTATGATGTATGTCGTCGGTGACGTTGATAATCCTGAACAGTATGCAAGGATGTTTGGGTGTGGGGTAGGGAACTTTCCCTCTAACTATTTGGGTCGGGTATATACGAATTGTGTAAACTAAAACTCGCACCCAGCCTAAAAGAGACAGTTTCCGCAAAAGAAAATCATCACCCAACCTTACACATTAATTGTAGCGATAAATACAAGTGGTTGGTTAGGGGCGTGTTTATTTTTGTTCATTTTTGTTCACCCTTACTGGCAGATGGTAGTGGATCGCCTTAATTCAGCAAGGAGACTAGGCAACAAAAGAGAAAGTAGAAGTAAACTTAATAACTATGGTTGAATGTTCTCAATTCACATTATAATTTCCTTTGTTTTCAAAATTTTTGTGGTTAAGAGGATGAACCATAAGACCACTCAAATTGAGGTGGTTCATCAAATTTCATGTACAACCGTGAAAATTATTCGGTTTATCTCTGATTGTGCGCTCAAGTACATCGAATAAATAATATAACTATTTTGACGTCAGCGGCATAATTATAACATAGATCAGATTTGGATTTGTACGGTTCAGGCTTCCGCTAAGTAAAGACTAAAGAGTCTTCAACATAACTGTTCCAACGTTCAGAACAACTAACCGTTGTTAGTTCCTAGACTGTAGTAGACTAGTAGGGATTTCACCACGTTCACTTTACAGCGTTACAGCAGCGTCCCGCAAACATACCCCTGCCAGTAGACTGGAACGCAGGCACACCAAAATACAGGTAAAACGCTACCTGAGCGCTGACTCGCACCATATTAGCAGTTAGAGCAACGGGATCATGAACCCAAAAGTTGGAACCAATTCCAGACTACTCCTTCCAGTTCTAGTTCCTAGTCCGAAAGCAGGCTGATCCAAGATCAAAAGTCAAAACAGTCTACTAGTGTTCCCACGAGCTCCTGCTGCTGCTAAAGCTTCCCTGATAATTCAGAAAAGGAAAAAATGAACGGAAAAAAAAGCTAACTGAAACAGGTAGCTGAAAACAGCCAGTTTTGTATTACCTGAAAGCGCCGCGAAGCTCTTTGTTCTCAGGGTCTAACTGAAGTCCAGCAGCAAACATATCAGCTGCTTTCTGAAAATCCTGCATTCATCGCAACGTAGTTTCAAGGGCTAGTCGTCTATGTCTGTCACCAAGTGAGGGGATACAAAAGCTAAAGAAACAGAAAGAAACCCTACTTTGAGCAAGTTCCAGGCTATGCCAGCCCTGTAGTATGCCTTAGACCAGTTGGGACTCAGTTTCAAGCATTCCCGTGCATCATTTAGAGCTTCCTCACCTACCTTCATACGTGCCCAACATAGGCTTCGATTCGACAACACAGCTGCATCAGTAGGTGCCATATCGTTGGCCTGCAATTTCATTACCAAGACGACAGAAGCTGTTCATTTCACTAAGATGGGCCCAAACGAAGAGGGGAGCAAGTTAAAAATGTTTTATACAACCAACTTACCATACTGTACCAAACCATGGCTTCAGCATAATCCTTACGGTTGACTGCGTCTTTCCCCTTTGATTTGAACGTTAGAAAACGTTCCTGATTTATCATATCTCTCTGTGAGCAATGAAGAACAGTCATAAGGTGGGTAAGTGTACTATACCCATGGAAATGGTAAGTTGAGAGGAAAAATGAGAAAGCACCAGTACTACCTCTATGATATGACCTACAGAATTCACGTACTCTTTTATCCCATCAAAGCTCCAATTGCGCACCTTGGGATTAGGTGAGGTGAGTGGGAACAGTACCTCAGCAGCCTCGGAGCAATTTTTAAGTATAGCAGCTATCTCAATTGGTGTCAATCCATACTGCTCAGACAACAAATATGGGTGATAATATTTCTCCAACAGAGATTAATCAATCAGTCAGATGGTGCTTAACTTCCTTGAAATGCCTGATTACTTATACTCCATCTGCAATAAAACAAACTTGACAGTATGGAATGAAACAGAACCATACCACATCAGTCTTGTTAGGATCTGCTCCTGCTTGTAACAACAGCTTGATGATCTCTGTGGTACCCTCCATGACAGCAGAACCCAGAGGAGTCATTCCAAGCTTGGTTAGGCTTGGAGTTAAGTTTGGATCTGCTCCACCCTTAGAGAAAATAAAGGCAGTGTTATAATTTATGACTATGGAGCAAGACAGCCATCACGTAGTTGATTTCCGTAGAAAATACATGAAACAGAAAGCACAGAACTCTGATGACTAAGTAACTAAAGCAAAGCTCGGGATCGATCCAAGTGGCCAGAATACACCTTCAGTAGTAGCTTCACACAGTCGAAAGATTGCAGGGAAATCGCCATCATCAGTGGAGAAAATGCATCAAAGACAACCATATTAGGCTGCACCAAAATTAGAAACACAAGAGCAGTCAATTGACTGACCAGTTAAATGCCCAAAACATCATTTGTAAGCTCCTGAATCTGATGATAAGACACCAAAATATACGTTTAAGCGACAATGTAAATGCAACGAATAAAGAACCCGATACAAAGAAAGGATAGGTATGATGCATACATTGGCTTTGTGATTTAATAATGTTGAAACCATTGCTTTATCTTGAGCTGCAAAATGCAATGGGGCGCCCATAAAAGATTTTGCATCAACATGAGCACCTTTTGACAACAGAAGGAGCGCCAGTTTCTTGAATCCTGAGGCAATTTAGTTAATCAATCAAACATCGAACCCTACCAAAAGCATAAACTTTTGGCAAACACAACGAATTTCGTGCCACGACAAAAACATGCTCATTTTGCAGTACACTAATGATTATGAACCGGACACCCACATCCTAGATTCATAACAAGGTACCAAAGACACTGGAGTGAAGAGGAAGCAAAAATGAAACAGACAATCTTATCTAAAACTGACCTCTTGAAGCAGCATAATGCAAAGGCCTAAAGTCCCCATGATCAGCAGCTGCGGCATTTGGATCAGCATTATTGTCAAGAAGGTACACTACGGTAGAGTAGTTATCACCTAAAATTGCATGGTGTAAGGGAGTCTCGCCTGTGAAAATCACGCGACAATTCCAACAGTTAAAGGTCTAAGTACAGTGCTCCATGACAATATCACATTACGAGTATTTGAAGTTCATGTAATTCGCCAAGAGGCCAGATTCGAGGGTAACCAATCACAGGACCACAACAGCATTCATGCTTAGCGGTTTGAATGGAAAGCGGATGAGAAAGGGAAATCCGAAATCATACCTGATCCATCCCTGATATCAACAGCGACTTTCAATTTGTCAAGGAAAAACCTGCAGACATGGGTCTTACCCCCAACTGCAGCGTAATGGAATGCGGTCCGGCCATTATCGTCCCGAACGGATTCTACTGGCTTTTCAAGCGCACGAGCCAGCCCTGAAACAGAGCGAAATTAGCCAACAACCAGTAGCTAGCTAGGACGGAAAAGGGGGAAACGTATATACACACAGACAGAGAAGGGAGAGGCAGATTACTCCTGATAAGCGGAAGGTCTCCGGAGAAAGCTGCGTTAAGAAACTCGTCTGCCCCTGGATCATCTGCTCAAGAAAACAAAAAAACAAGTGAAAAAACCTAAGCGGTAATTCAACTTAATGCTGGCGGAGCTGTGATTCGCTGGGGAAGGCGACGAAATCGGATACGGAACTGGAGAACCGAAAAAACGGAAGCTAAGTCCGCCGAGAAAGAAGCGAGCAAGAGAAAGAACAAAAGAAGGTTTCGGTGATGCGTTTAATTTCCTTCCGCATTACTCTTCCGTTACTCGATCGCTCCGGTCGGCAAAGGAAATGCAACGGAGTGGGAGAGGGAGAGAGAGAGAGAGAGAGAGAGAGAGAGAGAGAGCGAGACCAGAGAAATTCTCCGGTTGAGGGCGAAATGGTTGGAAACTTCTGGAGTATGAAAGCATGACTGACGGGCTGCAGAAGTTGGACGTGGTGAGTGACCGGTGAGTAACGGGAGGGAGAGAGGAGACGGGAAGACTGTGAGCGAGCAAACAGCAACTGAGAATAGAAGCAGGCAGCAGCTTTTAGGGCTATAGAGTGGTGTATGTAACTTACCTGGTACGGCTCCCGTCTCAGTCTAAAAAGTTAAAACCCACTGAGTGGCTTTTAGGGTGGCTGTGATTTAATTTGGCAGGGACGCAGCAGGGTCACGTCCGTCATTCCGCCCTCGTCTTGGCAACGTCAGTTGACAATAGTTTGATTTAGGGGTGAGGGTGAAGGTTGTCTGTCTCACACCTATTAGTAGAATAGGGGTGGAAATAGGTATAATATCGGTACCTCACTATCATGGTTGTCGTGCCGGTGGCATGTCATCCGGTTGAACCTGGTTCAACCTGTGCCGGTCATGAAATCGACATGACATCACCGGTATAACCGGTATGATCGATTTACGTATTCTAAGTAAAATGACATCGTTTTAATGAATTTAATGAATACAAAAATTAATTTATTATTCATTTTATGCATGAAATAGTTAAAAGTTGATGATATTTGTTAGATTGTAACTCAATTGTCCACAAATATGTTTAAATACATTGGATATTAATTGTTTTCACATTTTTTTAAACCGGCATGAATCGGCACAAACTGGTTATACCACTGGTCGTACCATTCCACTTGCCAAACCGGCACAACGGTATAAACCGGTTTGACAACCTTGCTCACTATCAAATATTGAAATTTTGAATATCGAATTATACATTAAAATTAATCACAATTTCAATCACTAAATAATTTCGGTATCTCAATCGGTATTATCGAACACGAAATTAATTACCTTGACAATTAATAATTAAATATATAGACGAGAGTTGATTGTTTATTTAGTTTTTTTAGTTTTTTTTTACAAAAGATAATCATAGAGGTTAATCCATTCATACAACTGCTGAAGGTACTGCCTCATCAGAGTTGGGATCCCAAACTGTTTGCCATCAAAGACAACTAGTTCTGATATTTCCAAATCCGCCAAAGCACGGCAATGAATGCCATAACTTGATGGGGGCTCCGGATGATAGCCAGTAGGTTTTGATAAGAAGCGGTAGGGTATGACGGGTGATAGACCATTGATTGCACATGTTTTTATCCCTATTCTTGAGCCGTTTGAGATGTTGATTCTCGTGTTTTAAGCCGATTTCACGCTAGGTTGTGCGTTTATGTTATATTTCAGGACTTAGCATTGGCATCGAGGCGAAGAAACGAGTTTCGGGTCGAAAGGAGCACGTTTGGGTTGAAGTGTGTTGGATGAGCAAAATACCCGGCTGGGTATTATTTGGAGCAGACCGGGGAATTCATGTTTCGGGCGTTTGAGAAGCAGAAGGGGGCCCGGGCAGCAATAAAAAATCCCCAGTCGGGTATTCTTGACCCTGACCGGGGATTAACCCCTATTCCCCGACGGTTCATTTTGAAGATACCCGGTCTCCATCCATAATACCCGATCGGGTATTCAGGTCGGGGATCGCGACAGACAGCTTCTTAAGGGAAAAGAAGGGCAAAAGTGAAGGGTTCCGAGTTTTAGAGAGAAAAAGTGTAAACCTAGAGAGAGAAAGTGACGAACCTGATTCTGCAAGTGTCTTTGATCGATCTCCATCACCATTGGAGCGCGGCTTGAGCTTGGAGAAGAGATGATTGAGTGCCAGAAGCATATTCTCATCCTTCACAGTATGATTTCCACATCTGAGCTAGATTTCCCATCTCTCTCTATAGAGTAACTTTCTTATTCACCTGGGTATGAAGAACCCTAGATTTGTATGTTAGGTCTGATTGTATGAACCCAAGTACAGATTCAGTGATATGATTATATTCAACTGAGGTTTGATTTGTTGAATGACATGAATCCTGATCAAATTCCTGTTGTTTCTGCTTTAACCTAGAAAGAGAATATCTGCCTAGTTTGATAGAGCACCCTTGATTGAAGGTAGTGAATTGGCGACTTTAGTCGAGGAGTCAATTCACTATTTTGTACCGAATTTACTTCGGTAGTGGGGGTTTGGTTCGTTAGGGCCTCAATCTGTTTACTCCGGTGGAGGTTAGTCGCCCGCTGGGGGCTCAGATTGAGAGGGTCTGGAGATCTTTAGTAGAAACTGCAGACTGTTTAAGAACCTCCCGCAGTATAACTATCATTGAACTTGAACTTGGTAAATTACAATCCAGCTTAACGGCAGTCTAGGGGAAACCATATCCCGGTGACCTCTCTCGACTTGAAAACAACCTTTTTACTGCTTTGCTTGTTTGGATCTTCACTAAAGTTCCACTGCTAAATAATAAGAACTCACGGAGTAGTCATCACATCTAGGACCCGGGTTGACATTAAAACCCAAACCCGCTATACTACGTTTTAGGAGGTGGTTACACTTGGCCATTTTCTAGAGTGACGGTAGGAGCGAGTAACGGGGAAAGCCTTGACCAAGGTGCTCCAAACCAGCATGGTCTCATAATCCTCTAGCCATAGGGCATTCTAGAAAGAGATGCTCCAAAATTTCAGACTCAGCCCAACAAACCGGCCATTTGGGTTGCACCAGGACACCTTTCTTGATAAGGGCTTCCATTGTTGGTAAGAATCGGTGGAAGACTTGCCATAAAAAGACTTTCAATTTAGGAGGAATGGGGGAATCCCACAATGGGATCCACCTTTGTCGATCGATCCAGCTAACCGTCGATATCCATCGACCCTGTCGCTGGTCAACAACACCGTCAAGTGATACGCTGATTTCACAGTGAAGATCCCATCACACGTGTCGTGCCATACTAGCTTATCCTCTATATCTTGGCAAGGTAGCGGGATGACCTTAATCGCACGACAAGTATTTGGATGGAACCATTGGACTAACTTTGCGTCAGACCAGCGACCCTCACCAGGACATGAAAAATCCGCCACCCTAACATCACCCCCTTTTGCCAACACCCGAGGGTTATAACACGGGGTAGCCGGGTGCAAGGCAAGAATCCACTTATCATGTAACCCAGACACAGTCCGACCATTCCTGATTTGCCAGCGCATGCCCTGCTCCAAGAGTTGACACCCGTAAGGGATACTTTGTCAACCCCAAGAAGGGTGAAAGCGCGCCGTAGTCGTGAGAAAACTGTCATTTGGGAAATATTTTACTTTATACACCTGAGCGATGAGATACTGGGGTTCATTGAGTAGCCTCCACCCAATGTTGGCTAATAGCGCCTGATTGAATTGTTCAAACCTACGGAAGCCCATTCGTCCTTCATGTTTCCTACGACCCATCCTACGCCAAGACATCCACCTTATATGGGACTGACCATCCTCCACTCACCACAAAAAATGTGCCACAATTCTATACAAAATTCTGCAAATAGTGAGAGGGAGTTTAAAGCAGGACATAACGTGCAATGGTAAAGCTGAGGCGACTGATTTAATCAATATTTTCTTAGCCTCCCAAGATAATGTTTTCCAAGCCCATCCTTGAAGTCGTGCCAACAACCGCTCATCGACAAATCAAAATGTTGCCATCTTAGACTGTGCTATAAGGGTGAGAAACCCCAGATATTTGTCCTGCACTCCTACAGCTCCCACCCCCAAAACTTGAGCCAGTAACTCCTAATTCCTAAATAAGTATCGAGATGTTCTTACTGAAGCAGACCGCTGATTTTGCCAGGTTGACTCGTTGCCCACTGAGTTCCTAATACTCGTTAAGCACCGCGATTAGATTAATTTAGGGCAGAGAGACTGAGCAAAGAGTCTTGAGTTTGATGCAATATTTCAAATCGTGCTTCTCCTCATCCACCACCCTAGTCCCAAATCCCTAATTCTAATTGTCCTAGTATCCCTATCAAGATCCACTAAGATGAAGTGTCGCCTCCTACAGGAGTTGTCCATCTTCCATCGTAGTGTCTGCAACATCTGGCTATCATTTATCTGCCGCCAAGAACAATTTCTCCATTGCAGAGTTCACTTCTGCATCTACTCCTGGCATATAGCTTGTTTTCTCTGATGACGCACGATGTGCTTTCACTGACATAAGATTTTGAGTCGTGCTTCTCCTCTTTCTTAACCTCAAACGGAGTGGTTAACGTGGTAACCGTTTTAACCATGGACCAGGAAACCGGATTCAACCGGAAAAACCGGGAAACGGACCAAAATCGATACGGTAGACTGATGTTGGTTGTTTTACCGTGCCGGCCGGTTTTTTCGGCTTAACCGGCAGAAACCGAAATACCGTCCGGTCTCATTCTAACCGACGGTAGACTTATTGGAAGAAAAACGTCGCCGTTTAACTAACTTAAAATTAGGAAAAAAGGAAAATTGTCGTCCTCACCCCAATCTGAATCCCCAACAGCCACTGAGAACGCCGACCCCGATCCTGACCCGTACCTCCATCTCCAACACCGGCGTCCATCCCCAACCCCCTTCGTCCATCCTTGACTCTCCGTTCGTCGGTCCTGCGCGTCTATCTCGCCGAGAAACAGCAGCAGCTGGCGATTGCGGCGTTCTCCCTACACCCGAATTTCCATCTCACCGAGAAACAACGGCAGCCGGCGTTCCCGTGCATCCTCCCCTGCACCTGCTCGTCTATCTCCCTAAAAAACAGCAACAAACGACGATCCTCCACCGTCTGCTATGCGTCGTTCGCCGTCGTACCCTGGGTTCAATCCTTCGAGGTATATGGATTCCAGATTCTGATTTGGGATAAACTTTCTTCTTTGTGATTGTAAATTAATAGGAGAGCCATGTGGATTGATTGTGTATTGTACAGGTCATACCATCTGTTGTGGACATATTTTGTTCGCGTCAGATTAATTTGCTCAAATATCAAGTATGTCTCTTAAAAGCAGAAGATAATATTGAAATTTTGTTAAGTTGTTCTATGGTCTAGAAGATAATATTGAAGTTTTGTTAAGTTGTTCTATGGTCTATGTAGATGTCAGCAACAGGAAGTGGAAAAGGAAGCAATTCGGTTGATCAAGAAGGAGATTCTAGCGTATTCAGGTTTGTTATTCGGTATATTCCGGTATTATTCCGAAACGGTATCCTGAATCTGTCGGTACGATTTTTTAACAAAAACATATTTTTTAATTACAAAAACGGTATTTAGCCGGTACACAACGATTGAACCACGGTAGTACCACAAAATACCCTACCACTGATGGATCCGGTATGACTTCCGATACGATTTTCTTTACCATGGTTTTAACCACTAGTATTTGGATAATTTGGTTTGGTTAATTTGGATAATTGATTTAATTTGGTTAAACATTTTAGCTTGTTTGGTTTAGGTGGTTTGGTTCGGTTTCAGACACCTCTAACCAATCAAACCAAATTAACTAGTTAAATAATTAGCCATATATTTAATATATATTATATAAACATACTTAATACTTTGCATAATCACTTAAGAGTCAAATGTAAGATAATTGTATTTGTGTCATGTATTTATGTTAACTATAATTATGTGTTGATTGATATGTGTTATTGATTATATAAATTGCAAATTGATGCACTAACAAGAAGATTGTCTCTTTTAATGATAATGTTATGTTAAATTGGTTATTTTGGTTAACTAGTTAACCTAACCAATTAAATTTTAGTTTGGTTAAATTGGTTGTTGTATTAGTTTGGACGGTTTGGTTATGATATTGTATTTCATGATAATAGAATTTAGCCTTATTTGGTTTCGTAATTACCATGATAATCATTTGAACACCCCTACATAGCATAGACTAGTAAAAAATGCCTCAATATTTTTTGTTCAAAAAATATATAAAAATTGATATCATTCTGATAAGTACAGTTATTTAACTGTGATTTTTAAAATAAGAGAGAAATCGTCGGTTAAACAAAGAGGAAAAAAATAAATAATTTTAGGAAGAGAACGGTTGCTAATGTGGCAGCTGATGGTTGTTGGGTTATGTTATTGACCAGATACGGTCCCCTGTAACTCTGTTCCTGGCTATCAGATTCCCTTGCATCCCGTCTGCGATTCTCGGCACCTCCTGCTCTTTGATCTTTGTCCTCTCATCTCCAACTACTATCCAAATCTCTTGCCTATCATCTTGGATTGGCTAGTCACAGAAAGGAAAGGCAACAAACTAGGCTGCCGCAGTGCCGATCGGTTGCCGAGCTAAAGGTGTCCGTTGAAATTCTAGGGTTCGGAGAGCTTCGGTTGAATCCCGCCGGCTTCTCCTGAGGTACGTTTCACGCTCCTTGAGAATTCCCCTTCATCGTTGGGGTTTATGGCAGGGGAGTCGCAATCGACAATCCTTCAGGGTTCAACCAGGAATTACTACGAGTAGGGGGTTGGGAGACGGACTTCGTTACTCTGTCTGTATCCCAAATTTCGTTTTTGTATGACAACTGATGCCGTTTATCTGCCAGGAAACACCGAGACGGAGCAAAGTTTCCCCCCTTTCTCTCAGTTCCTTGCGACTCCTTGCAATGGTTTACATTACCTCTTGGGACGAGTTTGTTGAGCGATCAGTGCAGTTGTTCCGTGCTGATCCCGATTCGGTGTGTTTCTTGCTCTTTCATTCTCTCGTTTGTTGTGTTTTCGGCAAGGTTGTAGGAAGACATTAACTGTAAATTTGATGGGGAGAGGATAATTGAGCCGGTGGTCATCTTTTACATGGATTAAGTTCCTGCTGTTATAGTTGGTTCCTCTGGCCAGAGAATTGAAAATACTGCTCGAAGGGAAACCATGCTCTGTGTAATGGTTTACTAACTCGTCTTGCTTTCGTTTGCAATTGTTACATGTCATTGAAAATTGTGGGACATAGACTCGGTATGCTATGAAGTACAGACACAGTGAAGGCAAGTTGGTTCTCAAGGTTACCGACAACATACAGGTATTTACTATGGCTTATCTGCTGGATTCCCTTGTTCTAACTTATTGTCATGATGAACAACTACATGGTTACCTCATGGTTGGGATTTCAGTCTCGTCAGTTGTTCTTTAAAGCTCTTTTCTGCTAGGGTGAAAGATGTGGATCCTTTGATGGTTACCTGACCTTTACCTGTGCTTGCCTTATGATTCCCTTAATAGGTGCCTGGCCTTTCCCAGTGTTTTATTTTTGGTGATTCTGATGTCCTAGTTGCAAGTAAACAATGATCTTAAGGATTAAAATAAAATCTTCTTTGGTTTTGTTTTCAGTCTCTCGTATGAATTGGTTTGAGTTTGCCGTGGGAGTTGGCTTCTTACATATTTTTTCTTTGATTATTGGGGCTCCTCTATTAATGGTGGCCTTTTGCTGACTCATAAACAACCCTTTGGCATAGAATTGCCCGCGATGTGGATCACATAAATAGATTTAATGACCTTTGATCTATTCACTTGAAGGGATATATAACTATTGAAACCATAAAACTATTCAGCTACCAGTGGCTAATGCAACATATGCATTAAGCCAAATACTATAGAAACTGTAAAACTATTTCTTATGTTTGCTTATTCTTGGATCTCCTAATGGGTATCTATCATGCTCTGTGTTATCTCTTGTATGGTAACTTCATGAATAATAGGCAAGCACTTTCCAAATTACTGTCAAACTAGCAGTTCCCAATTATGTTTCCAAACACAGCTCAGAGCAATCTCGTTTTTTCTTTCTTGAGCATACATGATTATGTTCTATTTCTATGTTCCCACATGATGATTTCTCCAGCTGGATGCACATAAATTGTCACAATATTAAGACTATAAGAGAAAACATTACGTTACTTCAGGCGAGCTATTCCTGCTGATTCAACAATTAATTAGATGAGTATTCTGTTAAATTTCTGCTGGTGATGCTTTCCTTAATTTAGGATTTGTTGGGTGCCTTCATTGTAATTGCGAGAATATGTGTGTGATGGCTTCTTCGATGCACTTACAAAAATGAGTGAATACTATGCACCCTTACTCTAAAAGTAGTCTTAAGACCACAACAGGAAAGAAAAAAAAACAGACAACAAAAACCTGTTTAGTTGGTAAATTTGAGAAATCATAGAAACTGTCCCGTTACTGTCTTTGTCCATGCGTGAGTTGGTTTGATTGGTGTTTTCTATTGTCTTAACTCTAAAAGCGATGAGGCCAATTAGACAAACTCAAAGTGAACAGATTGTCCCCTCTCTCTTACTCACCGTTGTTTCTGCATTTTGCTAGTGTCTCAAGTTCAAGACTGATCAGGCACAGGATGCTAAGAAAATGGAGAAGCTGAACAACATATTCTTCACCCTGATGGCTCGGGGCCCTGATGGTATAGTATAACTATATTAAATTTGCTTGTCTAAGTGAATTTGGTGTTTCGACTGTCTGCTAATTGCATAACTTCATTTAATCCTTTGACTATCTGAGTAGTCCCGCCAACTATCCTATTTTGTTGATTCACAATGTGTTGTGTCTGCCCTTAGGAAGGGCAGCTGTTGGGATAAGTTTTATTAAATTATTGAGTACAATCTGTGACCCGTCCTTACTCATTTTCCTGTTCCTTGATCTATAAACATTGCAGCGGATATATCGGAAGTTACAGGAAAAGAGCAGATGGACGCACAGGCGACCAAGAGAGGAAGGGGTCGTAAGCAATAGATCTTGGATCGCTTCTGAGTAGAAGTAGAGCGTTTGTGAAAATTTTAGCACAGGATTAGTGAATCTTGAGATGATGATATGTCCTCCTTGCCAGTTGCCGCCTCATGAATATGATTGTCAAAGTGAACCTTTTTGTTTCTATTCTCAGTAAAGCCCTTGTATTTTCGATGCTGACAATGTCAGAACCCAGGTCGGTTGACGTCACAAGCAGAATCAAATTCGCCGGCAAAGAAATTGCAGCATTGTGGTCTCATGGATCTGGATTTTGTTGGGTGGATTGCAAGTTGGGTCACCCATATTATCTATTTATAACAGGTTAGCCATCCGAATCACTTTTGCTTCAATTTAGCCATTAATACTAAACGTTTATGTTATCCTTGGTCACTCGCCGTCCAATTCCGTTTAATCTGTTCTACGTGGCAGTCAATAGTTAAGTTTGACTACTGAAATAGTGATGTGGCAATAAAAAATTATTTATTTTGTAATATATAAGAAAAATGACAAGAAAAAAGAGAAGAAAAATCTACGCTATAACCCCGCCCCTCACTTTTTCTTGAGCTATCGGCTGACTGCCATTACTAGAAGACCCGCCCTAACTCCCCTGCCTTTCTCCCCTGTTCCCAGAAGACCCACTGTCGTCGACTACCGTTACTAGTTGCGAGTAGTTCTCGTAGCAGACCTGTTTCTCCCAGGCGGGGCCGTTGATTGCGAGGAGGTGGGGAAGCGGGAAGAGGAGAAGAAGCATAAACAGAACTCCGACCATCTCCCTTTCATCCATCTCTTGCCAGATTTGAATGTCGACGATCTCTGTTTCAATTGCCACCTTCAAAGCTATCCGGTCCAAACTCAGTCGCCTCCTCTGTTTTCTTCTCCTTTGTCGTATGATTCTTGTTATCCATCGAATCACCCAAAGTTTTGATTTCACATTTTAGTAACCAATTGTAAATTTTATGTCGAATTGATTTGTGAAATAGTGTCTTGTTGGCGCAATCAAGTATGGTAAAAAAATCTTTGAATTTAGCTAAAGAGCAGACTTCGGATGTCGGGACGATAATAAAGCCTCTTCCGGTTGAGACCGTTGTCGTCTCCCTCTTGTCGTCGGCGTCAAATTCGTTGCGTCGTCATCGTCGTCTGTCTCTTCTCTAGCTCTGAATTCGCGGTGGCGGCCACGATTTCGACAACCTCTCCTACGTCTTAGCCTCTCCTGCGTCTTAGCGTCCTCCTCGATTTGTTCAATCTCCGGTTGGTTAGCGTCGATGTTGAACCCGAAACTGCTTGGGTCGAGTCCGGTGCAACGCTCGGCAAGGGATCTGTTTTGGGGTTAATGGCGTCGGGTTTGATTTTAGTTTTTCCAATTTATCTTTTTTAATTTTTGAATTTTTTATAATATATTATATTACTTTGAATTAAATTATGACGTGGCTGCAAAGGTGGTGTCTATGTGTCGGTCAGGTTGTTGCCACGTCATCATTTTAACAGTCAAACTTAACTGTTGACTACCACATAGGACAGATTTAACGAAACTAGACGGTGTGTGACCAAAGATGATATAAGTGTGTAATATCATTGGCAAAATTGAAGCGAAAGTGATTTGAGTGGCTAACCTGTTACAAATAGATAATATGGGTGGCCAAATTTGCAATTCACCCAGTTTTTTTTTTTTTTTTGGTTGTTGTTGAGCAAATCAGTCATTCATTCATTCCAATCAAATCGAGCGAAGCTACAACAAAACCACAGTTACAACAAATCTGCAATAACCACTAGAACAGACAACCAATCTAGGTGGAGAGAGTTTGATCTACAATTACGAGCTACCCAATCAGCTTCCTTATTTTTTGGCGACCAATGAAAGAAACCTTAATCCAATCCAACTCCTTTAGAATCTTTGAAAATGATGCGATGTAAGCGTAGCAGCACCAAGGGCAGCCCGCATGATCATTATGGATTGCTTCCACCAACACCTTGTAATCAGAATGTATCATTGAAGGGACATGGTCAAATGATGCCACTTGACAGGCTTCCACAATAACTCTAGCTTCAGCCTCGATAGGAGAGGAACAAATAAAACTTCCAGCCTTCCCACCACAAATTTGCTCGTTGGAGTCTCTAATAACCACTCCAAAAGTCGTTGTCTGTGGGTCAGTATCGAACGATCCGTCACAGTGAATCTTGCGAAGAATGCTAGGCGGTTGGCACGGTTGTGGTGGAAGAACCCGAGGTTGTGAAGGGGGAGAAGAAGATGACGGCGGGTAATAAGGTTCTGCCGCATCACGAAAGGCGTAAATCGAAGTCTTCGTCTGGGACATGACTCAACGAAAGATATGATCATTACGCGCCTTCCAAATATTCCAGATACAGAAATGTTTTGCCCGACCTTCTATGAATTCTGCTGTCTCATGGCGAAGATCCATTGGGTGAGGTTAAGATGAGGCGAGCAAGAAGGAGCAACCTTTACCCACGTTTCAGTTGCACGAGGACAAAGGAAAAGGCAGTTAAATGACGATTCCTCCTCTGCATTGGCACATTAAACTAAGATAATATTCACCATAAAGGTTTAACAATGCATGTCTTCTTCACCTATTGCACATGAACAACATGTATATAGCCCAAATGAGCTACGTACCATAGAAGTAAATGAAATTCACAAAAGCTTTCTTCAATTAACTTATAAAGCGTGACGGCCAAGCGATCGACTCTGCTACCGCATCTCCAATGGTTCGAAAGCTTGCATATGGTCGCACTAAGGGCTCATTGGGCTTGATTGCAAATTCAACAAATATTTCATAGAAACATTTTCCCAATTATTGAACCCCTACACAACAATGTGGATTTATGCTCACAATACTACATGAACATCAGGATCATATAAAGTGTGGAAAATAACACATGACATTCCCTGTAACAAAAGACATGTACCCAAAATAGAAGTTTTTTCAAAACCGCAGAGGAACACACAAGAAATCCATTCATAAGACATGTAGCCAAAAATTAAAGGAAGGAAGACAAGTAACGCAAGCTGCCGCAGAAGCAGCCCCTGAAACAAGAAATCAAAATCACTCACGAAATGTTAAATAAGAAGGATACGAGAGCATATAGAATTACCAGGTTGATCAGCTGAGGGGTAGAAGGTTTATGACAAGGAAAGATGGAGTCGTACTTCCTGTTGTATAAGTCCCGATGTAATGAAGAATGAGGGATATGGGCGAGAGGCTGGAGTTTCGAATTTGAAGGAGGGTTAAGGTCACACAGGGAAGGCAAACAGTCAGACAAGTTGGGGACTTTGTAATTAGGGGTTTTTAATTAATTTAACCTTCACAACTTTCCACATCGCGCTCCTTCATGTTTTAGAAATAACACTACTTACAATCCCTTCCTATCCCCACTAGCTAGTCACCCAACAAAATCAAAAGAAGTTAATTCTAACCGGGACAACAACAAGACTTTGCGTGCCACTCTATGAGCAGCCCAATTGGCTGTCCGCGGAACAGCTCTACAGTCTATACAATGAGGAAATGATTGAAGAAGAAAACGACAATCTCTAAGCAGCGGACCACCAGACGAATCCTCCACCACTCCGAGTTTGAGCTAACGGATGACCACTTATGCATCTCCTTCAAAGATGACACGAGCCAAACTTCTAGAAGTTGCAAGCGAGATTGCCTCCCTAGTTGCAAGGAGCTCTGCAATGTACGGGTCAGAAATACCCTGATGCTGAACACCGACGGCGAGTAGCACATGCCCGTCCGAGCCACGAACCACAAGGCCAGACGAGCAACCAGAGTCTTGAACGGCCGCATCAAAGTTGATCTTCAAATTGTCTAGTTGCGGGGGTAGCCAACAAAGGGAAACAGTCGCAGGCGCACAGGGAGGGGGAGACGGGGCAGGAGACGAGGATGAGAACACTTCACGGAACTGAAAAGAGTATTGGCAGGCAAGCGAACAGACATGAGGTTGGGTATTTTCAAATACCACTAAATTTCTAGATTTCCATATTTCCCATAAGAGGCATACTACCTGGAGAATATGGGTTTGGGAATGCTGATCTAGCAAAAATTGCCGGCACCAGATACTGAAATTTATAATTGGGGCCAAAGGACGTACATCGTCTTTACATGCCCCTTTCATGTTTTAGAATTTGGAACCAAATAAAACTTTAAGTCTCACCCGCCAAAATATGAGAGGGAAAAGCTCTCTTCCTTTTTACGCTTTCAATTTTCTTAATTATATTCGTTTACTTGATACATTTTTTTATACCACAAAAAATGTTTGGAGACAATTAAATATGGCTTCATATATGCTTTGTTCTAATGAGTAATGTTGAGATGTTTTGGTTAGTCCCACATTATTGGAGTACTAAATTGTATTTTGGTTGTTTAACCTAATATCCACTTTGATTAGCAAAGGGTATATAGGTAGGAGTTGTAGCCACTTGGCTTATGTAAGTTGCACCTTTCTATTCTGCAAAATCTAATAAGAGAAAACCGAGAACTCACGTTCTCCGTGGAATAGTCTCGTTCTTACGAACGGGGAAATCACGTAAATTGCTCATGTTCTTTCTTTCCGCAAGCGCACTATTTTGCAAGTAATATATTATAGGAAGCAAATAGGATAATCGTCTCCAAATCTATTAATATAATTTATCTTATATATATTTTATGAGAATATTAAACTATAGAGACAAATAATATGACACATTGAAGCAAATGATATATTTGCGGCAATAAATTAGATATAGAGAATGATACAATAATTGTTTTAAACTTATTTGTCTCTGAAGCCAGGTTTTGTTGTAGTGTTTGTTTTAACTTGAATTAAAAAAAAAATTTCACAGATGGAATGAGTTCGTTGTGATCTACAAAATGATATCTATTTTCAATATATTTTGATAAAAAATTTCATACCACCTTTGTTGTTTACTCGAATTTTGAAAAAATTTCACAGAAGAAACGAGTTCATCATGATCTATTGGATTTACAAATTTTTATGATAAAAAATAATAGGACCATAATATACCATTCAATACCACCTCGGTACATGGATGGTAACTGGTGGTAAACAATGATCAATGTGGTAAATAACGGTTCGAATATTCCTACTATCATGTATTAAACTATTCTACAATCCGATATGTTCTTACCATCATGATACACTTTTATACCACGTGGTATGAACTTATGTAAGCATTACCACAATGGAATAGAGTATAGACTGGTAATAAATGTCTCAATTTTTTTTTGTTCCAATATTATTTTAGGGATTTTTTGTTCCAAAATATCTCAAAGTGAATATTATTTTGAATATAAAAATTAATAAATGTGAAAAAAACCGAAACAAAAATAGCCCATTAAATTTATATGGAAAAAGATTAGAAACCTTTCATAAATAATGATGTGACAATAATGTTACATGTTGAAAATAAAATTTCAACCTTGTATACGGAGATGAATTAGTGGATGTTTACGGAAATGAATTAGTGGATATATTTTAATTTCTTAACTAACATTTCGAAAGACTAAGAATCCAAAGATAATCACAAGGAAAAGAAACAAGCGATACATGGGAAAGAGAGAACAAAGTACATATTACCAAAGAATACAACAAAATCGCACAGCTAAATAAGTAGTTTAAGTTTTCACTCTTTACAAAGGTGATGGAGCGATAATGTTTGTTGGCTCTGTTGAAACGATGCCAAGTTTCACAACCTCCACTGTCACTATAAATAAAAGAGGAAAAGATTGAGAACACCAAACAAAAACGGTCAATATTTGTGTTAACGGTAAAAAAAAATTGGTCAAATAAATACGTTGCAAAGGAAAGTTAGTGTAGTTGGGTACATGTAAAAAAAGGAAAAAGATGGTCACTCAACTTTTCTTTTGTCTATGTGCGCTTCACTTTTACAATTTGGAACTCTTTTGGCTTTGGGTTTACAGTATACTGTTTATTATTAGAATGACATTTTTGAGTAAATGAGTTTGATATTTCAAGTATAGAAGAAAAATAAACATAGACATTCAGTTCTAAAATATTTATATGATTGTTCTAAAATATTCATTCAATTGTGGTTGAGTTCACTATGTACAACATTCTACTCCCCCGTCTTCCGTTAAGTAGTACCGTGAGGAAAAACGATGGATCACGTGCAATTACTCGTAATCACAAATCATCAATTATGTCGTTCCATAAAAAAACTTGATAAAATATGTCATACATACAATAGCAGACATTACGCCACATCTTTCAGGTTGTTGTTAACCACATGAACTGTGCGTGCTTCATGAGGGTTTGCGATTAAACTGCTAACACTATATCAAACTCCCACACCTCAATTATATATACATATTCATGGTAATCTTGCTACAACCACAATCGTTTCTCCTACCAAATTAATTCATAGAATGGTCCCTTTAATAGCGATGTGTTTCATTCTCGTGATAAGCTATTTCATTTACGTTGTGGCGATTTGGCAAAGTTGCGACCAATTGAGCAAGAGAACATTGATATGAAACATATTTTGTCCAAATTAAGGGTTAAAATTATGGACCGTGTATACTTTAGAGTGTGCATAAAATTCCACGCCCAATATTGGTGCCTATAACCCAAAAGTTAAAAAAAAAAATCTATGAGTTAGGTAAAAACCTAGAGCGAATTCTCATTGTGTTCAGTTGAATTCAAGTTCCATATTATACACATAGATGAGAGCCTCAACCGTTGATATTACTAATGTAACGATAATACTAATGTAACTATGTTCATGGACGCTTGTTGTTTATGTCATAACGTAACTATAACGTACTAGCACAACGAATGCTTAAATTTCAAAATGCCAAAAGCCAAGAAGTTAAAGGTAGTGGAGAATAGAAAACCTAAACCTCACTGAGCATAAGAATAAAGTATAAAAGTTGGGGGAGCTAAGTCAGGATTTTTACCAGAACAATGATTTTGCAGGACTCGGGTCCATTTGGACTTTGGAGTCTCTTCCTGTAGTTCCTATCCTACTGTCATTCTGTCTCCATGAATTTTTTTAAAAGGGCAACAAAAATGTTAATTAAAACCAACAGAGAAGGTGGAAAACCTGGAAAAGGAGAGAGAGAGAGAGAGAGAGAATAATTAAGATTTAAGAAGCAACAAGGTCTTTGGGGGCGGGACCCACGGTCTGAAATCTTTGACAGGAGAGGAACGGCAGTTTCGTTACATCTCCTCTTTCACTTTCTCTCTCTCTCTCCACCTCTGCTCTGCTCTTCGTTTTTCCTTACCAATTCTACCCTTTTCCACCATCCTCTCTGTGTCTCTCTCTGGGAAAATTTCTTGCAGGTAGAGGAGCAGGAAGAAGGAGAAACACAATAGTGGGTGTGAACAACAAACAAACCCCCTCTCCTCCTCTCCTAACCCATTACAAATTTGGAGATATAAGGGAAAAAGTAAGAGAGATGGTAGCTCTGTGTGCTAATTGTTCCTGAGTGTGAATTTGCAAAGCCAAAAGTCTTACGTATTTCACACTTCTCATTTCTTTTACTAGTCTATCTTAAGTTACCCAGACCGCGGACGACGACGATGAACCCACCAATCCTCTCTGTCTCTCTGTCTTCCCGCGACTCCACTGCCACAAGTCCACTCTAAGGTCTGCGTGCCCACTCACTACTTGACTGAAATTTCTCCACTTTTTTTATACTCTCGTTCTTATGGTGTGCATTTGGGTCTTCTTCCGCGTGTTTACTTATCTGGGTATCTCTCCAACTTGCAGTGAAACCATTCTGCGGTAACTGGAATCTGGGGTCCAGAGAATTCTCGGGGAAGCAACTTTTGATCAGAATAGGGTTCTCGTCCCATTACCGTAGCTTAAGCTCAACAGGGTTTATATAAACTTTCTTCCTGGTGCAGCAGATCTGGTGGTATTCCGGATTTTCATGGGAGCTTCCATGGTTTTCTTGTTGTTAGTAGTTTAAGGATTTCGCTGGGTGTCGATTACTGATTAGTAGCCTCTTCTCCCTCATTTTTTGTGGGGGGGAATTGGAATGGAGGAAGTTGAGGAGGCCAACAGGGAAGCTATAGAGAGCTGCAATAGGGTTTTGAATTTGCTATCCCAGCCCCAAGATCAAGTCCACTACAGGAATTTGATGGTGGAAACTGGGGATGCCGTGTTTAAGTTCAAGAAAGTCGTTTCTCTTCTCAATACTGGTTTAGGTCATGCTAGGGTCCGGAAAGTCAAGCCATTCCCTACTGCTGCTTTGTCCAATAACAACATTTTCTTGGATAATCCAATTCATCGACCCGCAGATCAGTCGCCACTGACTTCCAAGGGTCGCCAGTTTCTACAATCCAGTGGCTACCTTGAAACCCATCATCCCATTCAAGAAATGGGTTCAACAGCTAAGACAGCCTTGTGCTTGGGAAACCCTTCTTTGGAGTTGAGCTCCAATGGGAAAACCCCACTCAATGTGGCTCAACAAACAGCATCTGCACATTATCACTTCCTTCAGCAGCAGCAGCAACAGCAGCTACAAAGGCTGCAACTCCAACAGCGGCAGCAGCAAATGAAGCAGCAGGCTGAAATGATGTTTAGAAGGAGTAATATTGGGATTAACCTGAATTTCGATAGTTCTAGCTGCACTCCTACCATGTCTTCCACTAGATCTTTCATGTCTTCCTTGAGCATAGATGGTAGTGTAGCTAACATGGAAGGTAGTGCATCATTCCATTTGACTGGTGCACCCCGGTCTTCAGACCAGAGCTCGCAGCAGCAGCATCACAAGAGGAAGTGTTCTGCTAGGGGTGAAGATGGAAGTGTGAAATGTGGAAGCAGTGGCAGGTGCCATTGTTCCAAGAAGAGGTAAAGGTTTTGACATTTATTCTTTGCTCAACTCTAGTCAATAAGCTACCTTTGCATGCCTTTCGTCTTACGATGAAATTTGAATGTGCCTACTAACAACTGTTGCTCCTTTTTGCCAATGCTTTACTCACAGGAAACATAGGGTGAAGAGGTCCATCAAGGTACCTGCAATTAGCAACAAGCTTGCAGATATTCCCCCTGACGATTATTCGTGGAGAAAGTATGGGCAGAAGCCAATAAAGGGCTCTCCTCATCCTAGGTACATAATGTTAAATTCAAGGATATCTGCTTTGGATGAGTGCTTCTAAATACTTCTGCTGATATTTTGGTTCCATTTATATTTTATAGCTCTGCTTCATTTGCATAGCTTCTCAATCTATGCATGCCTATGCCTGCTGAGCCAACTTCTTTTAGATTGCTCATTGATGTCATAGTGCTGTATTTGGTGACTACACGACACCTTTCTGCTTAGATAGGTGTTGGGAAGTAGTCTCGTGTCAATTAGATGCCCGGCTGCATCAATCATATGGTTCAGCTATTCCCAAACCTTCGCTTATGTAATGTAAACTTCTGTCATCATATAAGTGAGAATAAAACATGGATGACTCGGTATTCTGTTGTGCATGAAAAGTGAATTTTGTGATGGGTCTGTAGCTCGAGAATCACTGTTGTTCTCAGTTGGCTGATGATCTGAAATCCCTTACATCGTATCGTGTTGCAGGGGATACTACAAGTGCAGCAGCATGAGAGGTTGTCCAGCGAGAAAGCACGTCGAGAGATGCCTGGAAGAACCATCGATGCTCATTGTTACGTACGAAGGCGAACATAACCACCCTAGGGTGCAATCACAATCCGCAAATACATAAGAGGGAATGAATCACAAGGAGCATAACTTATGGGAAACGGTTACATAATTCGGCTTGGTCCATGCCGCGGCCTGGTGATGGTCAGCAGGGAAGTTTTCCTTGTTTGTTTTGGGAGGGAGGGGCTGGCTGTTTGGAGAATTGGTCTCTCCTACTAGCATTGCGTGTTTAGATCCGAATTCACCGGCTGCAACCTTGGCCGTCTTGTGAAGCTAGGAAATGAAAGCAGATAGATCGATCATGGGGTCTCGAAACTGTAAGGAAGTCATTTTTCTTTCCATCCTTATGTCATCTTCTATTATCAGAGTTGTTCAAAACAGTTGGCCGGAACGATTGATTGAGGGCTTCTTGTGATATCGCTTGCTAGTGAAAGTATTGATTAGTGACGTTAAGTCATGGTTCATGGAGATCAATCTCAGTCAGAAACGCATGGGGATTCATTCTATTGCACTATATTCTTTTCGCAGCACAGCATAGGCCAGAGTGTAATATTATTCAGTAAACGTCAGTTGTTCACCATCACAGTTGGTTGAAGATGGATGAAAATGGTGGACTCAAAAAACGTCAGTTGTTCAGTAAGAGTCGAGGTGATTTTAAATGGGAATTGGAGGGTGGAATTCACCATCACAGTTGGTTGAAGTTTTGTTCTGCGTTGGGCTGGTTTGTTGCCATGCCACCATTGTTCATGTATTGGAGAGCAATGGCACATAGAAATAACTAGCTTATACCCGGCCCGTTGGCCGGATTACTATATGTCACCCACTTGTGGAATGGGAGAGAAAGCAAGTGAGAGTGAAGGGATTGGGATTCCACTTGATTAGGATCGACCCACTAATCCGATTCTTCCCGACCCGCCCAAACCTAAAGGGTCAGAAAGAGTCAATAAGAAAATACGAACGGAGAGGATTAGTCATATATCTTGACTCTTCAGAAGTGTGACAGGATCAAGGTTGGGTGAGGGCAATTTTTAGCGCTAAGCAGAGTTTTGGGTTGAATAACTTTACTTAGGCCTAGAAATTAATGCTGATGCAGACTGCAGTTTTTATTATACCATCATCAATCATCATTGAATTAGTCCTGGGCATCCCTCCCCGTTGTTGGTATGAATTCTAATGATGGCTTCATTCCTTGCACCAGCCATATAAGCGAGTTGTCATCTCGAGCATGATTTGCCTATGTACAAATGATACAATTAGACTATGAAACTGAATTCAAAGAAAAGGAAAAGAGAATTCTATCACATGCCAATAAATACACACATAATAGTTGAAGCTAAGTGAAAGTCATTACTCGCACATCAATTCTAAAAAATTACAGACTAAACAATGGCTAGAATGGCAATGAAACTACCAAGAATCATGGACGAAACAACTTGTCAAATTAAATAATCCTTATACTGAAACTACCTTCTAACTTGAAATAAGACATGATCACAGTTCATAGCTCTCTTCTCACTATGAATTGGTTGCAGCTTGTCTTTATCACTGCCTCCCAAGCTCAATTCAAACAGAATAGAGACTGTTATGTAAGATAACCATATCCTTACTGATCATAATTCCTTTCTTCACTCCAATTTTGTCGGAGAAAAGAGTTATCCCCCCTCTCCTGCATTTCCCTTTCCCCCTCTCTTCTCCCTCTTCTTCACAAACCGATCCCTAAACCAGCAACAACAACACAAAAATAGCCTTCGCCTCTGCCATCTCCATCTACTGAACGCGTTGGTGGCAAGACAGGACTGCAGAAGCAAAATTTTCTAAAATCAAACTAAATTTTTTGAAGGAGACTCAACCACGAAAAAAGAGTAAAGCAACAATGCTAATAGTTCAGATGGTTGGTTTTGATGTTATATGTTGCTTTTGTTCTGGTCTCCAGTATATCAACTGCAATAGAGATGTTTCCTCCAATCATCTTTAGTGCACGGTTTAGAAGCAAGTCCTCCTATTTGTGTCAAACGGAAACATTCATGGGTTCTTAACTCCCCTGTTAGTGTAAATGCAGCAACAGCAAAGAAGTTTGACAACACAGCAAGCACCCAGGCAAAATGATACAATGCAGTATGTGATATGTGTCTCGAAGGTTTTGAGTTACTAAAGTTCATGTTAAAAATAAACATTAATTAAAATGGATTATTCTATTAAGCAAACATCCCCTCTAATCATACAAAGATCAGATATCCAATTCACAAACAATTAAGCCATAAAAAATCATCACACATCCACCACCTTTGATTGCCTAAATTTGGGTTTTCGCAAAGTTATGGACTCTTAAGGGTAACGTTCATGGGTAGTCTGTTTCATAACTCTAGAGAGCACAGTAAGCAGCCACCAGCCAGACACAGTGCGGTAGGCGAATATGATTCTCAATTCACAATTTCTCACCACCGGAAAGAACATACCATAATAAGCGTAGCGTTCATGGATGGTCTGTTTAATAGCACTACTACACAATTTGTTAAAAAAGAAAGAAAGGTATTTAGCATCATGACGGAACAACTTTTACAGGCCAACAACGACAACATGCTGCAACCACCAGAACTGGTATCACAACTCATAGGGAAAATCAAAGATTTACTCTCAAACTAAGTAGTTACAACATCGAGCAATCGTCAAGCACATACACCATCACAAAAGTCACGGAACCTGATTCGTAAAGCATTCAAACATTTGAGGACATTTCTGCAAAGGTACAACTTATATGTCTTTTTTCCAAGACATTTCCATCAATATGCTAATAAATTTGCAATGCATAAAATAAACGGGCCAAAACTTGAAATTCAGCCTGTTTGACCGACCCATGCCAAATCCTAATTATTCTTTAATTTTAAACTTTCTATTTGAAAATAAAAAATAGTGAAAGAAAAGAGATGACTGCAATTCGCCATTTGCACATCACTTATTCGGGAATAAAACCATAGAAATTCAAAAGGAACTGAAAATGTTTAGGATCGTTTTAATGTTTAAAATAACCAAATAGATCTTTCTGTTTAGTTTTTTACTAACAAATATCAAACGATTCCCTATAAAATACACTATAATTTGATCATTATGATATCAAATAATTATATAACATATATTTGAAATGATAAAAATTGGACTAATTGGGTTGGTCAAGGTTGAACCATTGAATAACTTTAAAATACATTATATTTTAGCCACTAAGATATAAAATAATAGCAAAATATATATTATGCTAGAGAAAATAACTTGTTTTAGAATGGCAAACCAATGATGTTCATTTGTTTTACTTGATGGACAAATCCCGTGTAGGTCAGACCCATTCAACTTTTTATTTTATGGTTAGCGGTTAGCCATTAGATACCATTCATTAGTTTATTGTTAAATTTTTTATTTTTAACAATAAAAAGGATTATTATTTTTGCCTTTTCATATATATTTTATCACCACGGAGAAATAAAAGGGCTTAAAGAAAAAAATTGACACTCTTGGTCCCGTTTAAATCCGCATGTGTACGGTAAGTTGGCCCGTTCCACAGAGGAAAGAGAAAAAAATTGACACTCCCTATTATCCCTTCCTACAAACGCTACTGGAGCAGGGAATTTGAAATAGGGGAAGAGTTTTTTCCTCTCGGCTATTATATGTTTTTAATTTAAAAAGATACAACAAATCTACTTAGTGTGATTGGTTATGATCCTTGCTTTTCTATAAAATGGTCATGGTTCGAATCCCAGTACGTGTCTTTTTTATTTTTAACAATAAAAAGGAGTATTATTTTTGCTTTTTCATATATATTTTATCACCACGGAGAAATAAAAGAGCTTAAAGAAAAAAATTGACACTCTTAGACCCGTTTAAATCCGCATGTGTACGGTAAGTTGGCCCGTTCCACAGAGGAAAGAGAAAAAAATTGACACTCCCTATTCTACCCTTCCTACAAACGCTCCTGGAGCAGGGAATTTGAAATAGGGGAAGAGTTTTTTCCTCCCGGCTATTATATGTTTTTAATTTAAAAAGATACAACAAATCTACTTAGTATGATTGGTTATGATCTTTGCTTTCCTATAAAATGGTCATGGTTCAAATCCCAGTATGTGTCTTTTTAATGAACAAAAAAAAGTTATTGTGAAGACCAAAATGTCCTTCCTACTTTCACTCTCGTTGCAGGAAATTTGAAATGGGGAAGCTGTTTTCCCCTTCGGCGTATTATATGTATAGTAGATGTGGAATTGAGGTAAAAAGTAGTTGTAATGGCGAACGATGAATGGGGACGGATCGGTGGAGGTGCCGAAATCTGATAACGACTCCAACGACTTGGGCACAAATTGGGTTGGAGGCGGTTTTCCAACAACAACGACAACAACTAGTAGGTGTTTGCTTCTTACCAACCTTGGATTCGTCGGTCGAACTCCCAAGTGTTCCTCTTCTGCACTTGTACTTGGTCTTCGGCCGATCGAGTTGAAGGAGAAAACAACAAGGGGTTTCAATATTATTGTTAATGATTGTCACCCAAAGTTTGATTCTTCTCCAAATTGGGACGGCTGCTGTTTTGACGCTAAACTTAATTCTTTAATTTTTTTTGGGTGCGTGCATGGCGGAGGAGATTCTAATAAGAATGAAGGTGCAAGCTTCTACTAATTAATTTCCACCTGACTATCGTTTCCCTCATGACTTCTTCCAGTCGGACAAGTTGTCGAACACATCACCCAACCAATATACTTATTCTGCACCAATCTGTGGTAGCGTCGGGTTAGAAGCCAGGTTTCTGCTAAATTCAGGTACCTTGGCGGCAAAGCAGAGTAAGAAGAAGAAGAAGAAGGGGATTATGGCGATCGGTGGCGGTGAAGTTGGCAGATTCAGTATTTGTTTGTGGTGAGTAGATCTTCGATTAGTGAAGATGCTTCCATTGTTTATTTGGCTTAGATATAGCAGAAATAGTGCCCTCGAAAAAAGCGGACCTTTTATTAATAAAGGGTTACTGTTCATTAACACTAATTTTCTTAATTCCCTGCGGCCAATCTTACTATACCGCGTGTAAATCTCTAGCGGCTACCCGAGCATCTTTCATGTTTGTTCGTACCTTTCTTCTCCCTTCCCAACAATAGCACATGCACCAAAACAGCCATCAATATACCCTTCTTCCACAACCCTATCTCCATTTTAGCAAGAGAAGAATTAGATGAGATGCTGATTTTGGATTATACTGCATGCAATTACTTAACACCTCCCCGCCATTGTTTTTTTTTTAGGGCAACTCATCTATTATATATCTTTTATTCGTGATTGAGATGAGAGGGAGCGCTCACCTATTCTCTTCTTTTCTGCAAAAGAGATCCAATTCGCTCAATGGATTTATAATAGAGGTTTGTGAGTCTAACAGAATAAATTCATTCGGATATTGAGAATGGAAGTTATATACATATAGCCATATAGGAGCTATGTGGTATTGCTATCTTTCCAAGTGTCATTACGGGAGCCACGTGGCATACAATGGAGCAAGTTATCCTTGGGTAGTTTAGTTAATGAATGAGATTGGAAGACTACAAATATAAAATAAATTATCACGAACATATTATGCTTTCATGTACATTTTCATTCCAAATTATGAAAGATTAATATATATTACGTTTTCAGGTGTCATAGGCAAACTTCTATATACTTTTTTTCATTCTATATAGAGAAAATATTTATGTATTACAAATACATTATTTAATTTTTTAATTAGCTAAATTTCCTTTACGGTTACCTGAAATATTCGCAATTTCATCAAATTTACATTATACAAAAGTTCCGTAAGATAAGTTTAATTTTTATTCATATGCCCATTTTATCATAAATACTTTCTCTCATATAATCAGCTATTTCGGTAATTTTTTTTTTCATCTCCATCGCCCTATTTCACTATTAGCTATTTCTCCCCTATAATAAACTATGTATGCACTTTTTTAATTCACATTATGAAAAGTTCAGTAATTAAATTTTTTTATGTAAAACTTATTATTAACTACAATTTTCATCATCTCATCAATTATTATTATGGAAAAGCTCTGTAATGTAAGTTTACGTTAACATAGTGGTTTAATTAAGTGTAATGCGTTCCCTACTTGATTTTATTATTAGATCATACATTGCAAAATATTTATATAACAAATATGTTAGATAAAGCTTACAAAAGATAATTATTCCTTATGTATCAATTAAGTAGAACATATTACATAAGACTTTCGTAATAGTAAAGAAACAATATAAAGCTTATCGAGGGTCATAATTTGTTATCTATCTAATATGTAAGTCTTTCGTTTTATATAAATTTGAATGAAATTTCTACATTTTAACTCAATTGTTGGCCATCTCAACAATTTGCATTACACAAAGGTTTCGTAAGGTCAGTTAGTGTGATACTTTTCGTAACTTAATTTACTTATATTACTAAATAAAATTCCTTCATTATTACCTACAACATTCACTATCTCATCTATATGTATGATGCAAAGGTTTCTTAAATTAAATTGATTTTACATAATAGTTTAATAAAATGTGAGAGTTATCCGTAACTTCATTTTATTATTAGTTTCTTACCGCTGCGAAGCGCGGGTCAGAGAACTAGTTGTTATTAAAATGAATATCAAGACACAATTTAAGTTCTACCAATATCAAGGATCTACAATTACGGCTATGAGATTATGTAAAATAGAAGAAAAATTCAGTGCCTGCGAGGCCAGAACTCCTTAGTGCCTCGTCGTTCTAGAGTACCTGCATTCTCAGAGACAAGACACGCCCTATAATTACATGCACTAGTGCAATAGGAAACCCAGCTTCATTGAGAGTTTCCTGGATCAACTGCCAGCTAAGATGTTCATAAGCTTTGGCCAAGTCTATCTTCAAATAGTAAGAAATTGATGTAAATGGGCCAAGAATGGGGCGAGGTAAGACAGGTCGGAAGTAGATATACATGTCCCGCCCCACACTACTGCGGGTCGGGTAATACCCGCCCCATCGCGGCTTAGGTCGGGTAATACCCGTGGGGTGGGTTCAAATTGCCATCATTACTTCAAAGTCCATGATCAATTTGTACCTAAAGAGGTGAAACTTTCAAATCCGTGTGGTCCACAGATTTTGATCCTTAACTTTCGTGTGACTCACAGATTTGTTGCCCCTAAATACATAAACATAAAACAAACAATGAATTTTGGACAAAATCCATGATAGATCCAAATCCATCAAGCAAACAACCCTTAGGGACCAAATTCGTGGGGCCCGTGGATTTTAAGGGACCAAATCCATGGACCCCACGAACTTGTAAATCGCACATATTGATGTGAGATTTGTAACATGCCATAAATCCATGATGAGATTTTACCCATATACACTCGTGAACTCTTAAATTTTCAAATTTGCCCTTACATTTACTTATTATATATTATAAATAATCAATTAATTAACAACAAAAAAATAGTATAAATATTCTATTAATGTGCAAACATGAATTAGAATTTTCTGTTCACCGATTCTAATATATGTTTTTATACCATTTCTTGAGTTCTAGTTTCCTTTAAAACAAAATTTTTTCGATTATTATTATTGTCATTGTGACAACATTATCCTTCTTAGTACGTATTGTAATTTTGGACTTTAAATTCTAAGGGGTCGTTTGCTTCAAGGACTTTATAACGAGGGTTTTGTCATGGATTTGCTAATTAAAAACCTTGAGATTTATTAGGAATTTTGGGCATTATAGATTTGAGGAAATCCTTTGTTTGTTGAGCTATTTTTATCATGGATTTGATGGTTTTTCAGCTTGTCTCCAAAACCCAGTGTATGAGATGGGATTTATAAAACCATGGGGCCCACAGATTTATCTAAATATTTTTTGACAAAGCAAACTAAAAATTGTGTAAATCCATGATGGTTGATTTTTTGGAACCAAATCCATAATGCAAATCCTTGAAGCAAACGACCCCTAAATCCCAAACCTTTAAATTACAAAACCCTCATTTTTAAATTCAGGAAGTGAAAACCCCCTAAAGAGCAAGGATCCTTCGGGCTAATAATCAAATATTTAGAGTAGCATACGCCAGCGAAACGAACAAAATATTATCACGGAAGGAGTAAATGTAAATCTAGATCCAAGAAACAGAAACACCATCTCCGCTGCCGACGAAGAACTTCACTTGAGAGGAATAAACCTGGAAGAGTGAGTAGCACCAATTCCAGGTCTTCCATGCTTCACAGGCTTGTAACTGATTGAGAACTCGGCTAGATAATGGCCAATCATCTCAGGCTTGATCTCCACTTGGTTGAAAGTCTTGCCATTGTACACACCAATAATGCTACCGATCATCTCTGGGACTATGATCATGTTGCGCAGGTGAGTCCTAACTGGCTCAGGTTTCTCACCAGCTGGAGCCTCCCGTTTCTGAATGCCACAACAGAGATACACAAACCAATCAAACAATGGGAAAACGCCATTATACATGTAAGGTCTGGTTTCTTTTTATCGCCAACAAATGACGGACAACGCCGATAAGATAAGGATTTCACGAATATCATGAAAATTATTGCCAAACTGGAATAGCCTGGACAAGAAGGTGGTGGGTTGAATAACATGCATTATCCAAGCTTAACGAAATGAAGAGAGTCCTGCATAAACTGTTTTGACTCGGAATACATAAATCAAGAGAAATCCTCAGCTATTCACGTTTCCCAGAAGTTACAAAGGATCACAAATCTTCCAGGTAAAACTAATAAGCTAAACTAATTTCCCATAGGTTGAACTACAAGATCTTTCTCTGCTAGTTTCTGAAATTACTCAAAAACCAATTTTATGGGGCTCAAAACCCCATTACGGTGCAAGATTGCTGGTGGAAAATCAGGACTGGATGGAACAAAATTCTTCATTACTAACAGATGTCAAACAGATTTGTGATAGTTCATGACTTGATGATCCAATGCTCGAATTCTAGAGAATACTAACATCCCTAGAATCACAATGGACTGCACGGAAAATCGGTAATCAATCACGTGGCAATGGAACGTCTAGGTACTTGCTACAAGCTCTGCCTAAAGTGTTGAACAACAGCGTCCATGGCAGCATGTAGGTACCGTATAACCAAAATCACATTTGATACAAGTCTAATTAATTGGTAATAAATTTGAATGCTAAACATCACAGAGAAGAGCAACAGTCAACTGGCTATTCTGGATTCGCATTTTCCAAAATCACAAATGCTGAAAGGCTAGAGAACCCTTAAAGCAAAACCTAGCAAGGGTCATACAAGAACTATAAGCCTTACCGCTTTTCGGAGCTTCTTAATGAGGGCCATTGGTTTCCTAGTCAAACCTCGCTGGAACCTGGGCACAAAGCAATAGATTGTTACGATTCAGGGGAGAAAAAAAAAAAAAACAACGCCATCTTGTAAATTGCCGATAGCAAAGCGATTGATCATCGGAAAATCATGTCACCTTCTTCGAGCACGAGCTGTAAAGAGCTTGACGAGGTCATCAGTGGACATATCCAAGAGAGCATCCAAATCAACTCCCCTGAAACTGAACTTCTTGAACGTCCTCTTCTTAGGCTGTTCTGGAACGGCAACATCGGCTTCAACGTCGGCCTGAAATCCCCACGGAGAATGAAAACCAATCGGAGGGTTAGACCATTGCTTAAGAACATAATCATGACTTCCTGTTCAGCTTGACGCATGGATTTGGGTGAAGAAATTGTCAAGAAAGGCGAACAATGTCCAGCAAGTTTGAAGAATGAGCAGCAGTGGGGAAGAAATGGAGTTCTCACCATGGCTTCAGACTTGTGGAAAATGGGAAGAATTCGGGCAGCTCGCTGGTCCGTCGGCGCGAGATTTCCTCCGATGTTTAGGGTTAGGAGGGTAGTAGCTGCAGTTTTATAGCTAAGCTAATATAAACCCGATGGATCATGGATGGCGGGCTTCTTTTGTCTTTGGGCTGAAAAGCCTACCGAAACTTAGCTGGACCGAAGCATACTTACTACCAGATTTTAACTTGTTTTTTCAAGAAACGTAAGGGTGGTTTAAAAGTTACGATTGTGAGTGTTGTATTTATAGAATACAAGAATTGTCAACAATACAACGTTTGGAATTGTCAAAGTGCAAAACAATGCATGTATTATTTTGTGTGGCTCCCATTTACAATCACAAAAAATGAGGTATTATACAATCTCAACTAAAAGTTGAGATTGTTACTTTTAGGTTTATATCTCTTTTTTTTATTTCCATTTATATCCTTAGTAAAGGAGGAAAAGAGTTATATGTTGTATGTTAAAATAAAGGGTAAATGTGATATTTTCACCAAAAAGTTACTTTATGTAAGTTAATCACTAATCTATAAACTAAACAACCAAAAAATCTAATGTTAAATGCAACGATTGTATCAATACATGTATTATATATTGCAATGATTCTTCACAATACCATGATTTAACATACACAACTTCCAAACCACCCCTTAAATGCGACATTCATTAGTAATCGACATGCCGAAAAAGAGCTATTTTGGTCATGCAATAGGCAGCTTTATTAATTCTCTAAGAAAAGGCAACAAGAAACTACTAAAGATCATAAAAAGATATATGTTTTAGAACCTTGACACTACCTGTCATTTACGACTTTGAACATTGTGTACCACAAGATACCACCTCCGTACCAGGGTGGTTGACTCGCACGAAACTACACCACAATAAAATCCCAACTAGAGGCCAAGTTTTTAAACTCTAGTCGGGTGCAGTATAGGGCAAGTATTTAGATATCGACCCGGGCCAGTCCGTCTACCCCTACTTCAGTTGTTGACATCATTATCTAGCGACAAAGGTTTGGTTTAAAGGTTTGCTAATTGAAATGAAAGAAAGCAAAGGTAAATGGTTTTGATAACTCTTTTGTGGAAAGATCACTCGGGTGTCGCTTCCCCCTAACTGCTACCATGCTACGTGGATTGGAGCGATTGCTTTGGGCACGATAACCGCGAACCGCAGAGGGATGCATATGTGGTCGGAGACCACAATCTCAATTGCTAAACCGAGCAGGTAAGCATGAAAGGCCGTGTCACTCGACCCTCTCGGTTTAGACAATCGGTAGTTGACTTACTCCCTCACTCAACTCTAAGGTCGGACGACTTAATCGTGATTAACCGACTTGCTTATCTCAATATTGAGGATTTCCCTAACTTAACATAGTTTAGGTGGCTTAGAAAGCGGATAGAAAACCAAATCATTGTGTCTCCCTTGGAAGGGGGATTTTCCTCTCTAAGCTAGGCTAAGGTGGATAATTAGATTGCTAGCACCTACATGCACAAACCTAAGGGTGCTAAGCACAATTATGCACAATCCTTAGGTTGCTAAGCACCTAGATGCACAAACTTAAGGATGCTAAGCACAAAACATGCACAACCCCTAAGTTGCTAAGCACAAGAATGCACAATCATGATGAATAATGCCTCAATCATTGAATTGAACAATACCCCATGACAATCATCCAATACACATAAAAGAAAACTACATGGTAGAGTTAGGTTTTCACAACACCCAAGTGAAAGGAGGTCTACTCCATGCTAGAAGTGGGAAAAACAAAAGGGAAAGAGATGGAAATCATCTTGGAGAATGCTCCCAGTCTTCTTGGCCCTTGAGTTGAGCTTTCCTTGGAGCAAATCTTCCCAAAATCTGCCTTGAAACTAAACCCTAGCCTTCTTCTCCCTTTGGTTCGTGTTTCTCTCTCTAGAATGTTGAAGAAGGCTTCTCACACAAAATGGGCTCTCCCCTCTTTAAACCAGAGACGAGCTGAGTTCACGGCCTGAGTTCATGGCCGTGAACCAAGAAACGCGTCAGTGAACTGCTGGCGTGCGCCAAAACGCACCGCGCCGATCTCTTCTGTTCACGGCCAACAGCCTTTGTTCACGGTCTTAGTGACCGTGAACTCACCTTGCGTCAGTAACATTCACTTTGGTTCTGGACGCCCCGAGATTCATGGTCAAGTGCCATTCTTCACGGTCATGCAAGACCATGAACTTCCTTGGTTAACCGTGAACTGGCCCTTTTTCACATTTTTTCTCGGTTTTCGATCCATTTCGCCCAACTTTCGACTCCGAGGCTGGTTTCACCTGTTAAATCTTGAAACACACTCAAACACGAGGAACCTAGCGTAAAACTAACCTTTTAGGAGTGAATTTGGCACAAACATCTAAGTAAAACCCCCAAAACATGTGCAATTAGGCCCAGATCAGTGGTATAGTGTGATATTTTTTGGTCTCGTATTTTTTCATCAAGAAATTTTTACATCCAATAGATCATGATGAACTCGTTTCTTCTGTGCAAAATTTTTCAAGAACGACTTAAAAACTAAGGAGATATCATATAGTATAGAATTGGTAACGTGAGGTATGAATTTATTTTTTCAAAAAATATTGAAAATGAATATGATTTTGTAGAGCACAACGAACTCGTTCAATATGTGCAAAAAATATTGAAATTCGAGTTAGAACGAAGAAGATAAGAGCTGATTAAGAAAATTAAAAAAAAATAAAATGTCTTTAATTGTCAATATCTGGGCCAAAAAAAGGTCCAAATTTAGTTATGTAAGAATTTAGGGCAGGCTGCATGAATGGAAGCCGATTAGGGAGGGAGGTTCCCGTTGAACTCGATTCAACTCTTTAACTCGAGGTTAATACCATGGTTGGGAGTGACGGTGGGTTCTGTCATGAGGTGATTCTCGAGATTGTTGACTTGTTCCTTATTGTACATGGGTGCTGGGCCGTGCTTGGGCCGGCATGGCACGGGTACGCTTCGGGCTAATTTATTTCGTGCCGTGTTTGGCATGGCCCGTCATTTTTCGTGTTGTGCTATGCAAGCTCATTTGTTAACTTTGCTAGGCCCTGCCCATGCCCGGGCACGGCACGGTTCGAATCCTGTCGTGCCTATTCATGCTCGTGTCATGCTCGTATTCGTGTTTAATAAAAATGACGAAAACAAAAGAGAGAATGAAAAAGAAGGTGAAAATTGGACGGGGGAAGATAGCGAGTGTGATTTGGCTTTGTTTAATTCTTTGTCCATTTTTACTTATGTTAGTAAAAAATAAGAGGGTAAAAATTGAAAGTAACAAATAAGAGGGTAAAAATTGAAAGTATAGCGAGTGTGATTTGGCTTTGTTTAATTCTTTGTCCATTTTTACTTATGTTAGTAATTACGTATATATCTTTATGACACTTCTAAGTTCTAACAACAACAAATAATTATTTTTCTACTTGTGTTTTGTAATATTTGAACCTATATTTTTTTATATTTATTTTCTATCAAATAAATATTATTTCCGTGCCATGTCCGTTCTTATACTCAATAAAGTCTCAAAAATATTATGCCTGACACGACCCACTTATATACCGTGCCGTGCCCGTACCCATAAAGTTTAAACCCGACAAGGCCCATAAATTATCCGTACTCGTGCCGGGCCGACCCATTTATTTCGTGCCCGTGCTTGTGCCGTGCTCTAACCGTGCCGTCCTAGCCCGTGGGCGGCACGGTGCCCACGTACATTCCTCGTGGAGCAATTTATAGTTTATACGGGCTAGGACGGCACGGTGCCCACGTACATTCCTCGTGGAGCAATTTATAGTTTATATTTTATAAGATGTTATCGACCATTTCTTTTATAGACCATTTCTCGGTCAGTGGCGGAGCTATTCATTGAGATGGGGGTGCTTGGAGCCTCCTTGGAGGATGGGCAAAATAAATTATCCCTAGACTTTGCTTTGTTCTGTTTCGTTCTTCTGTGAACTGAGGTTAAGTTACTTTATTTTAGGGTAAATGTCACATCTGGTTACTAAGATTACTAAATCGTATTATATTTAGTCACTAAAAAAATTTAATATCAATTTTGGTCATTCGAATTACTGAAACATGTCACATTTATCTTCTCTCCCATTAGCCTCCGTCCAACGCCAGTCACTCGAATTACTAAAACATGTCACATTTAGTCACTCGAATTATTGAAACATGTCACATTTAGTCACTCTCCCGTTAGTTTCCGTCCAACTCTATTAATGGAGTTGGAGTTGGACGGAAACTAACGGGAGAGTGACTAGATATGACCTGTTCCAGTGATTGAGTGACCAAAATTGATATTAAAATTTTCTAGTGACTAAACATGACACGATTTAATAATCTCAGTGACCAAATGTGGCATTTACCCTTTTATTTTATTTTATTTTATTTTTTTATTATAAGTCAATTATGGGCTAGAATATTTGAAATTAAACTTGAGCCCATTTAGAGTATCTTTCTCATAATAAGTTTGGCCCAATTTTTATATTTTCGCTAAATTTATGTCATAAACACCACAATCTGGTTTATCCACTCATTATTTTGATCAAACTCAACTATTATTGTCGTTCCCACCCAAAATCCCAACAATTGTTTTTCCTCTGCCAATACTCGTACCATTTAGACAAGTTACCTCCAAATCTTATGAATTTTCTTAGGTCATCGATTGGATTTTGTATTTTACATCTACTACGATGACATGTTAAAAAACTTACAAGTGATTGATGAATTCGAAAAAATTGGTGAAAACAAATAAGCAAATATTATATATATATATATATATATATGGGTCAGACTGGTGTGCTCCAGGCGTATACTATACTCCAGCCTCCCCACACCGTTGATATAATCTGACGGTCATTATAAATATTAATTAAATGAATTATTAATTTGTAATTAAAGTTTCTATTTAGGTCCCTTAAAAATATATACGTTCCGCTTAGTCCTAAAAAAAAAGTTTGCCACTACTTTGAATATTTAAGTACCCTAATTCAACTATTTATACATTTAAATACCCTAATATTATAATATTATAAAACTTTAAAACTACTAAACCAGAAGCCATTTATATTTATACATTTACCCAAAACCAGAAGCCATTTATTCCCCAAGAAGAACCCTTCCGACACGCCATTGCTACAGAGAAACTCCACAGGAAGAAAGACCTCTCTGGTTGCCGACGGTATCCCAAATTCCACCTTCCTCTAACAATCAAAAAGCCCGACCCAAAAACAAAAATATCAAAGCGTAAACGGTAAACATAGAAAAAATAAATCCACAGGCTAGAGGAAAAGAGAGCTCAATCTCCTGGGAGGGATGAACGAGACCCCCCTCGTTGTTCGACACGATTGCTAAGCAATCTCCATCCGTTTCTCCTCTTCGGCGCTTCGAAAGAGTCAAAGACCAACAAGCATCGTTGTGTTCAAAGAATGTAAGATATTCTCCTTACCGAAAACTCTGGTGGCAAGAAACAAAGTTCCACATTCTCCTTCATCAATTGTTGATGACTTAGATAGCTGCAAACCATTGTCACCACCTAAGACACACAGTTCAAAGAGATTACATTCGTATTAGTTAAAATTGTCAAACATGTAAATGAAGCTTACATCATCTTTTAACGCCTTCCTCGGACAAAGGCTAATGAAATCCTTTCGTTGTCCTTCAATTCCAGCAGTGTGGAGTAATACTTCATCTTCGTAGAGTCCTTTCCCAAAAGTGTAACACGCTACCACAAGTTCTTCAAATTTCAGGTCAATATCTACTGGAATGTGAAATTCCATGGAAGTGATAGCCTGGTTTAGAAGTTTAGATATCAAAACTTGATCATTCTATGGTGGAAATTGAATTATATACAGACCAAAAGGGAACATAGTATACGCATTTTGCACTTTGAAAATTTCAGTACCACATTGATCTATGAGAGACAAAGAAAATACCATGGCAAGAAATAAAAGCAAACCATACAAGAATATTATACCTGAGTAGCCCCTTGATTTTCATTAAGCACTGAGAAATCTGATTTCTGTGAACTCCTTAGAGGAGTACCTGGACCGCCATGTTGAACAGGTGAATTTTTCCGGGTCCTTTTGGTCGGGGTAATGGGTTTGGCGCCGAGACATATTACATCATCATCTCGTCTTGTTTGTTGGTCAGGATTAGCAGATTTGTTCGTCTTGGATTGATTCTTCCTATAATTAGATGAGGAGAAATGTCATTAGATACATGACAGGGAGAGGCCATGACAACAGCTCGTTGTATATATATATACTCATATGGGAAAGTGGCCCATCAAACGATACACATTATGAAAATAGATATATATATACACACACAACGCTGAAGAATGAAGAATAAATAACATGCTGCATAGTGGGGATGAATAGTGGAAATTTCCACATTTTAAAGCAGGTAGGGTCTGTTCATTTAAGGATCATGTTGGTTCTCATACAATTTCAGGATAAGGTAACTAAAAGTGTACCAAAGTTGGAAAGATATTGCTTAATACTCATGGCCGTAGATGTTGTTTATCCATTTAACATGACATGAAGGGAAGGTAACAACTAACAATGATGGGGACCAGACAGAGAAACATGCCACATCCAGAAGAAAGGAATCAAACTACAGTGGGAGGAAAAAGAATGAAGACAAACCTGTCGGTCAATTTCTGGACGTTTTCCATTGGAATGAACAAAATTGTACTAGAGCAGAAAAAACAGAGAGAAACAACGATATTCCTATACCTCTAAATCTGCCCCACTTATATAAGGGTGTAAATAATTTAAATTAAGAACTTCAGTAAGTTGTTGCGGCTTGGATGCAAAAGATATTCTGTGAGGAACAACGGCTAGAAAGATTTCAAATACTTAAGCCTGTCAAATGGAATCAGCGCTTCACGAAAAGTATGAAAATATTTTATAGAAACTAAAATATCCTTTTCGGTTGAACTGAAAATGGTGATTAGGAGAAAAATAGAATTGAAACTCTTGCAGCCAATAGGGATTTAATAAGTAAAGTTTATAACTAAACATCTCTTGACAAATAGGAGGGAGATCCTTAAGCTGCCACTAAGCAACAAACTTTGCCGAAGTTGACCTGGCTATGGAAAAGATCCATTAGCGAATCCCATGGGAGGCGTAATCTTCAGCCCCCGCATTCTCCTTGAAGGCCTCAATTTTGTAACTGAAATATTGGAGACAAAAAGTAAAAGATCTATAATAATTAAAATTAAAACAATTAAATCTAAACTCATATGGAAACGGTTACCTGGAAAAAAGAGAACACTCGCTCAGAACTCCTCAACATCTTCTTTTCGGCCATCTGAGATAAACTTACTCCATTGAAACAATGGCAGAACAGGAAAACTGGTCAGGGGAAAATAACCCCGAGAATGTAGATGAGCCTCTTCCCACTACCAGTGGTGGGTTAAATGGAGAGAAGGGTATTGGAACAGAGGATCTTCACAGTGCAGTAACTCCCCTTAACGATGATGCGTTTAATGGAGATAAGGAGGGTGAATCGCTACACAACCAGATAGATGAAGATGATAATGACATTGAAATCTTACAAAGAACGGGTGCCTCTAACATTGTTGGTTCTAATGTAAAGGAGAATGGTACGGAAGTTGTTATTCAGAATCCTCCTTTCATCGGTCAGGTATTCAATGCTCATGAGGAAGCATATACATTCTACAACAACTATGCAAAGGTTTGGGGGTTTTCTGTCAGGCGCGAGAAGAAGGCTCGGAACAGTAAGGGAGAGATCACAGGTGCAGCATTCGTTTGTTCCTGCCAAGGACATAGACAACCACATAAAGGTGAACAAAAGAGAGAGTCTCCTATGGTGACCAGATTTGAATGCAAAGCTAAACTTCGCGTGGTGCTAAACAAGACAGATTCAAAGTGGGTTGTGGATAAATTTAACGAACAACACACGCATGAACCAGTTAAGCAGAGGTTGGCACATCACTTGAGGTCGCATCGAGGACTAACAGAAGCAGACAAGGCAGACTTCCGATTTAAAAAGGATGCGGGCATGAAACCTTCTCAGGTGATGAAGCTTGCTGTGCATACTGCTGGAGGGCATAGCAAACTTGGGTACACAATAAAAGATGGGTTCAATTTCAGTACCACAGACCGCAATGAAAGGATCAGCGAGGGTGATGCAGCAACAGCACTTGCCTATCTAGAATCAAAGAAAAGCACGGATGCGCACTTCATCCTCCGATACACTACTGACGAGGAAAAGAAGCTACATAGTTTATTTTGGGCAGACAGCATTTGCGTAGCAGACATTGCATGCTTTGGGGAGTTGCTTGCATTTGATACAACGTACAAAAAAAATTGTTACAATATGCCTCTCGTTATTTTCACAGGTACGAACCTTATATATCATGCTTTCTTTTAATTATAGGGACCGAACATTGCACTCTCCTAATATAAGGTTCTGATGAAGTTAACATTGGTCGTGTAATCTTAAGGTTTCAGTACTGCTCATTTAATGCTTATTTTGAAAAGGAATTTAACATACAATTTGTGATATACTAACTAAAGTTCATATGTTGTTGACAAATTGGTTAAAATGTGGAAGTTCTGTTCGTTTGGAGTTCACGATAATTATCTCGAGTCCTGGGAAAAGAAGGAAACGTAGAGGGAGGCAGGAGAGATCACAATCGTGACTTTTGAGTGATTTAGCATAGTGAGAGGGGTTGGTTTAAAACTTTATAAGAGAACCAATAGGTACTTTATTACAATACATGAGCATCATGAGATGCAAAGTTTCTCGGTTATGCACTTACTCTAG